GAAGTTACTGTCCAAAATTGGAATGAAGGGCGCTGGCTTCTGGCCTGCGCGCTGGGAGATTGTAAGGAAGTACGCGCGGTCCTCAGCAGCGAGTAACTGAGTCTTCGAAGCAGGATACTTGTCAAAGAACGACTCCACGAACTTGCTGGGATCATCCAGCTCTGTGAAGCTCTGCAGAACACTGGCCTTCAACCCTCCATTGACACCTGCAAACCTCTCCTCTACGCGCCTCAACCAATCGCCCGTCAAGTTCCTCAAGCTCAAATCGATCCACCGACTCTGATGCGAGACGTACATCAGACGAACCATGCGTAGAGCGACTTCCTCGTACGTCATGTCACCCAGATCGAGGGCAACACTCCCATCCTTCTTCCAACCGAACCATGGCTTCGCGAAGTCTGCATTCAATTTGCCGATAATCTCTGCTTTGCGCTCAGCGAGCCAAGGGCTGCGCTTCTCCTTCGGGAGCTTGAAGACGGTGTCATCAAACTCCTTCCAGAGCTTCACAGCACGCGTAGCGACCTTATGGATAGGCTCGCCCAGCTCTGAGCGCACCGTCAAGATTCCGCCAGTAGGCTTTACGTACGTGTTTTCCCATTGCTTGTCATCGACACCACGCGCTCCAACGATGAGATCTTTCACACTAGAGCTCGTGTGCGCCTCCTTCGCCACCATGACGCGCGACGCGAATAGGAAACCGTCGAATGGCATGAGCTGCTGGCCGTAGAGGTCCTTTGACCAATCACCAGTGAGATATGGCCATACGTCATCAGCACCTCCGAACCCGGAACCGCCAACAAGAATCAAGTTCTCCTGCGCACGCATGGCGCTGTATGTTTTCAGCACGGGCATATGGAAGTCTTCGTAAGAGTGGTGACCACCGGCACGACCTCCCGTCCATTGAAGAATGATAGGGAAATCAGGATTAGACTTCGCAATGTTGACGACCTGCCTGATACCATCCACCGAGCCCGGCTTGAACGACACATGCCGGATACCAGCCTTCCTTAATCCATCAATGATCTCTGCTGCTTTCTCAGTGCTGGGAATACCAGCAGCAACACAGAAACCTTCGATAGGTAAGCCCTCGCGGCGCATTTCCTGCCATAAGGGGAACTGGAAGCCGAATTGGCGTGGGTTGATGTAGAGGGCGTTGAGCGTAAGGCCGACGCCTGTAGGAATTTGTGCTTGAATCTCGGCAACTTTCGCACGCAGCGCTGCAGGGTTATAGTGACCTCCACCTGCCAGCTCGATATGGTACCCTGCGGAGAGAACCGCAGAGACGAAGCCCGCTTTCACGGTTGTGGGTGTCATACCAGCGACCATGATCGGAGGCTTCCCGAGCAGGCGCGAAAAAGGCGTGTCAAGGTGAATAGTACCATCGCTATCATGCCATATCAGAATCTGAAATGAAGTCACGGTCCTTGAGTGACGCACCTTGTTTTCACAAGTTTTGGCGCGTATTTCTTGCTCCACCACTCATCGTACTGGACTTCTTCAGTATCAAAGAGTTCCGCTTCGCCGCGGCCCTTGTCGCCTAGCGTGACAACACGCACGCCACGGCCTTCAAGATTACGAGCTGTGAGAGGCCCAATGCCATTCAGGCCACCGGGACCAAAGTCAATGACGTGTGTCGCGGTCTCGGGGAATCCAGTTGCAAGCGTCCAGTGAATAGGAGACGTGAAGATCTGGTCGCATAACGAACGCGTGATAGATGTCTCCGAATCGCGCATATCAGAACCTATAGCCATTAAATCAGCCAGAAACATGTTTTGAAGTGACTATATGCGCACCATCTTCGGTGTTGAATACCGGAATCCCCAATTCTTCTTTGGTCCAAAGCTCCTCGCCTTCAAGATCTTCATCACACAACTTCTCGGCAGCGCCCTTCAAATGCGCGCTGTGGTATGGGGCATTGACCACCAAAAATCGGACACCGAACGCAGGTTTGCGCTGCGAAAACGGCACCTTGCTCTGGTCAAGCCCAGATGATGCACGTACCTTCCTCAAGTTTGTGACAAGCCCACACAGGGAACGTGAAGGACCAGTCACAACAAAGTTTCTAGGACCGTTGAACAGGGAGACAGCGATCTGCGCGTTTGCAGGTAGATGATCGTTTGTAGCGTCGAGATGGGGCTGCAGTACATCGAGCGACAGATTCGTGATCGAAAGCATGGGCGTGGGTTCACCCTCGCCTCCATCGATGCAGTCTTGAACGATGCTTGGTTCTAGGGCAAGCACGGGGAATGCTTCCTGCCCGCGCATACCACAAAAGAAGAGCCATCGGAGGGCCTTCTTAGCGTTGATATCAAATGATTCTATGGATGTGGATGCAGAAATGGCGATGGCGGAGACTACGCCCTGCGAATGGCCAGTTGCACCAGCGAAATGATCGCGGAGCTCGCCGGGAGTGAATCCAGAGACGTGACAGATGACAAGGTACTGCACCAGCTGGGTGAGACCGATCAAAGGAAGCGAGACTGGGATGGAGGCAAGATATTCAACAGGGGGACGAGGAGATGTGCCTGCGAGCCATGCCGCGACATTCATGCCATAATTGTAGAAGCTACAACCCTGGCGGGATGAGACGAGGGGAAGGAGAATGTCATTTGTGATGGATGTAATTATAGGAGAAACGTAAGGCTTGTAGGTATCATACAAGGACTGAAGCTCGTCAAAGTAGACCTCGTTGGTCCCTTGACCACCAAAAAGCGCATATATTGATGCCTCGGAGTCATCAGCGGCTGTGAGAAGGGCAGAAGCAGGGGGAGCCGCAATATCTGCAACATTATGGTTCTCTAGGGTAGCACGTGCAGCAAAGTAAGCTGCAAGGATTCCAGTCCGGACCTCGGCGTCGAACGGGTTTACAAAAGAATAGAGGTCGGTATCGATAAGATATGAGGAGACGAAATGCGTGAACACGCGAGTGAGCAGAGAGACGCGTGCCTTTACGCAGTCTGATGTATCGGAAGTCCTCTGTGCAATGAAAGCGAGGAAACGTGCAAAGATATCTACGTTGGCTTGTAATGGGTGTTCTGAGTCAGCGACGGTGCCAGCGACATCGACGCGTTCCTGCGACAAGATGAAGTCATCTCTAAGGACTTCAGCAGCGATCCACTCGTCTATTTGGGTAGAGACGGGAATGGAGACCTGAAAAGCTAATTTAAACAAGAGATAGATGCCATGAAAAAATGACGCGTACTCTAACATTTGCAGTGGATATTACTAGTGGACGGGTAGCAAATTGGTTTTCGTGAACGGCATCACCGTTCTGGACTGACATTTTGGAGGGATACGATGGACGTCGGAAACGACGTGAGGAAGGGAGTGAAAGAAACAGGACGGGGTTCAGAGGTTTGCTTTATAGGCTTGGTACTCCCCAGCGTATTTAATTTTTTTGGTTTCAGGCGTCAACTTCCCCAAAAACTGTATACAAGTCACGTGATTACGTAATACTCTAGACCGATAAAAACGCGTTATACCAGGGTATTAATTTCACGAATTCTATCTACTGCAGCGTGTTCATCGATATGGACCTTCCGTGATAATCAGTCTTGGTCAGGCCATGTTCTCTTCCATGACAAGTTATTCGCTTTCCTGGCGATGACTGGCGATGACATAAATTTATTCATCGCTAGTTCCCGTGGCAAGACACGTACTCTGACCCCTGTCTCTTGTCAGTACCCTCGTACCCACACAACGGAAAATGAGACATGCATCGAGGCAAATGCAAAGCACACGCGTTTTGTTTAATTCAACTCTGTATCAACATGTGTTGTTTTACCTACACGATGTTCCTTTCCATCAGCACACTCATCAATCGATTAGCTCTGAAGATCTGATAGGTCGCACTCACTGGCAAACTTTAAACCCCGGCCCATATCGATACTCAGCGCTGGTATAAAGTATTTATCATTCCAACAGTATGTCCAAGTGATTATTACATTCATACCCCACGGTGGTCAGTTGTTTGATTTTGAAGGGGTCAGTTCTCGTTCACCCAATATCGTAACTCAGTGCTCTGCAGTGTCTTCCCCCATTAATCAGTCTTCCTCTTCGTCAATACCCCACGATCACAGACGGGCACCTCCGTCCTTTTCTCGTATCAGCTATTTAATTTATATAGGTTGCTCTCGTTTACTGGTGAACAACCCGTTTGAAATAAGATTCAAATGCATTGTAATGTTTCATGCGGAGGTTTTTTTATCCCCGCGGCACCGCCATACTTGGTCGTGCCATCTTGTAGGACTCACTTGTCTTGTCAAGTACTTTTTCGATCTTCATATCTCCTTGCTTGATCACACACAAGAGTCTCAAACACCAAGAACAAAGTCAAGTTCCACATGAGTTCACGGCAAAAAATGGACATTCAGAGGATTGAACTCTGGACCTTATACATGCTAGTATGCAAAGCATACGCGCTACCACTGCGCTAAATGCCCTTGAATAAGCGCTCAGGGCCGTGAGGGCATGCGGGATCAAGCTTGCAAGACAGGACACCGTGTACTTACAATATAGTCACCTTGTTCACAAGGTCCCTACCGACAAAGTTCGGCCTTTTGCCAGGAAATCACAGTTCAATCACACAAGGGTCGAGGCTGGCATGGCAATTCATATGAACCACCACCGACCATGCGCATGAGCTAAATGCTCAGCAGTTGCTACGGGTATTAAATACATCGTCAAAAACGTCAGTCAATCAAAGCTAGATGACAAAATCGCAGATAAAGATGCAACATAACATAGTCCTCTGAAAGTAAACGTTCGATAAAGATCACCAGCCCATCCACCGCCGCATGTAGAAAGAAAGAAAAACGGGATGGATAAAGGGCTAAGTGGTGAAAAGAGTGTCATGGCTAAGGTCTAAATATGTTGTCCGCATAGAGAATGTGTCCGAGCGAGAAAGAACAGGCTAGCATGTGGGAATCGTGATGTTTTTCAGGTTTTTGCTATCAATAGACATTAGCGCCGCAGACAGGTAACGTGGAGTGAAAATTTACTTGGCGTCGAACAAGCCCCAGTATCCCTAGCGAGTAAGGGTGAGATCGCCATGACGAAACCAAAAATATCTGAACTTTACCTCTACACCACCATACGTTACGTTCTGCAAGGCAAAGTCAGACCCTGCTCCTGGATATCGCGAGTGCAAGCTTACCTTCCAAGGCTCGTCACTATACTATTGTTGTACATGGCAGTCAGCACAATTAAAAACGTTGGGAGACCGAATACGCACCTCAAAGAAAAAGTATCCAGTTCCGTTTTTGGTAGCTATTGAGTAACATTGAGCTATTATTGTCCTTGCTCCCTGTGAGAAGAAATGCATACCTTGACATGCGAAGGTATCTATAAATATCTGCAAGTATGAAATTAGCAATCATTGTAAGTCATAACGTTAACGAAGCGTTAATGAATCCCACCTGCAAGTTTTGCACCGAAGCGAGCGAAGGTCCATCATTCGGGTTGGCATTGAAAGAAGAGCTACCCTATAGGACAAGTTAAACCAGTCAGGGATGAAGGAGAAAGCAAACAGACAGTTGGCCAGCCAGTCTCAGCAATGAACATCTTCGGTTTGTTCGAAAGAGATTGAGCAAGAGCGACGTCCGTGCTGGCGAAGAAGTCGGCCGTCCAGCCAGCAGCGTCATTAATCGATTGATTGGCAAACCATGGATGGACGTTCGCCATCTGCATAACATAAGCAGACATTAAACATATACACAGAGGAATACCAACCCCATAGTCAACGGCAGATAGCACTTCGTTGTTGAAATAACTTCCAGCGTCTGCATTGCCGACTAAGATATTGCTCATACCCATCGAGGACAACATTGAACGAGTATCGCTGATCCAGGGTACCAACATCGCTGCGGCTGTGACAAAATAATTAGAAATTCGTTTCAGCAGGAAAGAAAACCACGAGCTAACCTGCCTGTCCTGCGGAGCCGTTGGGATCCGTCTGCCCTGCGTTTGTGATGTAACTGAGAGGCGGTTTAGCCAACAATTTGAAATTCAGAAATCAATGCTAACTCAAGGATAAATTCATTGCCGACTGTAACACCGAGCACGTTTGCTGCACCGTATTGTTGAAGAGCAGTCTGTATTTCGCCTTTCTGGCGCTCGTACGCAGTCCCGTTATCGGTGGCATCGGGGTAGTTGCCGAGATAGACAGACATGTTGACCTTGGTAGCCTGGATGGCGGCAAGCTGCATACAAGTATAGATAAATACATCAAAAATAGTCCCCACGATAACTTACGACGAGAGAGGATTGATTGCAGTCAGCGCCATAAAGACGGATGGTCTACCGATTAGAGAATGAGTGCATGGCATATAAGACGCCATCGAAACACCCACCGTTGTGATCTGAGATAACAACTATAGATTGTGTAAGAGAAGCGCTCAGAAAGATCCCTCGAAAGACCTACCTGGATATCTTCAATGACCTCCGCTGCGGTACATTAGACACATTCCAACCAAGATAACGCAATTTCACACACTTAGATTATTGCCACAGTCGGGGAGCTGCGAGCCTAGTGGCGTATACGCAATGCCATAGAACGAATTGACCAAAGCGGAGTTTTTCGGGAAGTTGCTCGGATCGTTAGGGTTCGTCCCAGCTGGGGCGCTACTGCTCGAACTCGAGTTGTTGCTCGAGCTCTTTTTCGAGAGCGTGACGCCCAGTGCGACACCGGCAGCAATCAGAAGGACGAGGGCAATTACCGAACCAATGACCTTTCCAGCAGGACGTTGTTGAGTGGTCAAGCACTACATAGGTGAAACTCACGATCCGTCTTGACCGCTTGCTCGCCCTCTGCGACTGCTCCAGCCAGTCGCTGTTGCGGGACTCGATGTTTTGGTAACCTGGTTGTGGGACGGGCATGTAGGGCACGGGCTGTGGTTGATTTGTTGGAGGATTCCTGAGCGTTGGCTCCGATGAAAGATCGTGCGACGAGTCGAAGGGCGAATGAGCGTGTGTGGCCTGCGCAGCAGAAATTTAGTTCAGAGAAAGATGAGAGGTGCAAGCGAGAAAGAGACTGAAACGGAAACAATTAAACGAACAGAAATCCAAGCGAACTCGGGTTTCAGACCAGACACATATATGTATATGAATTCCAACAATATCATAATGAATGGTAACGGGTTCTTACTAGGCCTGATGGGTCGTTTGGAGTGCCAGTAGAGGTCGTCGGGGTGTCCCTGTAGGGCGCTACCTGTTGCATCGAGCTCGAGTACCCACTTTGCATTTTTGCAAGTCAAGGATAACAGAAGGGATCTAAGGGAGCGTTGAAACTGGAACTGACAGGCTGGTTTCCCTGACTTCTTTAATTTCCTGCGCCCCACCCGAAACGCGCCCTAACATGCCCTATCAAAAGGCCATAAGGATTGCCTTTTCTTGTTCGACCTACCCAGGCTTGTGGCAACGGGTGGTCCCGTTTATTGTGGTGCAGATCTTTCCTTAGGTACATAAATTTAGATGCTGCGGAATTTATGTTAACATCTGCCCTGACCGGACCTGGTCGGCGGCATGAAAATAACTGTCCTTGTTATCTCCCCAAGTAAGTAGCCCTAAAGTATACATAGAAAACTGAGATGGCAACTGTCCAAACCGGTAAAAAGGAAAAGAAAAAAACAATAATAACAAATGGGCGATCGGGAGCTCGGCACAACAACGCCGTGCCCGCCTCGAAGTATATCAATATCACAAACTTCCAGATGTAACTCCATCTCACCCACATCTCACTCATCCTACCCTCCTGCATGGCCCCCAGGTCGCGGCTGAGCTGATGCTCGCTTCTGTTTTCTTAGCACCCTAGCACGGTGTTTCTCGTCGTCCGTGCTTCCTCGATTGGAGGGAAGCGTCCGACTTCGGCTCACTGCAGGACCTGAAGCTTGGCTTACAGGGCGTGGTGCTGGGGTCTCCAGGACAGGCGACAATTGCCCACCATCAACATCTTCTGTTCTGTCGAGCGGACCTGAGGGAAAAATGTGGCACAATCACAAAAGGGTGCCCTCCGACTTCAGCGGCGGTCCAATTGAGACGCGGCCCCCAGGAATGACCCACCAGTGTGTTCTAGCGTTGTGCGGCGCCTGTAAATGCGCCGTCTGTCACGGCCGACAAGCTTCCAGCCCCCAGTAATTGACGTGGGCTCGTCATCTGAACTAGGTACAACAACAAGATCCGAGTCTTCCTCACTTGGTACCTGTGTGTGTGCGTGGTGGGGTCGTGGTGGAGGCTTCCACGAAGAGCCCTGCTCCGATCGTGGTGGCGGTGGTATGTCGAGTAAGAACCAATCCTGTTGCGCAATGAGAAACTCGAGAACACGTTGGCTTAGCGCATGTTCCCCAGGACACATTTCATGGGTAGGATGGGATATAAGGCCAGGCCGAAAAATTACCGCGAGATCTGCGCGGGAGATGAGGATAAAGTTAATCGCAGAGGGGCGTGGCGTACTTGTGGCTGTCATAAGATTTTTATCTGATTTTCGTGCAAATACTGATAATAGATCCAATACATAGAGAAGAAGGTATTGGTTTGCGCGGGGCATACGTTGGATTAGACGCTTGTACGTTGCAATAACTTCATCATGGTTGAATGGTTTCTTTCCTGCACAGGCGCCAGTTCAGGTTGTGCATCAAGTTGTCAGGACTTCTTACCCAAAACATCCCGGAACTGATTGAGACGTCAGCCCCGATCAACAAAGGAAGTAGCATACACTCACGTCGTGATACATATCGTGTGGTATTACGGGTTCCTGAGTGAGGCATGAGTAGGCACGGCACGAAACGTGGAGCGCCACTGACAGGCATTTGAGTTAAATATCTACGAAAGACGCTTGCGACATCATGTGTTGTAAAGTGTTCATTTTTCCAGTCCAACGATTTTCCGTACTGATGGCGAAAATAGTACGCCAATTGAACCTCATAGCGCTCTATAGGAGCTTTATGTACGCACCCGTGGCGGTGTCTCGAAAGCGGCTTGTAGATCTCGCATGCGCTTAGTAGAACCGTTGACACGAAACGTCCCCTCCACCTCTGTAGCTGATAGATGTAGAACGTTTGAATTGATGTTCGTACCATACACACCAGTACCCACCATTTTCTTTGAGATAAAGGCCACTAGAGGAGCCAGGGTACACAGCTAGTCAAGATGGTGCAAGGCAGCTCCACTCACCATTTCGCCACAACGACAGGTATGTACCCCCAAATATAGAGCTCGCCATTTGCATTTGCAGTCGAAATCTGCACGCTTGCATATCTCAGACTCTCTTTGAGTGGTTTTTGAAACACCTGGATGTTCCTCCTGATCTACAGCTGAATAATTGATTGGCATTAGTCAACGTCATGAACCGGAAGTCAGAATAGTACAAACCTGAATCTTTTTTGCGATTCTGAGCATGGGTGAATTGAGTCCACCACTTGAGAAGACCGGCTTTGGTTGGCGGGGGGCTGTCCGAAGGCATGTTTGAAGTTTGAGGGGGGCTATGCCTAGACTGAGGGATAGGGAGGGTATTACTCCTGCGGGATTGTTGTGTTCTTGAGAAGAAGGCGAAAGGAAATAAGCGTTGAAAGGTGGCCAGCACGGGCCACGATGAGTAGTCGAACGGAAAGCTTGCAGAGGGCGGTGAAATATGGTCGTGACCCGCAAATGGTGGTTCTTCGGAGCACAGCCACCCACACAGCACTGCAGTCACGAGCCTGATACTACGGGCCTGATAGGGTTCGGGATCTTGGCTAGACTAAGTATGTTTGAAAAAAAAGCATGCTATGCATCAAGGTGGAAGGAGACTACTTATAATGTACAGTTGGTGCAGCAATTTTAAACTATGCAATGAGGCTTTCTCGAATTCTGATCCAAAGAGTCTAGATAAGAATGAAGTTCCTGGTCTAGTCTTGCTGCATGGGCGGTGATCTCATGACCATCTTGGCTGAAAGGGGGTTTGCAACTGACCATGGACCACATGAACAGAGCCTCTCGGATGCCATTCTTTTGCCTTTTGCTCATGCAGCACTAGTCACAATACTCATTCAACGAGTGTTTAGACCTGAGCGCAGATACCACTGCCGTTAAGATTAATACCAAGTTGATGTCAGGCACGAGTTGGTTCCGTTGATTCACGTTGTCACGTTTTTTTTTTGATTGTCAATGTAAAACGTTGCCTCGGCTACGAATCGGCTATCGTGGAACGAGTCGGTAATAGCTCGGATGAATGTCACTACTAGTGTCCGTGAAATGTTCACATGCCATGATGCCAGTGTGGTCTATCAAGTATCCAGATCCGGAACCGTGAGCTGGCTTGCCGAAGGACTACAAGTATTTTCCGTTCCTCTGGCTTCTTCCAACTTTCTACCCTGTATAAATCATGATCCATACAGACGTGTTTGCGAAGCTGCTCGGCGTTCTGGAAGCTATTCAGGCCCGCTCTGCCACCCCAACTAGGCTCTCTCTTGGTGCAGCAGCGAGCGTAGTGGCGTTAACAATCGTCTTGAGGTACCTCACCGCGAAACAACCAAAACTCATAACGGACTACGCGAAAGTAGCGAGGAAAGTCAATGACAATGGAGCCGAGGTTGATGAGTGGGACTTCATCATTGTTGGAGGAGGTATGATGCATTCAACATTCCACACTAGTAGCCAACATTTCCTATCCTCCGAACGTGTCCAGGCACAGCAGGATGTGTTCTCGCTTCACGTCTCTCTGAAGACCCAAACCTGCGCGTTTTACTCATCGAGGCTGGTGGAAGGTCAACATCTTTGAGGCTATTATCTACTTCTGACATGCTCAAGTTCTTCATAGCTCTAAAGATATCGGGATAAGCAAGATACCTGTTGCGTTCGCCAAATTAATGCGCACTCAATGGGACTACAACTTTTATACCGAGCCTCAGCAACACGCAGGCAATAAGAAAAAATATTGGCCTCGCGGTACGTCATCGCGTTATTCCTCGACTTCCCAGTTGTTATACTGATCCCCGTATGTGCAGCCAAACTTCTCGGAGGATGTGAGTAGTCGTAGTCGTTCTCCTGGTAAGGAAATCCTTTGATGTTCCTCAGGCTCTGCTATGAATGCCATGATGTGAGTCATAATGCATCTTCCCGCAGGTTCATTTATCCCTATTACGTCCTAAGGGCACAATACGGCGCACCGTCCGATTTTGACGAGTGGGCGCTAATTTCCGGTGACCAATCCTGGTCGTGGAACAATTTTAGCAAGCACGTAGTTCGTTTCTCGTTTCACCCACTTCCGATAACTTTGTTGCTCAGGTATATTCGTAAATTCGAGAAATACACCCCAGACTCGCGCTTCCCACACGTTGATCCGCTCCTCCGCGGTGCCAATGGGCCTGTTGAGATTAAGTACAGCCCCCACATATGGCCAGGTGCCCAAGCTTTTGTTGAGGCAAGCATCAACGTCGGTATCCCTTTCTCACCCGATTTCTGTACGACCAAGGGAACGAAAGGGACAAATAAGGCAAGTCTTTACAGATTCTGCCGATTTGTTCAAGGTTCACTAACATTGGTCATTCATTGTGAATATGGCACAGATCAGTGAGTCATTAGCACTGACCGTCAGGATCAACAAGTGCTGAATAACTGATATGTAGTGATGTACATCGACAGCAAGAGCACTCGTGTAACCACTGAGTCTGCATACCTCACTGACGACGTCCTTGCTCGTCCGAATTTGAAAGTCGTCACCCACGCGCGTGTTTCCAAAGTTCTCTTTGACATATCCGATGGCACTCCACGTGCCACAGGTGTCGAGTTTGCCAGCAAATCCCATATGGATAAAGTCGGGCCCGAGTTCCGTGCACGAGCGACCAAGGAAGTCATTGTCTGGTGCGGGATCGCTTGATATGCCCAAAACGGCTATTTACCTTTTCATAGCGGCGGTACCATACATTCTCCGCAAATCTTGATGCTTTCTGGCATTGGTCCAGCTGCGCAGCTTTCACGTCACAACATTCCGATCGTGCTCGATGCCCCCAGCGTCGGGGCTAACCTCATGGATCACCCATCAGTCAATCTCCGATTCAGGGAAAAAACAGGAACTACGTTTCACCATTTAACGCCTCACAGTTTGAACAGCACGCGCTTACTTATACGTGACTTGCTGCGATATAAACTGTGGGGCACCGGCCCACTCGCTTCTAATGTTTGTCAGATCTTCCTTGCGCTCACATCACCAGTACTGAATAGTATCATAGGTCGGCGAGTCTGTAGCATTCTTCCGATCAGACGACCAAGCGCTTTTCCCGCCCGCCGAGTACAACAACAACCTCGAAGACGCCAATTCAGGCCCAGATGCACCCGATATCGAGATCATCATGTGTGCCGGCGCAGTACGTGCCCACACCATACCACTCGGCCCAAAGTTCCAGGCATATCAGATGATCGTTATCTTATTACGGTAAGCCATCAATGTTTCTACTTCAAACTTGACCGAGACGTTCTGTATTATTAGTCCCACAAGTAAAGGTTCGCTCTTTCTCAAGTCTGCCGACCCTTGGGATGATCCGCTCATGGATCCCAGGTAGGCTGACCCGTTTACTTCAAACTCACTCTGTACTTATCACTATCACGGGCCAGCTACCTCGAAACAAAACACGATGTTGACGTACTCGTTCGAGGTATCCGCGCTGCTATTAAAATCGCACATACAGCGCCCATGACCTCTGTCACCGACGTGGACGCCATACACCACCCTGAACTTGACCATCACATCTCCAGTCTAAGCGACGCAGAGCTGGCGGATATTGTTAGAGACCGCGTGGAGACGCTGTATCACCCGGTAGGGACGTGTTCGATGGGAGCTGGCGGTGTCGTGGACTCGGAGTTGCGTGTCAAGGGCACTCAGGGGCTCCGGGTGTGCGATGCAAGTGTTTTCCCTAAATTGGTCTCAGGACATCCGGTATGTGGAAGCTTTGAAAGATGACCGCGGAAGCTGACAAAGATTTAGACTGGTGCAGTTATTGCGACAGCGGAGAAGTTGGCAGATATCATCAAGGCTCACTACGCATAAATCGTAGGCTCCTCGGTGGTGTATTTTTTTGCATTTTCGTGGTAGGCTGTTGATTCTCAAGCCCTTACCATGGTTTGTATTTATTATGTATGTACTCGTGTGGTATATATAAACCTATCTGTCAATTAAATAGGTTGTTGTGCACTATCTTGGGTGACAGCGAATGGCCAGATCTCATCCCTACCTTTCGCAACAGCTCCCAACACCTTGTACTGCTCACCCATCCCACAGGGATCAATGAGCCTATTTGCGCCATCTTCGATCGCCTTTTTACTCTCTAGAGAGGAAGCTGAGCGCATAAGAGCAGCGGCCCTGATTTCTATACCCATGCACGTGAGGAAGTTGCGTTGGGAGATGGGGCCATGTGTCGAGACTGTACATCTTGAATGACCATAATCATGTAGCAGAGCACTATCATGGACGTACCAAGGTCAGCCATAGACTCTTTCAGCAACGCAAAATCGACATTCGTCGTAACATCGCACTCTCCGGGACTGCAGAAGATATCGACAATTTTATGCTTTTTGAAGGCCTGCGAATAATTATTGGCTAGAATTCGGTGCATGCATTTGAGTTCCTACCCGCAAGGAATCGCCAAAGGCTCTGTCTGCACCATAGTCGACGACAAGTGCGCATCCTCCGCCCTTGGTATTAATAAGTTTCCCAATACCCCGTGCCTGATTCATGGACGCTCTGGATACTTCTATGCGAGTTCCCACAGGGAGCGAAAAAAACCGAGGAGATGCAAGTCCGAGGAGGGTCGATGATGCCGTCGGAGTTGGCGAAAGAACACGGGTCCAGCGTGAAGGCGTATCATGCAATTTCGGGGGAGAGTCTAAATTCTGGCTCGAGTCCGAAGAGGGCATGGTGTATCTGATGCTCGGATCATTCGAGGGGGCGATTAGCACCTCGTTCCAGCCTTGTTGAGTTCTCTATAATTACCATTAGTAAAGTAAATTTTCGTGTCTCGGGACGGAACTCACCTCGATGACGTTCACGGGAAGGGCATCGAAAAACTCATGAGCGACCAACATAGTAAAGACATCTTCCTCGAGCTCAATCTCTTCGATTGCGTCGTGCCACATTATCTGGAAATTGCCCTCCTGAGAAGCCTTACGAAGCTTGCCTTCCTGCAAAGCACGCATAGTCGCACTGCTCTCGACAAGGTGAATACTTTTCAGTTTTCCGCGTGCTGCAGGAAGCTGTTTCAAAACCTGGAAGAAACATGGTGAGACGCAACCAACCACTTGTTCAACATCACTCACCCGAAGTACGTCGTCCATTAACGTCCCTCTACCAGGTCCAAGTTCTACTACTCGGAAGGACGCTATAACATTGGTATCCATCCACTGCTTTATCATCCATAACGCGACAAGCTACTTGTAGCGCATTTCGCGTTGTTAATATGTGATATAAACGGTAGCGTGAATCTCACCTCGCCAAACATCTGGCTAATCTCAGGACTGGTGATAAAGTCGCCTTGAGTGCCAAAGACAGCATGTTGCGGCTTCATGTAGTACCCATGCGTGGGGTGCCCAAGACTAAGTTGCATGAACGTCGAGAATGATATAGGACCTGTTGCCTTGATTCTATGAGATCCATATTTGAGAAGTTGCACGGTCGAAGTGCTCACCTTGACACTGTCCAGCATTATTTTCTCGACATCCGTCGGAGAACCGAAAGAATCTCCAGACATCATGCGGGCACACATGATAGTCCTTGCATTGAGTCCATGACGGCAGTTTGACTGCCTGAGCCACAAAGACAGTCCATTTGAACCATACCTTGTAGCAAATCGGAACATCTCAATTTGCAGTGGAATTCGGTCAAGCAATTTGAGTCATCGGGAAGGCGAGTAAAAATAGCATCCGGGAGGGAAGCGGAACCGCCGTGGCCCGTGGGCCGTGGGCAGCCTGATTACGATTGACTCGTTAATATTTTGTAGATTAGCCTTATATAAAATTTCAAAGATCACGCACTCCGAGTCAGCTGATACTCACAACCTTCACAACCTTCGGATCTCAAGTACTAGCTTTTCAGTTTATATTCTATCTTCTTCTTCTAACTTCTGTAAATTAGTATACTCCAACCCCTCAACAACCAACCAATCATGGCAACTCGTGAGTGTTTTTATTGATGTGTAATCTATGCGTTCCATGAACATACATGTAATACAGGTATTCAATTTGAAAACAGTAGTGAAATCGGCGTGTTCTCAAAACTCACCAACAGCTACTGCCTAGCTGCAATCCAAGGCAGTGCAAATTTCTACTCGGCCTTTGAGGCTGAACTCGGCGATGTCATTCCCATCGTGCATTCTACGATAGGCGGCACCCGCATCGTCGGGAGATTGACTGCAGGTTTGTGATATGGTTTTACTCATCATTACCCACAAGGCCGATGCGCATCGTTTCTAGGAAATAGACATGGTCTCCTCGTCCCTTCAACGACGACTGATCAAGAACTGCAGCATCTACGCAACTCCCTTCCTGACGCTGTGTCGATCCAGCGAATCGAAGAACGTCTATCTGCGCTGGGAAACGTTATCGCTTGCAATGACTACGTTGCCCTCGTCCACCCTGACGTTGATCGCGAGACAGAGGAAATAATCGCCGATGTGCTCAAGGTCGAGGTTTTTAGGCAGACCGTCGCAGATAACGTCCTTGTGGGAAGCTATTGTGCGATCTCAAATCAGGGTGGACTTGTTCATCCAAAGACGAGTGTTCAGGACCAGGATGAACTAAGTAGCCTTCTGCAAATTCCCCTCGTGGTGCGTATTTATAGGAAACCCAGCGCAGCCATATTATAACTCAATTTATTCTCGTGTTTCTAGGCTGGTACTGTCAACCGAGGTTCAGACGTTATCGGTGGAGGTCTTGTCGTGAACGACTGGTGCGCGTTTACTGGGCTTGACACTACCGCCACAGAGATCAGTGTCATCGAAGCTGCATTCAGTGGGTCTACATTCTTACCTCCTTTTTTCACCTTTTCAACGTCTTTTGCTATCACAGAGCTTCAAGGACAAAGTTCTTCAGCTGTCATTGGAGAGATGCGGGATTCTCTTATCGATAACTGGGCATGATTTCACCGTCACACATCCTGTTACTGTTACATATACCTTCACGTCTACCTTCACTTACACTTGAAGCGCAACCTTAGTCTCCATCATGAACTTTGTATATTTACGCTCATATGTCGTTGACAATGGAAAAACAGGGAGAGGAATTTATACTGGAGAATATGTTTTTCTGTTCAAGTGTATTGTCAGTTTCGCTGTTGTATGACACAGCGTTACGTGACAGTCGCGTGACGAACGTGTGCATCAATGAGCGCTTCAGCGTACCAGTGCCCTCTGTGAACATCCCCATGTCGTCCGCCCCTCCTCAAACGCAGCCTGAAGATGGCCATACATTTGCCCGAGTGATACAGGTGTGTGCGAGAATATGCCCACGATTCTGCATTTACTCGGGTTAATTGTCTCCTGTCTTGATAGTTCATGATCAACAAAGCTGCCAGCGGGTCAATCAAGGAGCTCGACGGACTATGCAACATCGCGCAACATTGGAAACCAGAGCAACTTCTGATACTGCTCCCAGTCTTCTATCACCACCTTGATCCAGCTCGTATCCCCGATGTGGTTACTTCGAGGGATGTGAGGAGTGTCATGCTCGCAAGGTACTCCCTTAAAGGAGTACTGGTCACACTGAATCGTGTCAATCATCCAAGGGAATTAACGCAGTCGGTACAGGCCATCGCTGACAACCTAATATCCAATTGGAATCGCTGTCATCTCTGGGTCAATTTCTTCTATCGTCACTTCTTCGCCTCCAGCAACCCTGCTCGCCTTCCGGGTCTTCTTATAACTAGATCAGAAGCTCTGAAGCTAGTTGTCAACATGTTGATGCGGATGAGCCTGATCGGTGATTCACAAACACCACAGTCACTCATCAACACACCATCTCTACACCCCATTATCTCGCAGCTGTGGTGCATGGCCGTCACCTCAAAGGATAATGACTTCTCACTGAAGCTGACAAGGTAATGGGCAGCAAGGAACAAGGGGCATTCCAGGAGCACATGTCATACGTGGTACAGGCATGTCTGGATGTTGATCGTCCTGCTTTTGCGTCCACCCTTATTCATGTCGCTGGAGGCATTAGAGCCATGGCTTCTATTACCTCCAAATATCTCAGAAATATCCGTTGTTTGTACAGGAAGAAAGTCGTTTCTGGACAAAGCATCGATGATACAACTTCATGCGATTCTGTCTTTGGGGTGCCTCGTTGGCAAATAATGCTCATTAATTGCTTTGGGAATTGTGCAAACCTACTATTCGTTACTAGTCAACAGAACTGTGCCTTGCGAGAGGCCTACATCGATAGAAACCTCGTGGCCATCGTTATCTACACCCTTCGTGATCTATGTCAACTCTCTCAAACCCTGAAGCACGATGACTTCGCCAAACACGTCAAGAAGGCGTTTGAGGATGCTTTAGGCTATATTGCATTACTCATGGGAGGTCCTGTGGATGACCTTATAGCCGTTATATGTCAAGCCCTTCGGGCGCGATTCCTCCCCACCATCCTTCAAGCTCATACCTGTATTCCCGGTGCGGATACGGCGGAATGCCTTAATGCATTGTTGATTACTGCCCTTCGTTCATACCTCACGTTCGACAAAGTCTTGCGGATCGCCGGGAGCGAGCTAGAGGCTGACGAGAAATCGCTAGATGCGATTGCTCAGCGTGATACAGACCTACTACAGGCCTGGAATCTGTTCAAAAAAGATGTTCGACGTTTCTTGGACCTTAGAAGCCAGATACCCGCAGCATCTATATTCTTCGATCGTCAATGCGCTGCTGTGCATGTGAGTGAACCATATACTTTTCCCCTCTAGACTGCTGTTGCTAATCAGCCCCTGATTCTGCAGAACAGCGACGAATGGCATCCGCAATGGGATCTATTCCAGTGTGCCAGGTGCACAGTTGCGAGGTATTGTTCTAAACAATGCCAGAACATAGATTGGGACCAGGGCCATCGTATGGCGTGCAAGTACCTCAAAGCTGCCATCGGCGCGTCTTCCTACGTGATCTCACGCATTTTGCATACTGAGACATTCACAGGCCCGAATACTTCACGATATATCAGGAGGAGCCTCTTCCTTCTAGCCAAGATCGAAGATGCTGAAATTCAGTCCCATCGAGAGTTTATCTCTCAATTGTCGGTGACCGCTCAGGCAGAATACCCGGAATTCCAGGATCGTCTTGTTCTTGAGATCGATCCTGTTGCAGAGGCACCCACAGACAAATTCAAATTCAAGCCGGTATCCAACTATCTTCATATCTTTCCGGAGGCATCGGAACGTCCTTGGCAAGTGGCTAGCAAGTGGCGCCAGTCTACGGGACTGCATAGCCTTTCCTTGCCGCCTGTGATACGTATTCACGAGGGATACGAGATAACGAATCGACCGAATTTGCTCTTCAGCCCATCAACAGCGCTCAGGATGGCGTTCAAAGAGCACGGATTAGATGCCATCGTCAATGACAACGCCTCAAGCGTTTATTATACTGGGAGTTCCCAGTGATTGTACGTGCTGCTGTTCTGTTGTAATAGTATGATTTTACTTTCAAAGTTCGTGTGTTGTAGTTACTCGCTATCTGGAGATTTCAACTGTACCATTGGATCGATTTTATACCAAATTGCACTGTAGTTAGAAGATACGTTAGCGTATGATATGGAACGACGCATCTATTCTCATCGAGATTAATGAATATTGATGATGCAAACGTGACAACTACTTACTACCAACAAATCAGCAAGGCTTCTTTCAACGAAATGACTGACTGTCGTTTTCCATCTGATAAACATAAAGTGCCAGCCATTGAAAGAGAGCTCATGCCTAGATGTGCCTCCTTATGACACGGAGGCGTCGGCGTCCTTCAAATTGAAATAAGATCATTATTAAGTGAACACGAGGAGTAAAGGAATGGTAACTGTGAGGCGATAGAAGGAACAAGAATTTACGAACCACGAAAAAAAAACCGGGAGTAACCCCCCCGCACTTGAATGAAGCCACATTCAATATATGATAGGTCTTCGACCCCAAAGGACAATAAATCCGATTTTTAAAAAAGAATCTACGAGTTGAATAACTTCGCTACCATGGCCTGTGTCATCGCACCAGTGCAAGCCTCACAACGAACGAACTTTGCACATACGAAGCACCTGCCGATGGAACGAGGGACAGAGGTAAACCCCCGGCTTGTAGAAGCATAATTTGTAGATTCTGAGGTTATCCCTGCACGGGGCAGACTGGAACAAGAGAAATTAGAAATAAATTATTTTTGTGTGCACTTGATTACCAAAAACTTTGCACCGATGAATAGAGAGTGCGTTTCAGAAGTCGTTTACAAATACGTCTGCCCGGCCTCCTACAACCTGCGATAGTGTGAGATGACGGATAGTCCTTGATAGTCCTAATTTGCTTCAGTCGGCGCAGCGCTGATCGTTCGATGGGGTTGGGATTTAAATGAGATAATCATGAATGCGATGTCTGCGTCAACGATAGCACTTAAGATTTGATCGGTGACGTGCTGACTAGGACTCCCGGCCTAGGACTGCCGTCATTTTTTTGTAGATGATTTACTTCCGAAACCCATTGGCAGGAGGCTACTTGCATGCTTGAGATACCGGTGCTGCTTCCTCGGAGCTTTCCGCTGATCAAATACAGGTCCCGAATTGAACTGTAGATTAGAAAGACACCAGTACTTAGCTTAGGGCAGCAGAGAATATGAAATACATCTACATGACATCTAAGTGATGGTATCAGTACAATATTAATGAGATAGGTGAGATAGGGTGGCCTTAAGAACGTTCCCAGCCAGTGACGCTGACAGATCGAATCCTGTCAATCGGATCCAAAAACATCTTCGGTATTGATCATGCACCAACACCAAGCGCTGTCGCCCACAACCGTCCGCCTACCTCACTCAGCACTCTCTCTACCTCTGTCTGCTCCAAGTTGAGAATAACCCTGCGTTCCCGGGGGGGCTTGCGGAAGGCGTTCACACCATCCTCGATTATCATAGCGCGGGAGGCAACCAAGGAGTCCAGAACAAGTCCCAGTTCCACCGGCGTGGGTCTCCGCGACGGATCTCCTTCCGAAGTCAGGGCTTCAACATATACGACATGCTGGTTTTCAATCTTACGTACTGTTAGTCCAGCACTCCGCGGAATAAACATAAAAATAAAACACATACCTCGCCCCATTTGATCTCCTCAATACCCTCCCGCTTGATGCATCTTAGCAGGGATGCGAGCATGATCCGCTCATGTAAGCTGCAGTCTCGGAGGTATGCTGCGGTTGGACTATTTTGCAGCACTTTGATAACCTCCTTCACATCCTCCGTACGGGCGGCACGCCGTTTGGGATGCACAAGTTCCACCGCTCGTCTACATTTGAGTTCAGTTGTATTTTAGTTATAAAACATGCCCGATACGTACCGGCAAATATCAAGTACCCTTCGTGCGTCACCGCTGATCGATGAGACCTTCATTGCGGCAAACTTTACGCCGTCGGTATTGATCACGTCCGGTGGCTCTTCGAGGCCTTCTTTGGCTTCTTTGAGACGTGCATGCACGATTTTCTCGAGCTGTTGTGTCGTGTATGGCTGGAAGTTAGTTCGAATCATTCCTTTGCAGGACATAAATGAACAAGAAATGGATGAGGTGTTTAATTTAACGGCACATACCAAGTCGACTGCGCACGCGTCCAGTCATCACTCGCTCCGGAAGGTCCATGGTGTTTGCGACAGCAATCACAACAAGCTTTGAGCCTGCGATTGTGGGCCAGTTGAAGAAATTGTATACTACATCCTGCTTTGCTGTGACGAGTTGATCAAGCTCGTCCATAAGAACGATGCTAGGCACGCAACTTAGCGATGACCGACTGGTTGAGATAACTACTGCTTACCACGCGTGCCCTGCGGGACCCGCCCGCGCACCTGCGGAGAAGTGTTTGGTAAGCTGCTTGAGCGCCTCCTTGGCGCTGGTTTTGAGGTGACCATCGCTAGCTACATCATGCCCCGAGACTGTCTCCCAAAGCAGGTTATATGCAGCAGATGGCTCGGGAATCCTGAGTCCGTTGATTTCAACATAAGTGAAAGGGTTCGTTTCCTACCAAGTAAGAATCATTGAGTGAAGAGAAGAACTAATTGGAAAAGAACAGACATTGTTCTCAGCCATTCGTTTGAGCTCAGCGAACAATGGCGTGAACTGTTGCAGTCTTGCCTGTTCCTGGTACTCCAGAAATATCTAAAAATCGATATTAGAAGAGTGAAAAAGAATGGATGATACTCTCTACACACAAACGCAACCTCCACTTCCTTCCTCCAGGAGTTCTTCTACAGTCCTCAGAATGCGGCTGTATTCCTCCTCACGGCACGGAAGAACATCAGGACGCGCTGCAACATGAAGGACGTGCATTGCACTGAAGCCACGGATCAGGAGGAAGGTTTTGCAGTTGATTGTAGTGCTCCTGTGTGAGATTCGAAGGCGGAACACGGATGGCTGGTGCTTTTCGACTTCGCTTTCGTAGTGCCGCTTTGGAGTGCGGAGTGGGTGCTGCGAGCTTCGGTGCACGTTTCTTGCTCGGTGTGGACTTGGGTGTGGATAAGGCGCGTTTGCGCTTGCGAGATGGTGTCTTTGGAACGTCATCGATAAGCCCACCAAGAGCTGTCTCATTATCGGAGGCGTCATCAACGACAGAGGGGATGAGGTGGTCATCAGGCTCTGATGGTGGCTCGTCGTTCTCGTAGTCACGATCACGAACGGCATCGTCACCGCTTTCTTCCGCAATGTCGTGAAGCTTTTTTGTCTTCTTCATACGCCATCTTAACGGTGTGGTCTCTACGGCAACGTGCCAGCAAGTCCCATTGGCAAGGTCTTCGTTAGAACTGCCGAGAGCCTGTTGTTTGTGAGCTTCCCAGTGGAAATCATAGTAAATGTTGCTGCGAGACTCAATAGCAAGGCGACAGTAGAATATTTCATTCTCCTCCGCAGTGGCACCGACCCAGTTACTTCGTTTGCGTGCTGTGGGTGTGGTCTGAGGAACCTCGGAGATAGTGCAATGCGATAGTATACATGAAGGCGGGAGAATAGCTTGTGAAGCGAGAGTGAAATAGACTTCGTTCTGGTGGTAGGGATAAGCAGATGACAATTACTAGATGTGCCACTGACCTCGAAATGTTCCCTCTTTGCCCTTATGCGAGGCAGTTCCGATGGATGTTGAAACCAGTGAATCCTGATCATCATCTGTGAATTTCCGCCCTCCTTGTCCTCCTTGCCTTGAAATTCCCACATCGAAGCGATGACACCAACACTGGGATGTTTTGTGGACTGAGTTTTGACGAGTACAGTGTCTCCGACCTCAAATGTCTCAGTCTCCACAGCTGATCTACGTGCACTCAACCCTTTCCGTGAAGCTGGCGCGATATTCTTCGTCCGCTTAAACGATTTGCGAAAAGCAGTCTGGATCCCTGGCCCTGGTTGCCATCCCTCATCCTCTTGGAGAACCTGGTAATCTTCGTATACAGTGGGTCGGATGTAACACGGGGGGTCTGTCCAGATTAAAGTTTTGTCTACAAAGGCGTCAATCTTTACTGGAGTTACAAGCGGTTGAAAGCGTTTTGAACGTCGAGAAGGCGTCACCGGAGTCGACTCCATCGCTGGAGAGAAAGTGGTGTCACAAACGCGTGACAAGCGCGTCAGTCACTGAAGTGTATTATGCTCTGCATTATCACGTAACAATCATTTCAAGACTACCGGCGACAACTAAAAATGCAGTGACTTGGCTGATGGCCCATTCTGCTTATCGTGACGCACCGGCCGGCCACTCGTTCAAATTATTATCTACATTTACACAAACAAAAGAAAAATCTGTGACCTGGCATGTTCATGCTTGTGGCACAGTGAGCAATAATGGACCGATGACTCGGATTATGATTTACCGCCAAATGATCAGTGTCGTTGGGAGAATACCGCCATTTGCTGGCAATCATTTGCAATTGCCAAGTCGCCAGAAGGAGATCAAGCAGAAGTTGACAAAAGTTACTTTTTTAAAAAGTGAAAATTCTAGTCACCTAAACTCACCTAAATCTTATAACAGTAAACACAATTTAGTATACTTCCTATGATTCTTCCATACACTCCCTTGACTTCCCTAACCATCGCTCACATCATGCCCGCACAATGACCAGTTGGCCGCATATTAAATGGGTCAAAGTTAATTTTTAGGTTTACGAGGGTGTTGACTTGTTCGTTCACCAGTCTGACAGCACTCAGAATTGATCCCACTGGTTAAACCTTGCAAGAGCGCGGATTTAATCAGCAAACAGATGGGGCTCGGAGCCGTGATGTACTTTTGACATCAGATTAGTGTACCCTTGATGGTAGTAGTAGAAATGTAGTGAACTTGAAAAAGAGTCGAAACCATTCACAATACTTTTGGGGCTGACCATCATGGTCACATTGTAGGCATGGAGGCTGCGGGCACTGTCTGAGGACAATGTAGCACGCCAGTAGTTTTGATAAAAAATTTGCCGTTATCTTGAGCTACTCTACACAAAAGCACTCAAAACAATTTTTTCAATTGCCGTCCTATCATTTTTTGGCAGAACTCGTACACAGTGCTACTGGTACCCTAGTATTACTGCCCTGTCATGGCCAGTGCATTATGATCTAGCCAGAACTTCCGGGTCACGTGATGCATTTGGTCAATTTTTAGAAATTAGAATGAATTTTTACGTGAACCACCGGATCATACCACATAGAGCCTGAGCCTGAGCAATCGCTGGCAGCGGTTGATCAACAGCTTATGAGAACCATATAGTCTCGTTTTCATATCCATATCCTCGCTATTAAATCACTTCCCCCCATCACGAAATGTCCTGTCAGCAGTCAGCCGATATGCTACCCCCTGATCACTTCCTCCTCCAGCCTCGTCAGGACTTCCTGATCGGCGTTCAGGAGGGTCACATAGATACCTCCACTCTTGCTGCGCACGATTTCGATGTTGATACTCGCACGGGTTTCATGCCCCCAGATCCTCCTTTAAGTAGACTCCCAGCACAATGGGAACTCTGGGAAACAGCACTAGATGCTGCAATGCAAGCAAAGCTGCAGCTCTCTGTCAAACGATGTCTGACAGTTGAGGAGAAAAACTCATCTGAGTCATGGCGAGAACACGTTCGAAAGGTCAGTACCGGCCTCTGTATTTTTTATTACGCGCTTCACACACACACCATCAGCTGCCTGTCCTTCCTATGTCCGAGCTCACACACTCCGAGCTCCTGCTTCGGCGCGCGCACCATGTTCTCACCTTCATTATGCATTTTTACATTTACACACTCCCCCTGTCTTCTTCCGTGCTTATTCCGGAACCAATTTCTGTCCCCCTCGTCGCCATATCCAATCACTTGCAGTTACCACCAGTCGTCACGTACTCTGATAATGTCCTCTATAATTGGGACATTATCCACCCCAGGGCCCAAACGGAGCTTGGATTCGAGGCTCCCGCTCTGGACAACCTTCGCAGCCAGGACATGTTTTCCGGTACCATAGATGAGCAAGAATTCTACCTCGCTTCGGCCCGCATAGAGCTTCGCGGCGTCGAGGCTCTCGAGCTTATGCGTGCGACTATGGACGAGTTGTTCGTCGGCGACAAGATAGCCATCAGGCGCATTACCGCATACCTCTACAAGCTTGCTTCGGTTGTGGGCGACCTCACGACCATCCTGCTCGACGTACGTAAGGGCTGCGACCCTAACACGTTCTATCACTCCATTCGCCCATGGTTCCGTGGCGCAGACTCCGATCCTGCCCACAGGAAATGGGTGTTCGAAGGTGTTGAAGAGCAGCCTACCGACCTCTCAGGGCCAAGCGCAGGACAGAGCGCCCTGATTCATGCTTTAGACGTATTTCTTGGTCTAGACAACTGCAATGTGGTCGAAGGTGGCGTTGCACCGGACCAACGGACGCTGTTGAGAAGGATGCAGATCTACATGCCACGTTACCACCGCAATTTCTTACGACACCTCAGCACAAGTCCACGTCCTGTACGGACGTTCGTGATGCAAACAAGGTCTGATATGAACCTTTTGGACGCATACAATTCTGCGGTGCAGTCGGTGAAGGAGTTTAGGGATGCGCATATCAAGATCGTGGCAATCTATATTATTGCACCTGCTGCTCGTGAAAGGACGGAGCTCGAGCACGCAGATCCAGAAGCTAAGGAGGTTGGGAAGCAAGTGCTGATGGGCACAGGCGGGACGGATCTAGTACGCTTCCTCAAAGGCGTAAGGGACAAAACTGCCGAGGCAGTCGTGGAGCCTACGTTGTAGACCGTGTTGGATCTGGGATCCTGGAATAACATGAGCATCGGCATTTATGCATTTGGTCAACTTATTGGACATTATTCTGATTCGCTGATTCTTTCTCCTGGATGGCAACATGCCCGCTTTAATTGCTTTGTATATTCAATTAGCCTCCCTTAGACAAACAACACAATGGCAATCAGTGTCTCTTCCTAAATTATATGGGCTTACTTAGAATGTCGGACTTGTGGTTGAGTGTCTTCCATCAATACTTATCACCGAGGTCGAGCATTGTGGGACATTGGGCACTTACAGTAACAAAGCAAGATTCTTGCTTTCTCATTGTGTCCTACGTCATAGTATCAGCGAGTGAATGTACCACGTTGGGAAGCGCCTTTAAAGCTCTTGGCGCAATTTCCGTACCAGAGCATATCAGTTAGCCGGCCATAGTTACAGATAGAGAGTATATTGTCAAGGATCTTTGGCACTGGCACTCCATAAAGATGACGACGCGACAACAACACCACAAACCTGGGCTCGGCACTATTTTGACTGGAGCGAAAGGTGTGACGTAGTCGCCTATACTCGACTTTTCCGTGGAGCAGGAGCCAGGTTGGTCACAAGCCTACTGTAAGCCCTTCTAAAGCCGCTGACTGTGACGGGATCTTTCCGTCAAAGAGATCGCGCCTAGAGCGTCGACGTCGAACGATTCTAGGTCAGGAAATCGTAACTGAACTCGCACATTGAAGATTTCGGAATAACAATGGTTGGCATACCGTTAGTCGGGGCAAATCGGTCGGTCCCGCTTCTCATAGCAAGCATGACCATTCATATACCAGGACGGGTAGCTAAGAGGACAGCACCTAGATATAGAACATCGATACAAAGGTGTGGCTCTGGTAAGCTGCTTGCACTGCATCGAAGACTGACAACCTTTTGATAGAGGTAGACTCTGATCCAGATCACAGAACCCATTCGGAGGATACAAAAGGTGCCATGCCGACGTCAATTGATGTCATTCTTGAGTGCTCTCGAGTAGATGCCGTTTAATGATATGGGTGGTGACGAGAAGAGACGCCCGTGAACAGAGCATGATTGTCCGATTGCTCAGAGCCGGAGTTTCTCGCAAGAACCTTGAACAGGGTTTCATTTCCGAGTCGGTCGCCTAATAGATGATTACGAAGAGATGGAAAAAACGAAAAGATGGCGCTCAAGAGAGCACAGGACAAAGGAATAAGGTTCAAAGAGTAGCCGAAGGCTAATTGCGATATGGTTCACGGAGTGCTGTGAAATCCTTACGAGTTTTTGGCAAGAGCTAACCAGTTCAAACACTGGACAGGATCCATCCGTGCCTCGTGTCCGAGATTGCGGCTAAAAGGTCTCCTTTGAAGTTGCTAGATTAGTTGGGCGCAAGTGTTCGATATGATATTTTGGTCGGAGGGTCGATCGGATCTGCTGTCAAAGTTGTGAGAAGACGTTCCATGTAATATTTTACAACGAATCATGCCCCCACCCGTGAACCAACAATTAGCACTAACGGCATATCCAAAAATGTATTATAACAAATAAATACAAACACTTTTCCTCTCGCTTCATTTCCTTTCTGAGCTAATTGTCTTGCTCACTAGATTATCAGTCACTGATTTCAGTTTCTCATTGCTTTATTGTTATTGGGCATTTAGGAAGCACTGTTTTCGCATATCCGCATCTATTCCTTGACTACAGACACAAAAGGCCTTGCCGGGTCTTACTTTCAGATACATTGAAGACAAAAAGCAACAGACCTACTTTTTGTTCTCCACCAAGATCGCAATAACTTCTTGACACGCTCGCCCAAGATGGACATACACATCAACTCTTTCAGCTATAAAACACGCCAGACAATCATGGTGGAGGTTAACCAACTAGTATCCGAGCTATTCATATTACATTCATACTACAATGGCACCAGCAGCAGCCAACTACTATTCCGCTCCTCCCCATGCACACCAGAAGCAACGTGGCTATCGCATCTGCGATACTTGCGGTGCAGTTGAAAACCCAGTTGCCCAGAAGTTTAGACTCTGCGGTGGTTGTGTATGTCCCTTCCCTTCCCTTCAATCATCATCCCCCCTAACCACATCGTTATCTTTCCATAGATGACCACCCAGTATTGTGTAAGCTACTCAGTCTCCACTAGCATGACATTTTCTAACCCTATATCGTAGTCCACCGAGTGCCAAAAATCGCATTGGCCTTCTCACAAGACCATCTGTCAGCACACCGCTGCTCAGATGTCAGGTGCAAAACAGCAGGCCATCGGGCCTGCATATCCTGATGAAAATTTGGCGAAGTACCTTCGCAAGTTCACCTCAACACACTCTTCACTTCTCGGATGGGCCGGCTTCCAAGCCCTTCAATTAAAGCGCCTGCCTGCCAATATCCGGCAAAGTGCGTTGCTTATCGAGCTGAGCTACAACGCTCACGCCGAATCATTATATCGGTAAGTTCTAGTATCGCCGGACTTAGTGGGGGTAATTTTTACTGATTCCGCCGGACACGCAGTTTCTCAGTGGCAAATACGCATATAGTCTCTCGGACATTCGTAACCAGCCATGATCCACTCGTAGCCGCTGATATCAGCCGACGAGAAGAACGCTGTCGACGCAGTGGGGGAATTGGAACCCTTGTTATACTCGTGCAGTGTGGTGGCATTTCTCAAGTTATGCCTGTGGAAGTCGACCCACCTAGTAAAATCTCGTGGGATCCACGAGACGATTGGGCAGAAGTCCTCCGCCATTTCGTTGAATCTGGCCGAACAGATTTCAAACCTATATCCACGACCGCCAGGGGGTAAGTAGTCAAAGTTTGATGGATCGGACCGTGAAACTAACCGGATCGTATCTTAGGGTCGTTTATGGCTAATCTAAGATCATCGCCTTCATGACTTATGATTATCTTTTGGCAACGTGGATCGTTGCATGACCAGCATATTTTCGTTCCGCTGCATCGTGTTCGGACAATTTGTACTATTTACGTCGCATCCATTACAACCCATCATACCTCACCATTTCATGTTATGTTGTAATTGTACTGCATGTCGATTTAATGATTATCACCCAATACATTTGAAACTTGAATATTGAAAGCCGCTCTCAGAGGCCATGATGTCACTGGAAGTTTATGGAGCAGTACCGCCTGCTTATGTAAATCCATAGATGAATAACACTTTGATCCTTCCCATTTCTTCCAACTTACTGAAAGTAACATTGTCCCTAATCAATGATGACTGCTCAGGGAAGGACATACACATCTGCGCCCGCTGATGGATCCAGGACGATTACGCTACACGATTCGCAGCCACGTCCAGAAGATGACGCTAGTCAGCCTGGGGTTGCGGGAACTCTTAGATTACGGGGTGAACCACGCAAAACTCGCCAGCGAGTTGCATGGGATGAAGACGTGATTGACAATGAGGGATGCGGAAAGAAAAAGTCAAAGAGTGAGTGTGTCGAGTCTTGAATCCTTGTGGCGGTGTTGACTCGACCGTAGTCTGCTGTATATACCACAAACCTCGACGGTTTGACGAATCATCTGAGGAGGAATCATCTGAGTCAGACTCTGATTCAGACTGCCAGCATAGTAATTGCCCGCGTCAGAGAAGGATGCATCATCCAGAAGGAAACGGGCACAGCGATGGACTTGCTACGCGTGACGCCCCTAACAGGGGAGTGATTCATGAAGTAGAAGAAGAGGGCTCGAGTGGTAATGCATATGAGCGCAACCCCAAGAATAAAAGGAATTAGGTGTGTGGGTTGAAGTAGTATGGAGCGTTGTTCTGACGATGAGCATGTCAAGGTTGTCCGCCGGGCTATATATCCTTGGTACCTTACCTATAGATTTGTAGAATATATAATACCCTTATTCGCATACTTTCAGGAGCTGAGCCTACCGCATACATTCGGTTTATTGACATATTTTTAAGATGTTTCGCTCCTGTTCAAGTTGCGGAAGTTTTTGACGCCTACTACTAGTGGAGCCTCCAATTCCTACAACTTGAACTGTGACCTTGCTTTGGTACTTCAACCATGTATCATCCTTTCAAAAGGTCAAAACGCTCGCGAGAAACGACAAATTCTCCATCGTATCGAACGCGTTCGCTGTCTCCAAGGCTCAGACAGCGGTATCGTAGTCCAACTCATCCGAGTCTGCCGTCCAACTTTCTACAGTCTGTTGGTCTCATTGTTGCAATTATCATATTTGGCAGTCTTTATATCTCGCTGTCGAAATCGGTGTCGCAACGTACAGGGACGTCGCTTACTCCACCAAACACCACAGATTTCGGAATAGGTCCAACTCGAGTACGTTCACCGTCACCAAAAATTATTGATCGAACCGTCCTTCATCATGTCCTTCATGATATTCACGAACCCAATGATTACCACGATCTATCTCCCTCAACAGTCACACGACCCCATCTCAAATGGCCCCCGATTGTCACCAGAATTCCTGAGCCTAAAGATATTTCAGAATTTGAACATACAATCGTCCACGTTTCTAGTATACTGTCAGCTTCAGCTGCTGACGCAGTCCAATTTGACGAATCAGTTTGTGGTTCATTCCCCTGTCGCTTTCTTCTTCCTCTCCGTATCGCTGAGCAAGAACCGAAAGCCCACCTGCACCTGCACCAACTAGCTATTCTCGCAAGTAGCTTGAATCGCACTCTTGTTCTTCCGAATGTAGGCAACAATCGCATGGGGGCTTGTTTCAAATGGCCGTTTGATTTATATTACGACGTGGACCTGCTCAGAAGCGCTCTCCCCGCTATCAACACTTTGCCTTTCACTGTATTTGACAATTGGAGCGAAACGCGTTCCATCTTACCTACGAGCAGAACCATATCTTTCAGCGTCAGCAAAAGTGGCGAACGAGATTTACTCCCTGACGACCATTTCACCATCGATCATGGCCGTGCAGATCACAAAGCTGCTTCCTGCCTAAACTCCAAATCTTCTAGACTTTACCAAAGCTCCTCTATAATTTCCTTCAAGTTCTACCGCAACAATCCGATCAAGCCATCGACAAGCCAGCGTCTTATCCAGATTCTCTCAGAGGCTGTGGATTCCATGGAATACTTCTCAGACGAACTTGCCGCGCTTCCGCGATCTGACGTGTTAGCCATCGAATGGGATCTACGCCACCCAATCTTCCCTGAGCCCAACATAGACCTGCAATACTCTCATGCACTTGTTGAGCTTGCAGAAAGATTAGCAAGCTTCACAGGATCCTATATTGCGGTGCATTGGCAACTAGAACGTGTTCCGGTAGAAAACCTTGCGTGGTGTGCGGCATCGCTCGTCTCTACTCTTCGTTCAGTGCTCGGCGACGATGACTCGGGGCCTCAGCTAGTCTGGTTCGCTACCGACTACCACACCTTTTCAGAACAGCCAAGTGGTGCGAAGACTAAGAGCGCAAGATCTGGGACTTTTCGAGTTGTCACGCCCGAGCATGAGGAAGCCATGAACATCCTTCAGGACGCATTCCAAACAGGTGGTGATCTGGAGGGATATGCCATGACTGAGTTACCATCGCAGATAAAAAGGCTGAGAATGTTCGAGGGGAACGTTCAGTTTGAAGAAGAGATTCTAGAAGACTCAGGAGTTTCAGGTATCCTAGACAAGTTGGTGGCGATGCAGTCTCAGGTGTTTGTCAGCGGATCTAAGGCTTGCAGCAAGACGAGGTGCGTCTTCATGACAGCAGGTGGTAATATTTGATCAACGGCAGACCACAGTTCCTCTTCGAAGCAAATAGTCGAATTTCGAGAGAGCGTAATGAGGGATAAGGAAATTGCTCTGGACATCCGCAACGTCGTGGAGTTATTTGGAGAGTGGTAGCGAGTTTAGTTCCTGAAGTTGAAGTGGACAAATGAGAAGGAACGCGAAGGAAAGCATAGTATAGTCATGCATGGAACATGCTCATACAAAATTTTGCGATCACCGAGGGATGCAAGTTCTAGCACTCTGACCGAACTTATAGCGGCTCGCACCAGCCAACACCCTAATCTCTAGGTGCACCCCGACCAACACCTGCGAATGATGGTCTGTAATCGCCGGGCGCACCACCCTCCTTCTTCCGGTAATCATCGCGGTCGCCGCGAGGTGCGCGGTAAGCACCGTCGCCACCACCAGGGCGTACAGTTGCTGGGCGCGGAGGGCGAGCGGCCCGCTTGTGAGTCGAAGGGACGATCTCGTTGGGGAGGTGTAGCCTATTGATACATGAGTCCGGATAGATAAGACATAACAAGACTACGCACCACTCCCTGAGATAATCGACACCTTCAGGAGTCAAAACGTAGTAATACCACTGCCACGAAAATTGGGTCTTAACGAAGCCCTTGGAGGTCAGGCTCTGCATGGCCTTTATGACCTGAAGGTTAGGGACATCAAGCTCTTCATGCTTCGGCGCGTTGTAATCTTTCTTGGCGACCAGAACACCCTCTGAGATCAACCGATAATGAGCTCTGGAAAACCATCGCAAGGCCTGTATGCTAATAACCCACCCTTGAAGAGGTTCTCGTAGATGGTGCGCCTGTTTTGTTTGGTGATAATCATGCTGGGCTAATTGAATGGAAATGGGGAAGCTGAGGAAGAGTTGAAATGGGTTGAACAGTGCTCGTAGGAATCAAACGTACTGCGATGATGATCTCGCACTTGTCCGGCTGAGGAAGACTGGAGTCAGTCATGTCATCCAACTGGGAGGTAGCCCATCCAGCCATAGAGAGTTTCTGACACTCTTCTTTGCATCCTAATACACCACAGACGACTTGAACGGTACTCACAAGGATTTGACGGGCAGGAAGGGCCTTGAAATGAGTCTTGACGTCGAGCTGGACAGCGTACGCGTGCCTCTCGGACAAGGTTTCGACGAGCAACGGCGGAGTATGAAGTTTTCCTAAAAAGGAACTTCGAACTCTACTTATCGCGAACTCAAGGTTAACCGCACTTTACGAGAAGTAACGACTTCCTTAGATCTATCTAAGGTCTGAGGGATTACGGACGATGATACAATTTGTTTTCAAGGTACGGTTACATTGATACAAAACAAGAGGTGGCAAAAACACGCAGAATCGCACTGACACTAGTATTGTTCACAGGCTCGTTGCATGAGACTCTTCCAACAATCATGACGGCTGAATGACGAGACCTCCAACCATGGTCCATCGGAAGTTTACATTTCAGGCCCCCCTTTCGAGTATACGGATCATCCTCTCGATGTCGTCTCCGGAGATTGGATCCCTTGCCCGACTAAACCACTCGTTCAGGCTGAGGTCGCTCAGTGTAGTAGGAGATTGTCGGGTCGAAGCCGACCTCCCCATATCCGCGTTGATCCGTCTCGCCTCTAATATAATATCTTCCATGTTCCTCGCACAAAGGGATTCGTAGTAAGAGTTGTACTGCCCCTGGACAGTCCTAAAATTCTCATAAATACTTTGTCGAACATTTTCAATAGGAAATCCTCGTACTTTGTTTGCTCTTTATCGCGCGTTTCAACGGCCCGTTTTACAAATTCGGAAGACACTTTTTCTTGACCATGATAAGCAGCTCCAGACGTGCTTGGGAAAACAGCTGGCGTATCGTCCCGCGATAACGTTGCGTTTGTTTTACGGTTCAGAAGAAGCGGCCTCTGTTCCTGACGACAACCCTTGACCTGCGCATCGAGACTAGAACCCTCGAAAATTTGACTCGTTGCAGGCTCTCGCACGCGGTTTACTTCGGCAGCCCATCTGGCCACTTTGGATGCGACACGTTGGGGAGCTGGACTGAGAATATCTTCTGGAATGGGCATACGTAGTGGCGTTGTACCTGAAGGCTGGTGCAACGAGGACGCGTGGGCTGCTGGCGTTCCCAGATACACTTTCGGGGCGGAGATATGCATATCTACAGACCTTCGCTCCGCAGCAGCCTCAGCAGCCCAATCAGGGACGGGCCCGCGAGTTGAAGGACCTCTATGGGTCGTTATGCAATTGGAATCAGAAACAGTCATCCGAGGGGGGACATTTCGACGAGTCACGTAGGCTCCGGCAGAGTGCAAGGGCTGCGGTCTGTATGCCTTCGCAATGTGATCAGGTAGATCAGCCACGTACTTCCCTGAATGGGTAGGGTTGGAGAGGTTCACATTCAAAGCGTAGTCGGCTTGTTCCAGGCCTGGTCCAACGAGTCGGAGAGGCGGGTCATATCTCGTCAATGTGCTTTTCAGAACCAAGCCTTGCGGTGTGAAAGACACTGCCTGATTGTTCAAGGAAGTCTTACTGAGAACCACGTGTTGCTGTCTTCCGGACTGGGGCATTGCGGGGCTGGACTTGATGGCTCCCCCAATACAATGATTCTGTTCTGATGACTGTCCCGAAGGAGCGTGCATGGATGCCGACAAGAACCGATGGAATGGTGCGTTTGTTCCCGATTTTGAACAGTCCCATATCTCACTGGTTGGCTCCTGACCTTCGAGATTGGAATTAAATGTGGAATAAAGTTTGTCGTCTGACGCTATTTTAGTAGGGCCTTCCTTTATACTCGAAGGGCATTCCTTGGTGTTCTGAGATATCGACAGTTGATCGTTGTGTGTGGCAGACAGCTGTACAGAGGGAAATTCGCTAGGCATCGAAGCCTCCGGTATCGTCATAAACAAGCTACCCTCCTTCATGTTCGTCTTCCGTGGAGCCGAAGAGGGGGGAGCAAAGGCTGACACTTTTGTCTCCATAATCGCCTCGGGCATGAACGTTTCAATACCTGGCGCCAAGCATATTTTGTTGGGACTGTTGTCTTCGCGTTGATTGCTGTTCTTTTGACGCAGAATAGTTGGAGTGTCAAACCGCCTTTCATTCTCGCCCTGGACGATTGATGACGACTCAGAGGCCGTGCTGTGGCTAGGCGCCAAGGAATACGCCGGTAGTGGGGACTGGACGGCCCTACAAGGGTTTATGCTTTCCACGGCTGGATCGCTACGGGATTCATCGGTTGATGACCTAGTCCCTGGACAATGATTAGAACCTTTCGGTTCAGGGACATCAATCATGATACACGAGTTGAGAACGTGCTGATTATTATAGATACCATCTCGTTTCATAGCTCCAAGCTCGGCGCTGCCAGGAATAGTTTTTCGGTAGACACCTCCTTCCGAGTACGTCGGCTGCTCACCAGGAGCTTTTCCCTTTGGCGTCAGTCGGATAATAGGATACCCTGCTTTGCAAGGAATTGAGGCTGTCACCGTTGCTTCATCATCCCCGGAAGGCACTAGTGGCAAATAGGCTTTTGGACCCTCGATTTTAACTACTGGCACTAGGCCAGCAGAATCCCGTGAACAGATGACGTGAACCTCAGGTTTTCCGGTGATCACGCCAGGCACGGTATCGTCAGGAGCGTCTAGCCTGATCTCGTGGTCTGGACGATTGGTATGCACTTTCTGTCCGCCAAATGAAGTGTGCTGTTCGACAACCAATGGCTCCTCTTCACCACCGACATGGACGCAAGATGCATGGAGGAGGGGATCATCTACCTGCGACTCGTCGACGATGCCATCATCGGGACAATCTTCGAAACTTGGGTTCGCATCCCCCAGAAGTGGTTCAAGTCTAGTAGTTCCATCACCGATTTCCTCCAGCAGCGCGGCAATATCGACGCTCTCGCATGTGCTCTTCTCGTTCTCAGCAGGCGTTATGGTAATGATCGGAATTTGTGCTTTCGTGGCTGGTTTCTTCTGCACGACATAGCAGATCAACTTGATACCCATTGGGATCCAGCAAAGGCAGGCAGTGAGCAAGGCGTAAAACCGGTGAATTATGAGGAGTGGCCACCCCCGTGCAGTCACCATGAACATAGCGATGTAACGAGCAGCGCTAGACGACATGTGCGCAACTTTGCTGAAGCACGCTACTAGAATTTGGGTGAGGCGTGCTGTACCAGTGCGGAGAAAATGACAGAGCTTGGATATCACTTCCTTTATGATAGGCCATGACCAACGGAGGGTAGCCATGGGAAATGCCGCGATATACCGAGCGATTGCAGCACCTGGTTTCATTATCTTAAATATCCTTTCCATAAGGATCGCCACACCAGGGTTGACAAGCAGTGCATCACAAACTACAACCTCCGAAGACCGTTCGAATGGTGCAGCAACGAGCATCGTGAGGACCTATGCAGGAAATATCACCGAGGTGTATCAGTTTGAGGCGAGCGGTTTCAGGGGTATAGGACTCACAGATAGTATGAGGTATGCTGCACTCAAGGTGAGCACATAACGGATGAAGAGCAGCATAGGACAGAAGGTGATTATGCGCGGGGAGAAAGGGGCGAGTGCTTTGTGCTGCTTCTCGCTGGGCGCGGGTACCTGCTGGCGCACCCAGGAAGGGAATATTGCGTTGCGCGTGCGCTTCTGCGATGGGTGCAGCGCACCTGGAGGTGGATTGTGAAACCAGAAAGCGTGATTAGGTTCCGCCAGCGGATCGAGAACCCAAGGTGTCATGGTTGGAGATAGTGGTGTTGATGTTGTAGTAGGTGTATCGTGTGAATAGACAGGAGAAGATGTGGCTATTGACATTGAAAGTGATGGCTGAGAGTGAGCTAAATCCTCTGGAAGCATGACATTTTTCGAGTGCGAATAAGCAGAACTAGGCCCGAGAAATAGATGGGGCGAGAGATACGGAAGGGCGTACAAAGTCTGTGTGACATGCACGCTGAAAATGCGAAGCAGCGTGTCTAGAAGAAATGCCCAGGCAGCGGCTTGGATCTCTGGAGGGATCATTTTGGGTGCCAATAGGGATCTATTTGAATGTCGCGTCAAATATGTAAATCGAGAGGTGAAATGGAGTCACGAAAAGATAATGAAATGGAGAGGGAGGATATAAGCAGATGACAACGATGTTCAACTAGTTGAACTATCGACGCGACGACAGCACGTGACTAAAAATCAATGTCAAGTAATTACTAGTATTTTCTCAATTTATGACATATTTTCGTTCATCTTTTGACTTTTAAATTTGAACTGGGGAAGCCTCATGAGGTAAAGGTAGACTTAGACTGGTGACCTAGATACCAGCTGACCGTACAGTGTTTCGCGTCAATATCAAACATTAATTTCAACGAAACTTTTAATTTTCTGGTTACAGGTCTCATGACTACTCCGCCCTGCAGGCCTGATGGCCAAATAAACAATTTATTTATTCGCTATAAATTCAAACCCAGATTTACCAGTTCAATATCTATCGACGGCTTGCCTTGTTGTCGGGCTGGACTGTCATCAGTCTAACTGAAACATCAGTAAATTCGCACATTCCTTGCCTTCCTTTTTCGTCACTTATTTTCTCACATAAGAGCGCACAAGAACCATATCATCTCCTTGTCACAAGCTTCAACAAGTTCAAAAGCAGATCCCTTCCTCTTGTATTTAGCTTTTGTTCGCTTTTTTTGCACTTTTTGTGCACTTATTTGAGAATGTATTGCATTGCAATCATGATAGGTTTAATTTATATCCCCTTTTTTGCTCTTATTTTCAACTTATTTGTGCTTGATCACTCTTGTTATGAGGAAAAAACATTTGCATTTCAACTGAACAAGACAATTATTATAAGTAGGTAGCGAGAGAAATAAGTAGTAAGTAGAATAAGTGTGAAACTAAAAATGGAACAAAACATTGAAATGGACAAAAAAATGGTAGTATGATGACATTAGTACTAGTAGTAGTAGAGGCACCACCGACGAGACAGCGACAACAAGATGGTGACAGCAACGAGATGGCGACAGCATGGCAACTTGAATGAGAAAACAACCAAGGTACCAGCTACTAGTAGTAGTAGTAGTAGTAGTAGTAGTAGTAGTAGTCAGATTCAAGACAATAACAAGAGCGAAGAACATTACCTTTAGAGAATGAGGGCTCGCTCATCCTCAGTTTGGTCATCCACCTCCATCCATGTGCCACGCCTCTTCATGGCAAGGTTGTGTGTGAGCTCTGCGTTGTGGTAAACAACCGAGTCTGGCAAGCGGCTGATAGACATGATGTAAGCCCTGGTCTGCACGCCCCAATTGATATCTGAAAATGCCAATGGAACACTACTCTCTTTACCCATCGACAGATTAATGTGCAGCGGGGTCTTGTTGTTTTGGCCATTGCCAACGGTGTCGATGTCGCTCAGAAGCATCTGCCCATTGGCAAAAAGTTTGATGGCACATTCCATCTAAAACACAGGGTGTCAGCTGTATGAGGAGGGAAAAAATACATGCCGCTGCTGTAATGAGAGTGAGAGTGCCCTTCGAGTGTCCCAGCAATGTGTTGTTTATTCCTGGCATGTTGACAGCACCAGACATGGCGCACTTGTGCTGCACGAGGACCTGCACAAGGAGGTCAGACTGGAATGGTCTGGATGTCTCTCCATCCTCTAAGATGTCCCCGAACAAAAAGCAGAGATTTTCGAGCAAGCCTAATGCAAAATCTTGACGGTCCTGATCAGTGTCAAGGTCCTCCTGTGAGATCATGAAGTTTGCAAGTACAATGAGAGCCACATTGCTAATGCTATTGTGCCACTCCGACAACCGCTAGAGGGTCTACAAATAAAATGATCAGATTTACATCATGTGCAAAAAAAAAAACATACAAGGGCAATGGCAGGCCCGTTTGCTGTAACTGTGTGTGGAATCTTGTCTTTGTAGACTGCGTCCCAGGCTGACTGCAAGATAGGACAGAGAATGTCATCTGATAGAGTCCATACTTCATATAAATCGCCAACACAGCGAATGGCAGTAGGAATGAGCTCCATTGCCCACTTGTTTGCCATCTGACAACCCTTTGGAAGATGCTTCTTCCTGAATGCAGAACATGCAATTGCCTTGGAGGGAGTGGCGATAGCACGATGGGAACCAGTTATAGTGGTAGTGGACGATTTGGATTTCAGCCGTTTCACTGGAGGGGCTTTGAGAGTGGTAGCAATGTTGGTCTGACAACTCGCAATCAGTTAAACATAGAATCAAGCAAACAAAACAAACCATAGATGTCAACCGGTGCATGGACACTGGTTCAGAAGCAGGTTCAGCCTTAATTGTGATCATACAGTCATTAGTGACCTCCATGATTTCATCATCAGATGACAGCGACAATAAGTCGTCATCACTCAGAAGAGGTGGCTGTTTCCACTTCTGGCTTGCAGCCAGCAACTCATAATCCACTGGGAAGACGGAGCGAGATGTGGGTTTTTGGGCGAGGGGTGGAGGTACAAGGTCGGAGTCATAATCCGCGGCCTGTAGCTCATGACTGGCATCGGAATCAGACTTATAGTCCCCCAGGAAGGCAAGCTGTGGAGGGGTGATGTCGCCAATACCCGAATTCATGAAGATAATTTGGTCGCAGATATCACTGGGGACTTCTGCGTGCTTGGCATCCTCAATTGGATCAGGTTCTGAGGTTGCACCATGAGGGAAAACATTGTCAAGAGCTTTGGACGCGATCTGCAGTTTTGGTTGGAACTACATCAAATTTGAATATCAATATGATCAGACTCACAGTTAAAGCCTTTTTGCCTGTGAAACCAGAAAGAGGTTTATTGAACAGCTCCTCATCCTCATCAATGTTAGATGCATACAGGTTCGAGAAAGTAGACCCAGCATTGGGAATACTGATGGGTGTGGGGGGTGGAACATTGCTGCTGATAGTGCTCCCTCTTGTGAGCTTAGAGAAAGTAGTAGTACTGCGTGGGTGTGTAGTAGCAACCTTGGACATGGAGGATGGCTTTGAGGTGTTTGCAGGAACAGTCGATACCCACCCCGGGATACGTCCAGAATATGAAATTTTTTTGGGACTTGCAGTATCGATATCAGATTTATTTATTGCGACATTGAAGAAAAAAAAGGGCAGTTTCAGTGAAAAGGAGACTCATAGTTACTGTTAAGACAAACACTTACATATCCAATTGAAGCTTCTGAACGTTTGCATCACGTGCCTTTGTTGATCTGTCAAATGACTCAATAATGACGCCAGCGTTTAACACTTCAATCACATCTCTCACCAGCGGTTTGGTGGCCTTTTTTCTCTGGGATTTTGCTGCTACTGGCTCCTCCTCCAAGTCTTTTTCACTCACAGGATGTTAAACATTAGCACCAGCTGCTAACTGTCTGGCTCTACCATTTTGACCCTTGCCTTTGGTGACAACAGGCTTATCGGCGGCGAACAATTTCTGCTCCTGCTTGCCCACCATCCATAGTTGAGTCGGGGGTCTTCGAGGTTTTTGCAGCCTTCCCCACTGGGCATGCACGAGGATGCTTAGGCTTAGGTGTGTCAACATGGGCATTATCTTGATCAGCCTGCATCTGTGCTTGCATAGTTGCAATACACTGATAACTTTCCTGCACAGCTTTATTACTTGCCTCCTTTGCCTCCTTTTCATGCTGGTCATCAGCAGCCTTCTGAGCAGCGGTATGTCTCTTTCCCTGACTTTCAATCAAGATACATCCAGGATGTTGAGTTGCATTCTTAGGTCGAGTTGCCATGCGCTGCATAACTGCATTGGGCTGAGACATTGTGTCTATGGAGGGATTTGGAGGCTGAAGAAAGTTGGAGGCAGGCGGGTTACCGGGAGTTCAAGGCGAGTTTCATTACATTTTAAAATTTATGGTTGATAGCTGACTCTGAATAATTAATGGACCCTACTTAATAGTCTGACGTACTTGTCTAACTAATGTGAGTCTACTGCGACTGACATAAACCTCCGGAGCATATTTGCCAGCACTTTTTCAGCAGAATAAAAGGACCCACACCAAATTGAAATACCTTTAGTCTGGTGAGTATTAACGTTTACTAAAACCTGTCTGTTGGTATATTGACGTGCACTGGGGATATTTCAGTTCTGGTGGTGGGGTGACAATACTCACCAAAACCTTTCCGATGGTGGGGTGCCATTCACAGATGTTCACCAAAACCTTTGCGGTGGCCCAGCAATGTAAAGTTCACCAAAACCTTTCCAATGGTGGGGTGCCATTTGCAGATGTTCACCAAAATCTTTCCGATGGTGGGGTGCCATTTGCAGATGTTCACCAAAACCTTTCCGGTGGCCTGGCAACACCTCCTCCTGATTTTCTACCAACTCCACCTCAGTTGCCACCTCCTCCTGATTTCTCGCCACCTCCTCCTGATTTCTCGCCACCTCCTCCTGATTTCTCACCACCCCCACCTGATGTTGTACCATTGGATGATGATGAGGATCCAGAGTCAGAATTCATGGAAGTGAGCGGGCGTTACTATCGTATGTATCATTCACTCATCAATGGTAAGTTTTTTTCAATCAGTACCCTTTCATGAATCGTGACTCAGACACACTCTTAGGACTGCCATGCACAGCTGACGGTGTATTTCTACCTGCCCGGTACACCACCAACTCCTGCTCCACTGAAGTCTCCTCATGACTGGAGTCCGTATCGCAGTGATGTTGAGTTTTCAATGGCAGAGTTTACCTTCAAGCAATGCCATATGTCTAACAAAGCTTCGGACATACTATTCGACTTGATGGCTGCGCAGCTATTAAAACACAATAACTCCCCTCCATTTGCAGGACCACAAGGATTTGCACAAGGTCATTGACACTACACAGCTTGGCAATGTCCCTTGGCAATGTCTCTTGGTTCAATACATGGGGGAACACCCTGAGCACGATACTCCTCTGTGGATGGGCAAAGACTATGAAGTTTGGTACAGAGACCCCCGTGTGATGGCACACAACATGTTGGCCAATACCACCTACAAGGGTGAGATTGACTATGCGCCATTTCGAGAGTATGATTCAGTCGGACGATACATGCTGATGGAAAGACTTTATGTCTGGAGACTGGGCATGGCAACAAGCCATACATATTCGATGCATTTCTTATAACTCGGGGCATACTAACATTTATCAGGACGAGTTATCGAAGGATCTGAACACACATGGATCAATGTTCATCCCAATAATCCTTGGGAGTGACAAGACCACTGTATCTGTGGGCACAGGTAATAACAAATATTACCCCTTGTATGCCTCAATCGGCAATGTGCACAACAATGTGCAACACGCTCATCGTGATGCTCTCGTTATCATTGGTTTCCTCTCTATACCGAAAAGTACGTGTATTAATGTTTAAAATCGTGTTCTTCATCTGATCTATAGCGCAGCTATGAGGAAATATGCTCACAACAATTCGTTTCGTTATTTTGCCACCAGCTTTTTCACTGCTCGCTATCTGCAATTCTTTCCACCCTGAAGCCTGCGATGACCAAGTACAAGGTCCTGCGTTGTGCAGACGGTCATTTTCGACACATTATATTTGGCCTAGGACCTTATATAGCTGACTATGAGGAGCAACTGGTGCTATCTTGTACCATCAAAAACTGATGCCCGAAGTGAGCTCTTTCTTAATTCTACCTAACTTTTACTGACAATGTTTGTAGATGTCTTGCACATCGGGGTGACCTGGATGGTGGTGGTATCCCATGCACTCGAGAGCATACAGATCTCCTCGTACTCGAAAACATAGACTCAGATACATTGTGGCATGAATTTGGTATCATTAGCATTCTCGTCGTGAGTGATACTACCCACTCTCGAATTATGTACTTATTTATTTTGTACAGCCATTCACAAATGATTTCCCCCAAGCCGACATTCATCAGTTGATATCCTTTGATCTCCTCCACCAGCTAGTCAAAGGCGCTTTCAAGGATCATCTTGTGGATTGGGTACTAAAGTATCTCAAACTTACGCATGGGACCAAACAAGGAGAAGAGATCATGAGTGACATAGATCGCAGGTACATGACCTCACTCATTCATTTGGTATTCTCTAACAATAAGTCAGAATTGCTGCTGTGGCGTCATTCACTGGTCTATGGCGATTTCCTGACGGCTGTGGCTTCAAACAGTGGATGGGTAACTGATTCCAAGGCCCTCATGAAGGTTTTCATTCTGGCTATTGAAGGCCATGTACCTCAAGATATGGTGTGAGCATTTCACGTGCTTTTAGAATTTTGTTATATTGCACGATGCGATGTAATTACCAAAGCCTCTCTGGTTCAACTCAGTGATGTGCTCACTATGGTCCACCACTACTGCCAGATTTTCGAAACCACAGGCACAGTCCCTCACTTCTCATTACCTCATCAACACTCAATGACCCACTATGTGGACATGATCCGGTTGTTTGGTGCGCCAAATGGATTATGTTTGTCGATCACAGAATCCAAACACATCAAGGTGGTGAAGGAACCTTGGCGGTGGTCTAACAAGCACAATGCCCTTGGTCAAATGCTATTGACTAACCAATGGCTTGATAAACTCGCAGCAAGTCGCCGGGACTTTGCTGCTCGCAGGATGCTCATCAGCTCTGTGTTATCAAGAGCCATGGCTGCTCTCAGTAAGTTTTCATACTTAATCAGATTGTTTTACTTACTCAATATGCAGCTGTTGGCCCTGAAGATGAGCCAAACGCCCTGGTGATCGCACCAGAAGTGGAGGGTGAGGTTGACAAGGGTGAAGCTGTTGATGGCCATTTAAGCTCGCTTTTGTGCAGCTGGAAAAGACACCTCATAAGGCAAGGACACCTCATAAGTGATGCTCTAGTTAATTTTGATACTCATTAAGGTTTTAATAGAACAAAAATGCATGCGGACTGTAGCAGAACTAGCAGATGAGGTCAATGTACCTCACCTGCGACGCCTTATCCAGTACTTTCTGTTCTCTCAACTCTTCCCGAATGATCCCCACAACCCAGAGGATGTCCCTGCTGCTAGCTGTCCTTGGCACGAAGGTGGACTTTATGTCTTCAATTCTGCAGCCGCGACATTCTATGCCCCAAGTGATCCCAGTGGTGTCAGCGGCATGCGACGTGAACAGATCTGAGCTTGTCCACTCTGGCGGAATGTCTCTCCCTGTAATGATTGTGTGTTTGTCAACATCAATTCAGACCTTGAAGGGATGAAAGGGCTCGAAGTCGCAAGAGTCAAATGTTTTTTTTCTTTCAAGTTTGATTGGGTCACATATCCATGTGCCCTTGTTCAGTGGTTCGACAAGGTCAGTGACTGTGCGGATGAGGATACTGGCATGTGGATAGTCCATCCAAGTGTTCATGATGACAGCACCCCAAACTTTGCCATCATCCATATCGACACAGTTTACCGTGCAGCACACTTAATCCCTGTCTATGGTCCCAACTTCATTGCTGACGACATCAAGTACTTTCATTCTTATGATGCATTTCGCTCATTCTATGTTAATAAATTTGCTGATCACCATGCCTTCAAGATCGCATTGTGATTGCCGAACTTCGAGGAGATTGAGATGAAGACAAAGACTACTAACAGCCGACGCCCCCACTGCACAACCAGACGATACAACGGGTGACGTCATCATGTGATATGACGAATATATGTAACAATGGTGAGAATGAAGAAATGGACAATGGGTGATGTCATCATGCAGTATGACAAATATAACAATGGCAAAAATGAAGAAATGGCTAACACTCCCATTGTGCAACCAGACGATACGGAAGGTGATGTCGCCATGCGCTACGATGAATACAACAAGAGATACTAACTAGTGACTCTCATCAGCAGCAGCAACAACAACTACAGCCATCCACTCCTGATCTGTTCCCAGCCTCACAACTTCCATCCATCCGTTCTCGTTTGAATGATTCTAATACCAATGTGAGTTAGTTATTCGTTTATCAAAATATATTGACTCACCTCCAGTCTGCCGGCACGCAGCTTCATGCCAAGTCATGAATGCGCTTCGTTGCACCTTCCTCATGTGTAGTAGACATTAGTGTCTACTACAACACATCTCTGATCTTCTCCAAACCGGACTAAGTGCTACGAGCGATCACATTCATTCACACACAAGACGCAGCACTCACCATTTGTGTGAGGTTCATTGTTTGATGATCAGAGTAAGTGTTTGCTACTAGTGAATGATATCAGTGGGCTGAAGATAGACATTTTTTCAGCCGCTGAACTTTTCTGATGCTTCTCGTTGTCGAGCACAGCGAGGAACTTAGTATTACTACTCATTTGTAACTACTTAATTCAATTGTATACAATGTTTTCACTTTTTCTCGCTTTCACTACTTAACTGCTTGACTGCACTTGTAAGCGCTTGGAAAAAAATAGTGACAAGTGACTAAGCACAACTAAACAGCAGCATGTCAAACATTTTCGTGACAAGTGACGAAAAATCACATTAAAGCACGTTAACCATTGTGCGAATTTACTGATGAACTGACTCTAGTGTCTATGGTCAGCCTTAGTTGTAGTATTTGGCCAAACTAATGTGGTTGTTGCCACGGATCCATTGACATTTTTCATGGTTGTTGCCACCACCCCAATTTGGCACCTCTGGGCAAATTAGGGTTACCTGCAGCATTAGGGTTACACTTCGACGACACATATTTACATAGCTCAGTCGGACTTCAAACTTTCATCACCTCAACGGGTCAAATTAGGGTTACCTGCAACATTAGGGTTACACTTCGATGACACATATTTAGCTCAGTCAGACTTTGAACTTTCATCACCTCAACTACCCATAGAATAGGGTTTTCCGTCTGAACAGTACTATTAATAATTCCATTCCAATAATATAATATACATAATCCTGCTTGCGCCACCCACATCATCACTGTACATTTTCATCTCACTATACTGTCCAGTGCATGCCTCTGTGGAAACAATACAGCATTAATGAGGTAAGCGGTATGGGCTCACACATTGCCAGTATTAATGTGAGTTTATGTCTATCAGCAATACTAATAACATGGTCCCAATGGTCAGAAGTGACTTTGATCCCCTCCAATATGTTGAAAAGCTGCAGCAAAAATGGGCAAAAGGAACTCGCCTAGAGTTTTTCACCAGTAAGTTAGAGAAGTATAAGGTTGAACTTTTGGAAAGCAGGCACCACACCAACGACTATATCGACTTAGTGATTAATGAGTATTTCTGTCATTATCATTGGAAGCTCAAAGTTAACGAAGAACCAACAACACCGTATGACTCATTGCAACAGATCATCCTGGAGATACTCAATGATGAGGAGTCTGAGCAAAAAAAAACAGAAGGTTACTGCAATGACCAAGGTATGTACCATCTACTCCAATTTTAACTCGCTTGTCACTCAATGTGTCGTTAGGCTATTTGCAACTGGTTTGAGTACCGCTCTCGAAAGTTAAACCCTCTTGGTTGTCGTCTCAAAACTGAAACTGATCCATGGACCTGCTTACTCAAGCAACTCTCCAGGGTAGCGAAAAACAAACCAAGGGCATTGCAAGCCCACCAGCACTGGTCGAAAGACCATTTTACACTGATCTCAAAGAAGAATTTGAGGAGAAATGGAAATGTGCCCAGAAGCCAGCCAAGGAAAGGGCTACGTTCTATGATCAACTGACGCGACAACATTTCCTCAGTCTAGACGAAGACATTCGCAAGACATATGAAAAGTTGGCAGAATTGGAAGGGATTGCTAATGTCGAGGCTTGGAAAGCTGCGCTTGCTGCTCCTACTTCCAAACTACCTGCTGATTGTCAACGGTGATTTTTATTTTCATATTTACAAAATGCTGCGCTCAATTTTAAGCATCTGAAGTGCCCTTGATCAACTCCCAGAATTTTCTGGCCCCATACTCGCTGGCATATCCGACATCACAGGAATGCACTGTACTTTGTTCATTGGTGGTCCTGAGCCTCGCAGGAAAGGCCAATTAAGTGTTATCATGTCAGTCTTCCCTTAACTTTTCTTCTCATGCATTGATTGTGCTATCCAGGATGCATGAGGGTGTTGATCTCAGTGATCACCCCAAAAACTGGCAAATGGCTGACAAGACCAGGTTCAAAATCATGACAAGTCTTTTTCAAGAGTTCTTGGCTACATGCTACAGTAAGTACAATATACTCTACTTGCCCATCAACTAATACTGTGCATAGCTGAAGCGGATAGGGAAGGAGCAAGTCTAGATGATGACAGCGACACATCGACAGCCCCCATTTTACCTGCCATTGAAACTGATTCCAATGCCATCGTGGAGCCTGATGCCACTCCCATAGCACAACCGTCAGCAGTGGATGGTTCCTCGCAGACCAAGGTGGCTAAGAAGAGCCAGAAGCAGAGGGCCCATGCCAAGAATTGACACCGCACTACCCCCACCGGAGAAACAGATGGTTCCTCTGATTCATCCAGTGCTAGCTCCAGCGACGATGACGGCCACCACTCTGTTACCAAAGTCAAACACGCCCTTCCTTACGCTGCCATCAAAAGACCAGTCATTATCCCTCCATAACCTCGCATGATCAGATTGCAGCATCCAGCTGTTACAGCACACCCTGATATTCCTGCACCCAATCCAAGTGCTGCTGCTGATCCTATCATTGCTTCTCCGGCTGATGAGCCTATCATTGTTTCTCTGGCTGACAAGCCTATCATTTCTTCTCTGGCTGATGAGCCTATCATTGCTTCTCCGGCTGGCATGCATGATAAGCCAGGTAAGGTGTTTTTTCTCCTTGACTGTAATGACTCACTCCTGCTTGTGAACAGCTTCCGATCTTGAGACCCAGGGAGTCATTGCAGAGGAGTCTCTTAGGTCCGACAACATATGTGATGAACGTGACATACAGGATGGTGCCCAGTATGTAACACTTTCAATTGAATGACTTGCGTTTGACATGTTCTACTCCCAGTTTTTCCGAACATATGTCTTTACCACCTGTCTCCTCTCCTTTGCAGGTGTCGTCACCTGAGCTGAGGCCCCATGAGGCTCGATCGTTAGACAATGAACCCCATGGATCTGCACTGGAACTCAAAGCATCAATTTCCCTCCCTTCCAATTCCCCCTCCTGGGTCAATACCGCCCTTGAGTATCTCACAGCTGACACTTCCCTGCTCCCCCCTCTGTACGACATGCTGGTCGTGAAATTCATTGAACTCGAGCAGACCAGTGACTTCGAGAGTCCATCTGGACCTATGTTTAATCTCAGCAGCGAGAATCGGCCCAAGGAAATCCATTGGTGGGTCTCACGTGGACGCAAGGGACGCCCTGTCATCCCTGATATAGAGAAGTATGTGACTCAATGGTGGCATTGGTGGGCTGCAGTCCAGCCTTCCTGGAGGAATATTGGCGCCCCAGACTTCTCAAATCCCGACGAACTTGACCATCAAGATGGTGACTGGGATGCTCTGTCTAAGCCCGGCAAGAACGGTGTAGAAACAACAATACAACGAGGAACAAAAGAGGCTCCTAGCTGTATCTATAAATGTTGTGAGGTCACGCGTTGCCTAGTCTGCTATTCTTGAGACGACAAGTGCGTTCGACCCTAGGGGAAGCAAGTGCAGCAAGGATCTAGAAGTGTGCGCTGAAGCAAAGCGCGAGAAAGTGCAGGTGTGCGCAAGGCGCGGGAACACGCGCGCGTATTAGCGCGAAGCGCGGGAAAGCGCGTGCACGTATGCAGAAATAATAGAGAAGTTAGACTCAAGTGCTAATATGATGCAATATAAGAGAAGAGAGATGCGAAGTGTAGACAAATAGACTTCTACTATGTTCTGCTAAGTAAAATGGTGGGTGGTAACTAGTAAGTTGGGTGAAAAGTAAGTGGAAAACTTCTGTGCTGGCGCTTATATAGCACGCCTAAGTGCGGTCATGTGGAGCTGAAGCGCTACCGAGTAGGTATGTAAAGATATATATAAGTAAGGGTCCATTATAAAAATATAGGTGGAATGATATGCTAATAAAAGAAATGGACATATACGCACTAGAGGGTTTGGTGGACAGTGGATGGATGCTTCTGGATGGCTGGCGCTATAGGGCGCTCAAGCGCAGGAACATGTGCGCGTGCATACATTGCGAAGCGCGGTGTAGAGACTCGTGCATCTCATAGTGTGATATGGCGCTTTACACTAGGGAGTATACAGCACCAACTCGCAGCATCACTCTGTGTACCATCCACAGTGATTCCTATATGACGCGCAGCTTTCCCGCGCAATGCGCGCCATGCGCGCACCATTCCCGCGCTTCACGATGTATACGCGCGCGCGCGTTCCCGCGCTTGCGCGCCCTATAGCGCCAGCCATCCAGATGCATCCATCCACTGTCCACCAAGCTCCCTAGTGCGTATATTTCCATTTCCTTTATTAGCATAGTTCCACCTTTATTTTTATCATAGTTTCTCACTCATATATATTTTTACATACCTACTCGGTAGCGCTTCGGCTCCGCATGAGCGCGCTTAGGCGCGCTATATAAGCGCCAGCAGTACATACTATTATTTACCTTACTTTTTCCCTTTAACTTACTAGTTATCACCCACTATTTACTTAGCAGTACATAGTAGAACTCCATTTTGTCTACACTTTGCATCTCTCTTTTCTTATATTGCATCATATTATCACTTAAGCTTAGTCTCTCTTATTACCGCTTACGCGCGCGCGCTTTCCCGCGCCTTCGTACCTTGCGCGCACCTGCGCTTTCTCGCGCTTCGCGTTGCGCGCATACCTCTAGATCTTTGCTGTACTCACCTCCCCTTTAGGGTCGAACGCACTTGTCTCCTCAAGCAATGCAGACTAGGCAACGCGCGACCTATCAACATTTATAGATACTGCCAGGAGCATCATTTGTTCCTAGTAGTATTGTTGTTTTTACAGCGGGAATGGTGCGTGCATGGCGCGCGTTGCGCGGGAAAGTTGCGCCTCATATAGGGATAGCTGTGGGTAGCGCACGGAGTGACACTACAAGTTCGTGCTATGTACTCCTTGGTGGGAACTGCCATATCATGCCATGAGAGACATGATTCTCTACAACGGATTCCTCAGTATTCTCGCAACTATTGACTGGTGGGCATTGGCCAATGACAGCCAAGGTTGGAAACATGCAGTGTGAGCTATCGCCATTGCTGATGTTCACTGGGTGATGAGTCGTGTTATCGTGTTTCGTGCTTCTAATTCTCAGAAGAGGTGAGCAATTCAAGCCTTCATTGATCTTTTTGTTGGCTAACCCATCCATGTCACCTTCAGTATCCCTGGGAAGCGGGCACCGGCAGATGATAGTGGCCAGACCATGAAGAAGAGGTGAGCAATTCAAACCTCCGTTGATCTTTTCGTTAGCTGACCCATCCATGTCACCTTCAGTGTTCCCCGGAAGCGGGCACCAGCAGATAACAGTGGCCAGACCATGAAGAAGCTCTGCACTCGCCGGTGATTCGTTTTATGCTGTTTTTGACATCTCATTGTCTTGTTGTCGTGCTATCCAGCCTTCTTACCCATACTGCATCAAATCGTACCAAATACTGCCATGTTTGTTTCGTTGTCTTGTCATCACGCTGCTCGCCCTTCTGTCCATACCACATTACATTGCACCTAGTGTTACTTTGTCTTGATCACTTGTAATTCCAATATAAGTTCTTTGCTATGACTCGCTCGATTGCTCAATTCACCTCAGTGTGTAGCATGAATTGTTATGTTACACGTACATGTCAATGTGTCTATCCTTCTGATACTTTAACATTTGACCTACATGCGCGATTGCAAGATGAGTGCTACCCTGGCTGACATTCCATGAGACATCCTCCAGGTATGCAATCACATGACGAATTGCCTGGCAGACTTCATCTGCAACCCTCCACTCATCACATACTCCACACATATCCAAAATTGAATCTTGACCAAGGAACACCTTCTCATAAATACCTTAAACCTTCAGGATGGCGTCATTGATTATGGAAGGATCACCTGGGTTGCTGTGGTCAACAGTTTCGATATCGAAGCATTCATGAGGTATTGTTGCGACATACTTTGCAAGAATATGCTCGACATATGCATAAGGGCCAGGTAACATGGCGAGACCGATTAGCTCATCCTTGGCATCTTGGACAATCTCCAAGCATCTAGCTAAAGTGGTGCTATTATTACACTCAGCTGCTGCCAAATCTTCATTGAAAGGTATCAAAACTTACGGTGCAGGAGACAGATCACGAGCTGAGGATGAGGATGAGGTTGAACAATGGTCCATCTCTGGCTTGGAGGTGGAAGATATTTTGGGTGTCGTTGGCATACAAGATTGAAGGCACCATTTAGTGTTGATAATATCCTTATGGCTGTATCATGATGGGTACTCAGCTAATGATTTTATGATCAGATAATAAACTCACCTGTGATAGTACTTTAGTTGTTTTGTGCGTGCAGCGTGCAGCTTTGCTTCTGGGGTGGTGTGTATGGCTGGACGAGCCATGAGTAACCTAAGCAGTATAAGAAGTAAAATTTTCTACCTGTGCGAATTGGGGGGGAGAGTTCTGTTGGCCAATAAAAACAATACAATGTCTATTGTTGTGATTATGGTCATTGAACAGTGAGAACCCATAGTACAGAGCAGTGAATTCTAAGTGTCAAATCAGTGCTAGTTAGTCTATACAAACCAACCTAATCCTTTGAATACTGAGAGGCAGCTGGGATAGAAAGGGGCAGAGGGATAGTGCTATTTGGAGTTTGCGGCAATCCAGGACCAGCATGACCAGGCCCAGTGCCAGTTGTAGATGGACGCCAATGATGTTTGTCTCCTGCTGTGGCTGTTAGTGCTTCCAGGGCCAGGCAAAGACATTGGGCCAGACACAAGTACCAGGAAAGTATTCGAGACTGCAGAGGTCTGGAATGTCAGTTCACTTGGTGATTAGAAATTTGTTACCAGTGGCATGTATCAATGACATTATTGATTATGGTCCAGCAGCCTAATGGATTGTACACACTGATTTTATGTGCATATATCATTAGGTCCAACTATGCACATCAAATCAGTGAGATTCCGATATATTATTAGGCTTGTACTGGTTAGTTATATGTTGAAAGGTCAGTATAACTGTTAGCTGAGTGATTGAACATCTGTTATCAATAGGTCTCATGACTATTGATTATGGTCCAGCAGCCAATAGATTCCGGCATATTGCAGAGCAGTTGGACCTAAATGCACCCATATAAAACTGATATTGATCCTTGTCTAGGTGCAATTCAGTCACATATTCAATGCACTAGATTGGCTAAGACATGAACTTCAGAGAGTCATATGTAAGTTACAGTTCGGTATTCACTCCATTCTTTTCTGCGTCGTGGAGCTCAAAAACTACATCACAGATAACACAATGAAGGTGTTCCAGGTCCTCAGGATGATAAAGAAATCCAACAACTTTATTAGCTATGAGGTCAACTGTTCGGTGACTGTTCAGAGGGAGTCACAATGATACAGTGAATGAACTTACTGCAATATGTTGGCATACAACTGGAATCCAAGGGTGAGGGTGGGGGTGAGGGCAAGGGCAAGGAATTCGGGGGGCGTACAACCTCGCCATCTTGTCCAGCCTCGTCTTGCTGCGCTGCATGCTCTCTGTCGGCCTCTTCTCCATTCTTGATGACATCTGCAAGATAGATGTCACGCATGACATCTCGAACAACACTATGAAAATCCTTTGTGTGCTCAGGACGACAAAACAGGGTGACAGTTGCACCGGCAATAAGATCAACTATGTATTGCTAACCGTTCAGTGAAGAGTTGTAACATTTTGAGATTACACTACTTACCGCAGCACGCCGGCATTAAAACATGGCCAATACAAGCACCACAAGGATAAAATTTGTCCATGGCAGCCTTGGTGTGACCGCAGGTGTACTCGACAACTGGTGCAGAGGAAGTGGTGCAGTTGTTCATTGTGGTAGGGTAAGGGGCAAACAGAATAGAGGGGGAGTATCTTATAAGGTATCAGTTATGAATGGATAGACCCGAATCAAAGATGAGACATACTGGAGAAAGCTACTTGATTGCCAAAGTAACTTGATATTTGCCAAGTGGAGGATCTCACTTGGCAGGAAACCTTCTTGCAAAAGAATGGCATTGCCCTCCTGGTATGTTGATTTTTTTCAGCCTCAATTAATATTCATAATGGTAAAAAAGTGAAAGTATATTGCTTACCACAACAACTCTGATAGCGAAGTCGACATTGGGATGTCACAATCACGTATGGTTTCATTAACTTCCGACCATCGAAGACTAACCATTACAACGTGTTCGCCGAAGAAGATTGGGAAAATGACCACAGGACAGCCGATGAATCAATGGGAGACGAACCTTGATCTTAGTTTAGGTGATATTGGGGACAAGTATTATGTCAACGATGACAGTGTTGTCCATTCAGATTCCATAGTACAGACTCCTGCCAAGCATTACCCATCATCGGTAAGCTATATTATGTATAGTGGAGTATACAGGAATTCACCTTTCAATGCAGGATGCGCCATTACGCAAATGGATGGGTTATGAGTCCAGAAGTGGCTATCGCAAGGAGTACCTCCTTGAGGACTTGTGTCTAGAAGGTCGCGGTAGTGCCACAAATGAATTATGCTCCTGTGGCGAATCAGATGCAAATGGTCTGAAAGAGTGACTTTACTGGTGTGAGGACTGCTTCGGCTTGGAAATGACATGTGCAGCATGTTGTGTGGTGTCACATCGATGATTGCCTTTGCATGTTATCAAGGTTGGTGAATGCGTGCAGCTAAATGTCACGTTGTTCTTACTTACTATGTTTCAGAAATGGAATGGGTCATTGTTTGAACAAAGCAGCTTAAAAGAGATAGGATTGAGAGTGCAACTGGGGCACAGTGATTTGAAATGTGTGTGTCCTGAGCGTGGACATGTGGATTTCATAGTTATACATGTGAACAGAATCCATCGCATCAACATTGATTTCTGTGACTGTGAACAACATGTTTCCCATCGTCAACAGCTGCTTCGTTGTGACTGGTACCCTGTGACAATCCATTTCCCACAAACTGCATGCACAAGGTGTGTACTCAAATATTTTCTTGTTATGATGTGGTCAAGCAAGGTCTCAGGGCATGAATTTTATATGACACTTGAGCATTTGACAGACAATGTGGGATTGAATATTCCCAATGTGAGTCCCTTATGTACTCTGTTGTTCAACTCTCAACTAAAGTACTAACATACCTTAGAGTCGATACAGGGCCTTCATGAGGACAATCTGACAGTTCAGGCATATTAGAATGATGAAGCAAGCGGGTCGAGGAAATGTTGGAGGAGGAATCACTTCAACAGAACCAGGCGTGCTTGCAGTACAGTGTCCTGCCTGTCTGCACCCTGGAATCAATTTACCAGGAGACTGGGAGCAGATAGACGTCTCTCTAAAGTTAGTTCAAGTTGTTCACATGTCTCTTTCCATCTACTGACATTGGCAAACAAGGTTCCTGTATGCTATATTCCTAGCTCTAGATGCCAATTTTCGCCTCAAGAACCATTTGTGGTCATCCAAAGCTGGCGATCCTGGGTTGCATACTGGTCTCACATACTTTGTGCCCAATGAGCCTTACAGGGCACATATTTTAAATAATGCTAGCATCGCTTCTTGGACCGACACCAAGTGGCACCCCCAAGTAGGACCCCAAAAGAAATTTTTTCAACATAGCGCTCGACAGCGCCAATGACGCCAAAAGGCGTCAAACCTCTCCCAGACCAGTCTAATCCCGATAGCTTGTTAATATACATCTCTCCTCCTCCTCCTCCTCCTCCTCCTCCTCCTCCTCCTCTATCTCTCTCTCTTTCTCTATCAATTAGAAACATACTAGACCCAGAAAACACAATGACGCAAAAACAAAACATATAATGATGCTAAACACAAAAACAACCCAAAAAGCAACTAACCTGGCCACCAAAGCAGTAAGATCATCATCTAGATTAGCAGTACATGAAATCATGGGCATCAATAGCGAAGTTAATGATGTAGTAAGTGCCAAAGCTCATCTCACACAAACAGCAATGGCCATCAGCGGCAAACCATTTTCTACTGACAATCTATCAGACATCCTATTCCACATAACTCAACTCCCTGTAATGACAATACCAGCGCAAAACTCAATTAGAGCAGTTGCCTTCCTGCTAGAAGAAGTGGCAGAAATAGACTCAGCGGACAAAATCACTAAACTGGTACTAGCAGCTGTAGCCCCACAAATAGCCAAAATTCAGGACATCTCAGAAACCATCTCTGCCACAGCCAAACAAATGAAAGCTACCCAAACCAAGATCACGGACATCTCCACCAACATCAACGATAACAACAACTCCGACAAAACCATAGATACAACAGCTATTGATTCACGTCTCGAAAAGATGCAAGACACTGTTATGACCCTCACAATGCAAGTCAAAGAAGCCAATCAACAAGACAGATACAAGAAAGCACTACTATCAGGAATCCATATCAACAACAACCCAGCAATAACCCAGAGAGCAGCAAGAGAAGCAATCAAGGCACACCAAATACTCATCGACATAAAAATGGACAGCCATCTAGCCCCAGGAAAAGTATCCCATGCCCAACTTCTCGACAACATCAAGAAAGTGATAAGTACCATTACTAAACCTGACTCCCCAGAACTCGAAATCCGAGCGGTAAACCAATTCCATAACAGAGGAACCGTAATAGAGATGCTCACAATCGAAGGCGCTAACTACTTAAAAACAGATAAAATCAAAAAAGAATTCATTCAAGCGCTCGACCCAATGGCCTCTATCAAAGAACGATCATACCAAGTAATTATTCAATTTGTCCCACTAACATTCAAACCTAGCGATCACACTCAACTAAGAGACCTTGAAAAAGAAAATAACTGGACAAATGGCACCGTAACTTCAGCAAGATGGGTCAAACCCCCAGAAAAATGTAACAACAACCAAAGAGTAGCACACATCATAGTCTCTTTCTCTAATCTAATAATGGCTAACCTAGGTATACACGATGGAATAATGCTCAATAGCACTCACCTCCAAATGAGAAAGAACAAGTGAGAACCCATACGATGTGCCAAATGTCAAAACTATGCACACATCGCAAAGGAATGCATCGCTCATAATGATGTCTGCACTAACTGCTCTGAATCCCACAGAACGAGCAACTGCAATAACAAAACTCGCCACACTGTGTATCCTGCAGCTCCGATGATCATGCAAGTTGGGACTGCGCATGCCCCAAATTCATCAGCAAATGCGCCGACCTAGACACTAGACAACCGGAGAATACGGTGCCCTACTTCCCCACAGATGAAGTGTGGACCCAAGTACAAGTGCCAGAAAAAGCAAAACCATATATCAAACAAAGAAATGAAAACAACTACTGGGACCCACCACCGCCTCCATCCCAGCCCACCCAAAACACCATGGACAAGTACCTAGCTCCACCAAGAAGAACTCAACCAACGAGAGGCTCATATGTACCATCAAACAGAGGATTCACACATCAACAAACAAACCAACGCCAACGATCTATAATGCCAGCCATATCCACCATTGACTCGCTATATGCATAATACACCCAACAATCAACCAACCAGACTGAAGATATGGCAGGAAAACCTCAACAAATCAGATACAGCCTAACATTGTGTCCTTAGCGGTCCCTTCACAGCAAAAGACCAAGACATACTGATTATTCAAGAACCATGTATCAATTTCCTAGGCAACATGAGAGCAACCCAGGACTGGAACATCATATACCCTTTGAACCGACACTCTGATGGCAACAGATCCTGCGCAGTCACCCTCATCAACAAACACATCAACACCAACAATTGGCGCCAGCTACCATTCCCATCCTCTGATGTAGTACTAATACAGCTTAATGGTCCTTTCGGAAAAATCACTATATTCAACATATACGACGACAGCAAGAAATGCGAAACAATCCCGGCCATATCTAAATATCTAGAACGAGAAATCTGCACCATCTGTCCCTCAGCCAATGACCATATTCTCCTGATGGGCGACTTCAATGCCCATCATCCTTTATGGGAAGAAGAACAAAACACTCACCTTTGCTCACCACCAGACGCTCAACACAATGCCCAACTAATCATAGACCTTCTAGCAGACTATGACCTACACATGGCACTCCCGAAAAACATACTGACACTACAATCCTCAAGCACTGTAAACTGGACAAGACCCGATAATATCTTCTGTACTAACCACATTCTAGATGCCTTCACCATATGTAACACTGCTCCCAGACGACGCCCCCCACGCACAGACCATGTACCTATAATCAGCATCCTGGACCTAGAAATTCCACGCACCTCAATGTTGATCACCGCCAACTTCTGTGAAGTCGACTGGAAAGTATTCAACGGCTACCTCCAGACATACCTCAGCGAATACCTGGAACCTACACCCATCACCTCTATAGAACAATTCCAAGCTGCAGCCAGCAACCTCAGCACCACCCTCAAAAAGACTATTGATAGCAAAGTCCCCAAAACAAAACCCAGCCCCCACGCAAAACACTGGTGGACAAAAGAGCTAACGATGATGCTAAAGAAGAAAGATGAACTAAGTGGACAGTCCTACAAAATGCGCGGACTACCTGATCACCCTATACACAAGGAACACCACAAGTACCATAACCAAGTCACCGAAACCATCTGCAAAATGAAACAAGAACACTGGATAGAATTTCTCGAAGAATTGGACACTGATAGTATCTACACCGCTAACAAGTTCATCACCAGACCATACAGGGATGGAGGCAGGATCAGCATCCCAGTACTCAAGACCAAAGACGCCAATGGTAATCACTTGGAAGCTATCACAAACAAAGACAAAAGCAAAGCCCTCGCGGAAGCCTTTTTCCCTCCCCCGCTGAACTCAAGCGCTGTACCAACTAACTTTGAATATCCAGACCTGATCACACCCTTCACCGTCATCACAGAAGAACAACTCACCCGCATGATCAACAACACCAGCTCATACAAAGCACCAGGACCCGATGGAATATGCAACATTGTATTTAAACACGTGCAACACATACTAATCCCATACCTCCTCCATCTCTTCAACGCAGTCTTCAACCTCAAAACATACTTCGATCCATGGAAAGAATTCACTACGGTGGTTCTATGCAAGCCAGGTAAAGCAGACTATTCAGTACCAAAAGCCTACCGCCCGATTGCCCTCATCAACACAACATGTAAACTACTAACAGCCCTTGTAGCGGAATAAGTCACACAAACGATAGAACACCATAACCTTCTCCCCAATATGCACTTTGGAGGACGACCAGGACGCACCACCACTGACTCGTTGCATCTACTCGAAACAACAATCAAGAACACATGGAGGAACAACAAGGTCACCTCCATCCTATTTCTCGACATTGAAGGTGCTTTTCCCAACACTGTCACCAATCAACTAGCCTACAACATGCAGAAATGTCGCCTACCTCCAGAAATAGTAGACTTTACAGTAAGAATGCTAACAGGATGGAAAACACAGCTAAAGTTCAACGACTCCCTTTCCAACTGGATAGAAGTACACAATGGCATAGGTCAAGGAGACCCCCTCTCAATGATTGCTTACCTCATATACAACGCTGACCTAGTAGACATTGCTAACCCCCGCAACAATGAAACAGCTCTAGCCTTCGTGGATGATACAGCGTACATAGCGATCGGACCGACCTTCAAAGATACCCACCACACCCTCAAGAGCATGATGGAAAGACAAAATGGAGCGCTGAAGGTACAACAATTCAGAGGGTGAGTCTGAACAATGTGTTGGGTCTTGCAGAACCTAGCTGCTATTCGACCCTAAAGGGTTTCTGGACCAGGCTCAAGGCTCAGAGGAGAGGAAATATCATAGAAAACTACTGAGCACTCAGACTCATACTGGTAACTGGTGAAAAGATTGCTTCATTATGTAAGCTACAAAAGTGCCAACATAAGGTAAGGTAAAAACAGTCTCTACAAGCCCAACCAGAAATGAATCCCTACAGCGCTCCAATGGTCACGCGAACATAACTCAAAATTCAAAGTCAACAAGTTCACACTAATCAATTTTACCTGCAGCAAAACTCGCCACCGCCCTCCTCTAATCATACAAGATACCATCATCCCCCCCATCGAGCACCATCACTTCCTAGGCCTACTCGTCGACCAAGAACTAACATGGAAGCACCACGTAGGTTATGCAATCGCCAAAGGTACAGAATACACCCTCCAACTCCGCCAACTATCAAAACCCTCCAATGGAATATCCACAAAACTTATGCACAAACTATACCTTACAGTAGCCATCCCAAAGTTCACATACGGCGCTGATGTATGGTTCCGCCCGACACTCAACACAGAGACAGGAATGGAAAGAAGAGGATCAAAAGGAACCGCTCAGAAACTAGCTAAAGTCCAACGTATTGCAATACTGAGTATTACAGGAGCTATGAGATCAACTGCTACTGACATTCTAGATACTCACTCCAATCTACTCCCAATATCACTGCTCCTTCAACACACATGTCACCGCGCAGCTATCCAACTAGCCACTCTACCAACATGCCACCCCCTACACCCCCACCTCCAGCATATCATCAAGCATCGCAACACCCGCCAGCACTGTTCATCACTCCACAACCTCATCTCCACATTTCGAATATACCCAGACAACATGGAGACTCTAGACCCCATTCAACGATCCAACACCAGACAGAACAACGCCTTCAAGATACACATAACGCCGAAAGAAAAGGACGCCATCAAAGAACAAAAAGAACTGACGGACAAGATACAGATCTTCACAGATGGCTCCAGTCACAATGGAGGTATAGGAGCAGCCACAATACTAATATGGGAAGGCCAAGCACCCCGCATCCTCAAATACCACCTAGGACCAGACAAGACACACACCATATATGAAGCAGAAGTGGTAGGCCTAATGCTAGCAGCCAAGTTACTAGCTACAGAATGAAACAGAACATACCCAGCCTCAATATTCGTAGATAACCATGCAGCTATCCAATCCGGTGAGAGCCATAATATGAAACCAGGCGGATACTTAGTAGAACACTTTTGCAGATTAACACAAGAACTCGCCCTATGCCAAACAAACCCAGAAGAGAAGTTCAATCTAATGATATGCTGGATACCAGGCCACAAGGGAGTATTAGGCAATGAGTTAGCAGATGAAGCAGTGAAGGACGCTGTGAAAGGCCCCAATGAAACAAGTCTTAATCACCGCCTCCCAAAATTCCTCCAAGACAAACCTTTACCAGACAGCATACCGGCCCTGAAACAATGGCATAAAAGTGCACTGAAAAAGCGCTGGACAGCACAATGGAAAGCATCGCCAAGATTTACGAAAGCCAACCTCATCAACCCCACCATGCCGTCCAAAGGATTCCTCAAACATGTAGCCTACCTACCCTACAACCAAACCAGCATATACACACAGCTCCGCACCCACCACATCCCCCTCAACCTCCACTTTCACTGTATCAACAAAAGCAAAACCCCACACTGCCCAATTTGCCCCAGAATAGACGAAACAATATACCACTACCTCTTTGATTGTCCCCAATACACCCGCGAACATCACATATTATCCAATAAGCTCCATTGTCAAGCCACATCCATATTCTACCTCCTTACAGCTGAAGAAGCTACAAAACTGCTAATGCAATTCATCAATAGTTCAGGATGCCTTAAACCTACATTTGGTGAGATTAAGATTCGCTAAAAGTACTTAAGTTCATGCACGCACAGCAAATAACACCCAGAATGCACTATTAACATCAAAATAATACTAAACTACAACACCACCCACCTAATACCTCATCTCTGTATGAGAAGGGAAGGCCACTTGCAGGACGAGCAGTGCTCGAGGAACAGAAGATGGAAGAGGAAGCAGAACGAGAGACTGGGCACCAAAAAACAACAATGAAGAAAAACCAACTAACATAATACACCCCAAGTCTGCATACCTCACACGTACATCCCCCCAACAGCTACTCCCTTTGTATGAAGCTGGTAGTCAGCCTTTGCCTGACACATTATCAGCGGAGTACATGTTTAGAACTACATCACCCCAAAAATACACATACCATACGATAGAAAGCTGGGAGCAAGCCCCCCGCACTTGAATAGGGCTATGTCCGACATAGGGTTTCAGACCCCAAAGGACAATAAAAATGGATTTAAAATAAAAAATAAAAAAATAATGCTAGCCAGAACGATGTAAGATGATCTTCCTTAGTAGTCATCAGTGTCTGACATCTTAAACAGATAAGTTCATGTAGCGGTTTCAAGACACTGGTGCACACTGAGACCAAGTTTTCCAGTGGTCTTTGGGCCACTGGTGTTGGGCTTTGCCTGTGTGCACATCACAAATTTGTTCGACCTGTTGGTGTTGGAGACTTGCAGAAGGGCTAATGGCAGGCGATTAATTCATTCCACACATTGGTTGAACTCATGTCATCAAATAGATATGCAAATATAGATTATATTTTTTTCTCAACAATTACACTGCTGTTGCTTCTTTCAGTGGTCATATCTTACGATATTGCATGCCAATGGAAGTTGAATCTCTTGAAATGTATGTTGGCACTTCCGGAGGACATTCAAATACCCGTGGTTACTGCCGTTGCTATGTTCCTATTTGCTGTCCCAAAGTTCCATGCACCAGCACATGAGGAGAAATGTTCAACCCCTCATTCACTCAATCTAATGCCAGGAGTGGGCCGCATGGACGGTGAAGGAATTGAACGAAATTGGGCTGAGATGAATTGTGTGGCAAATAGTACAAAAGAGATGGGACCGGGTTCATGGCACAATACACTCGACGATCACTTTGGGCATCACAATTGGTGTAAACTTACTGGTCTTGGTAAGTCCTCAGTCGCCCTAGCTGGCATTCAACTAACTTCATATTAGGTCTTTCTCTTCATAAGAAGCTGCTGCTTGCCCTCAAAGAGAACAGATGGCAGAAAGAAATGTTTGCTGAGTTCGATGCCGCAATCGATGCTCCCCAACGTGACAAGTGGCTTGCCATGATATTAGCATGGGAGTCTGATAAGGCACAAAGTAATCCTTATCTCGTTCCAAACACCAGTAAGACCGATTTTGTAATCTGCCTATCAAGTATCACTGAATGTATTACAGATCTAACAGAGGCTCAAATGCGCGCTGCAATGGCAGAAGAGGAGAAAGATGCTATTGTGTCTGGCAGAGTCCTCCCACACGAGACATCACCAAGCACTTTCATACATCTTGGGTTTTCAATTGAGGACACACAGTTAGTACATATTTACCATGTTTTCCCAATGTCTCACCAAATTATCTAGATGGCGCATGAAAAATGATGCAGAATGGACTTCATCCTTGAGCTCTGACCAAGAGAGTGATTTACACCACCATTGTGCAGGCTTGCACAGGCAAATCTGCTGCTTCCGCAAGATCCAAAATGTTTACATGCTGGGGATCAATGAGTGGGTCAAGCAGCATAGTGTCAATCAATCCCCCCATCCAGAGGATGCTGAGCTGTGGTTGCCATTTGCATTGAACGCTCAGTCTGGATCTTCAATGTGCAGGTATGACATCGAAATCATCGAGTCAGAGCTTCACAAAGGACAATGCAAAGATGCCCTTGACAAGATGCGAAACCTCCTACGCACCAAAACTCACTTTGTCAAACGACAGAATTTAGACATCTGCGGTCAACAGGCTAATACTCGAGCACATGCGCTTATCAACTGTTGTAGAAACAACAATACTGTGAGGCGCGAATGAAGCTCCAGACTGTATCTGTAAATGTTGAAAGGTCGCTGCCTTGCCTAGTCTGCTATACTTGAGAAGACAAGTGCATTCGACCCTAAAGGGGAAGCGAGTGCAGCAAGGATCTAGTGATATGCGCTGAAGGCGCTACTGGTTGGCCAATGCAAAGCGTGAGAAAGCAGCGCAGGTGCACTGCAAGGCACAAAGGCCATGGAATGCACGGGAAAGTGCGCACAGTGTATGCAGAAATGAGAGAGTGTAAGAATAAGTGATGATTAGATACTAGACAAGAGATGAGAGGTGCGAAGTGTAGACAAATAGATTTCTACTATGTTCTGCTAAGTAGTAAGTGGGTAGTAACTAGTAAGTGAGTGCAAAAGTGAAGTTTCCTCATAGTATGTACTGCTGGCAGCTTATATAACACGCCTAAGCGCTGTCATGCAGAGCCGAAGGGCTACCGAGTAAGGTATGTAAAGATATATGTATATGAGTGAGAGTCCATGATAAAAATATAGGTGGAACTGATATGCTAATAAGAGAAATGGAAATATACGCACTAGAGGGCTTGGTGGACAGTGGATGGATGCTTCTGGATGGCTGGTGCTATAGGATGCTCAAGCACTGGGAAAGCAGCGCGTGCATATACATCGCAAAGCGTGGGAATGGTGCGCGCATGGCGCGCATTGTGCGAGAAAGCTGCGCCTCATATAGGGATAGCTGCGGGTAGCACACAGAGTGATGCTACAAGTTCATGCTGTATACTCCTTAGTGAAAACTGCCATATCACACCATGAGAGGCATGATTCTCTACACTGTATTGACAACAAAAGTCCGACTGGCAGGAATCAAGTATATGAAGTCGCGAAAGGTGCTGCTCACTCTCATTGGTGAGGGAGACTGGGTAACCAAGCTCCAACTGCTCTTACCTAGACATATTGTAGGCCCTCACGATCCACTGGAGGAAGAACCATCGTCACATACAATTAGGCGAGAGCAAGATATGCAAAATGGCCTGGGCGAAGGATTTCGTGTGACCTCATGGATTTGGACCACCAGAGGTGTGCTTGGTGATAATTCTGATGCATTGCTGAACTGATGGTATGTGTAATATCCTTCCATGTGGTTTATTTAATTTTTTTTAGCCATGCGTGTTGAGTGGGCAAAAGCATGTGCTCGCTCCTTGAGGTGGTCAGAAGAGGTTCTGTTACTCAAGGAAGAAATGTGATGAGTTCACCAGTATTTAGGACTGGCGAGCACAATGGTGGGAAGCACTGTGCAGAGCTAGACCATCATGACAAAGGTATTGATGAGGGTGCACGTGCATATGCATACCGTCAGTCCGCAATTCAGCATGCACTGCTCTCCCGCTTCACTGCTCTATGGGAGGCTCAATCTGCATTTAACCAAAGTCGCAAATTTTCATGCATGCTTGGTGGTGGTGTACAATATTTGTATGCTGACAATGAGCCATTTTCAATACAGGCGGATGGAGCAGAGGAGGAGGATGAGGACGAGGTAGATGATATAGACTGATTTGTGCTCTTCATTGCCTTTTTTGATATCAAATATATTTTGTATTGTAGTGATTTAATATTCATGAATTAATGGGTTCAAAAATGGTATACATATTTAATGGGTTTGTAAGCAATCTGTGGGTAGGAGAACTAATATTCATGAATAAACAGGTTCGCAAATGGTATACATCTATTTAATGGGTTTGTAAGCAAGCTGCAGGTAGGAGAACTGGCAGGAGCCAGACGGGAGGTCAAATGAGGTCAAATGGGCCGAGTGGCAATAGCCATGAAAAGTGTCAATGGATCCATGGCAGCAACCACGTTATTAGGTCAAACCTTATGACCAGGGGTGCTATGATACGGTACAACATATGGTGTATGTGGTATAGCTATTCTTTCTGTTATCTGACTTTTTAACTTTGGTCTCGAGTTTGCTGTAGGTTTCACATTCTTCTTAACATCATGGACTTGGCAGACATCGCAGGGCAGCGGCTTTGAATTCTGCAATTCGAGAACGTTCTTATCACTTATCTCAGCTTCTGCACTATGCGCCTCTGGGGTTGAACATAAACAGTGTACATAACCAATTGCAATTGTCCATTCCAGGTATAGCATGCCATGATCTCCATTTGTCTTTGGTTCTAGGGGAGACTACTAAGCATTCTGAAGAATTATAGGACCCACTACCCATCTTTATCTCTATCAAAAAATGGTGGCATCATATCTACCTGGATTTGATCTCTAGCTACTGACAGCATGGTCAACCCTTGCAGTATCAGGCAAGTGCAAGAAACTTCACCAGAACTTGACTGGAAGAGCTTAGTCAAGTCTCTGCATGTTCACCTTGTGTTTAAGATCATCTCACGGCAACATCACATAATATACCCAGTTCTGGCAAGATTGGAGCTTGATCATCAGTTTGGAAAAGCATTTGTCTTATCCCCATAGACAATACCAATGTCCAAATGTGGTTCTTCACCTCACTCCAAGCTTGCACTCGCAGGGTCGTGTAATCAAGAGTCAAGACTGTTATCGCCATCAAATCAGGGAATAGAATTAACAGGCTTGAGAGCTGATTTCTGGGGGAAGAAAGAGCTGGTGTTTGTTCCGCATTCTTGGAACAGTACTTGGTTAATCATGTTTGAGGCCTCAGACTGATCTTGTTATACTTTGACACTAGTTTGCAATGGTGAATGTGTTTGAATCTATAATACTCACTGGGTAAGTTTATTATACATTGATCTCACTACTTGCTTTTGACACTGATTATGTACCTGGGATTATGATGATGCAATGTGGCCTCCATTTTTGGTTAATTTCTACCATGTTAGGTGGTGGACTAACAGGTATGTCTTTCAACCGAGATGCATGCTTCTCAACATCAACACCTCAGTGGCTTGGTCATGGACTAGCACATGTAGGTTTGTAAACAATGTACTATAAAAGACTTGGGTTTCACTCACCAAACTGAGCACCTCGCCCATATGTACCTGTGGGTAGCCTCTTCACTTCTATAGTTGTTCCTGCAGTCAGTTCTTCAAGTTGTGATGGCTTCATCAAATCAAACAGCACATCTTCAGTAGTGGATTGCTTGACTGCTCAGTTAACTAGGTTACTACTCCATTTCACAATCTACCTTCAGGCCTAAATTCAGATGCAACCGCTCCCTCAATGCTTAAGAAGCCATTAGACATATCCACCCCCATTGGAAATGAGCAAGCATCTGACTCCAAGTAGGTACTCAGAGACCTCATGAAATGGCAAGTGTTTTGTGGTAGTCAATCTTCCTCGTCCTCGTGCTCAGCATTTCCCTCGTCCATCAGATCGTGGCCATCTACATTGAGATTTGTACAGTGTATGAAACTCATGAACATTCTAGTAGAATGTATCACTGGACAATTCTCATCGTGTTGCAGCTTTCTGCTGAGCTTCCTTGGAATATGACAAGTCTGACAGTGTTCTTTTTCTGCTGTTACTGGACTGTCGAATTCCCCACAGGTTGGGCAGGCTACATGTTCCTCATGCTCTCTATCACTGTCCCGTTGTACTATACCACACTTGGACATGATATCGCATCCACAGCACCAACTACTTCAATTGGATCCCTGTACTTCACAACTCTCATTGTCTTTGTCTTGATCTTGTGAGATGCATGCTTTGAACCGTGTTACATTGTAATAACAGCCCATCAGTGATGGCACAATCCAGCCATTCATGGAGCTTAATTGGTGTAAATGAATGTACAAGGTCTCTCCTTTCACATATATTATCAAGGGTCTCCTCGGTCAAGGTCTGTGAATGATATCTTGCTGAATGACCATACATATTTTAGTCCTTGTAGCTATTGGGGGAGAAGCTATTCACCTCTCTTACACAGAACTAGTCTCTGTCAACCCACCGAAGGGTTTGACACGTGCAACAACTACATGGGTCCTTTCATGTGATTCTTGGCAACTACCTCATGGACCCCGAAGCTGCCAAAGGCTGCCAGTACTGTCCCTATACGACTATAGACCAGTACATGTTCTTGAGGTTCAACATTGCATATAATAATCATCGGGATAACCTTGGCATCAGTTTTCGGATTCATCATGTTTAATGTGTGTCACTACTGGATGTTGCTTGGATCTCATGCTCGCATGCAGCATAACATCTTAGCTATTTTCTGGTTCACAATCTCATGCCCATTCGCACCGTTGGTGTTTGCTTCTCTCAGGCAGAAGTTAATTTGTGGCAGCCTGGCAGGTAGATTGCGATACCTTACAAAGGATCAGACCCCCAGGATACAATGGGTGTTCGAGACAATAGAACAGGCTAAGAAGAATGAGAGCACACCAGTTGTATGTTAGATAAGGAAAGAAATTTTCTGATGGAGACATGGGTATGTTTCTAGCCGACAAAATTCTCAGGGAATACTCTACAATATCCTATCAACCCTCATGAATGCAGTCACTGGCCACAAAAATATCTGCATGGACAAAATTGTTGTAGATAATCTTGTTGGACCACTTTCATGTTTATGATGTCAAGCAGCATCTTGAATCCCCTCTTGCAAAACACTACAGACGACACCTACATAAACACATGTGTAGCTTCCGGGAAGATGACACCCAATCACTCACAGCTCCAGTCATTCTCACTGGCAGGTACCGTGCATTGCCTTGGTCAGTAACGCTCACATCCGACCATATCTTTTCTGTGTTCACGAGCAAGAGCAAAGTTGAATGTTGTTACATGGATATAGTCATATGGCATATGCTGTTAGATGGCAGGTTGTGAATGCAACACTTTTGATTTGGTTGGTAGTTTAGTAGAAAATGATGGGAGCAATTGGTAAAATGGATGCCTGAAGGGGCTTTAGCAATGAGAGCATGGAGTTCATGGATCCAGAGTTCATCACTTCGATATCCCTCCTGGATATTTTTGATAAAGCAATAGTGTTGGGAAACATGTTTGCTATCAAATTCAATGACAATGATGAGGGTAGTGTTGATCCTATCATATTTGATTTTTTGGATTGCTTATATGGCTTGGGAGGTTATGCATTGCATTCCACTCAGACTCTGCTCCAGAGCTTGTGATTACAACTGAATGATGGATTTATGTCCACGCCCCCTGGTGGTATGCCTCTTGGGGTGTATTACAGAATGCTAGGTAGCTGTTGTAATGATGTTTGGCTGGAGCAGATTAGATCCTTCTGTAGTTCCCACGGCTAGCAACCATCTGTTCACTGATGAAGACGCTCAATTTTGCTGGCACTCAGGAGGCTGTGTATGAGCGGAGCGACTGGCCTCTCTCGAAGCTCCAGGACTACTTCAAGGATGATACCCTCGCTCTTATCGGCTATGGTTCTCAAGGCCACGGTCAAGGCTTGAACGCTCGCGACAACGGCCTCAACGTTATCATTGGTGTCCGTAAAGATGGCGAGAGTTGGCAGCAGGCTATGGAAGATGGCTGGGTATGTTCATGTCGACTTGTCAGGCATCTCATGTAACATCGATATATCATCAGATTCCAGGAGAAACACTTTTCCCCATCGAAGAAGCCATCAACCGCGGCACGATCATTATGAACCTTCTCTCTGATGCTGCACAATCACAAACGTGGCCTACCATTGCACCTCTGATCACCAAGGGCAAGACCCTCTACTTCTCGCACGGTTTCTCTGTTGTATACAAGGAAGACACAAAAGTTATACCCCCCAAGGATGTTGATGTTATCCTAGTCGCACCCAAAGGATCTGGCCGTACCGTACGCACCCTCTTCAAGGAGGGTCGTGGGATCAACTCCAGTGTAGCCGTCTTCCAGGACGTCACTGGTAAAGCCATGGAAAAGGCTGTTGCCATTGGTGTCGCCATCGGATCAGGGTACATGTACGAGACCACCTTCGAGAAAGAGGTTTACTCCGATCTCTATGGTGAACGTGGTGTGCTCTTGGGTGCCATCCGTAAGTGTTCTTACACCGCGAGTTATTCCCAGCTGATTATTTATCAGAGGGTCTATTCTGCGCACAGTACAAGGTACTCCGTGCCAATGGTCACTCGCCTTCGGAAGCCTTCAATGAGACCGTCGAGGAGGCCACCCAATCCCTGTACCCTTTGATTGGAGAGAAGGGGTGAGTGTATATTTTATTGTCGCTTATCCTTTCCCTCATGGTCTGTAGCATGGACTACATGTACAATGCCTGCTCCACAACCGCTCGCCGCGGTGCGCTTGATTGGGCACCTATCTTTGAGAAGACCAACACGCCTATCTTTGAGCAGTTGTACGAGAGTGTGCGGAATGGCACGGAGACCCGCAAGGCTCTCGAATTTAACGGCCGCTCGACGTACCGCCAAGATCTTGCCAAAGAGCTGAAGGAGATCGACGACCAGGAAATTTGGCGGGCAGGCAAGGTTGTGCGGTCGCTGCGCCCCGATTACAAGCCTGAATAGATAAGATTGTGGTTGAATTGGAGCTGCTTTAACTCAGCTTACTTATTTATTTTGTTACCAGAAGCGCCCCTAAAACACGCCATGTCGGAGAGCACAATGTACAGATGTGCTCCTTGAATAAATGTTACGACTTGCCATGGAATACTCTGGGTTGAGACTGATGTTGAAAAAATTCAGAGGTTAAGAGCCAGGTGAAAATGATTGGGGAGTTTCAAAGTGGTATATTATTCGAGGTAATATTGAAGGAATATCATAGCAGACAGGGTAAACAGTTATATCATGAGGAACAAGTTCAGGAGGGCATGAGTGCTCGCGGAGCGCGGCAGGGAAGCTTCACAATAAAGGACAACAACGAGGAGGCATGGGAAATCGACAAATCAAGAACTCTCGGGGGATAATTCAATTAGTCAGGACAATGCAAATGCGTTATAACCACTTACTTTAGCATCTCAATACCAAAGCCAGAATAATACCTCCCACTGAGTCCAAAAGCTCGCCGTTTTCTTCATGGACAAGGACAACCGAGATGACTTCACTTTTGCAAAGCTATCTGATCTCAAGCTCCCTGTCACTTTCCGCATGTACGCACCATTACTCATCTTGCGGGCCACTTGCCCACACTCAGCACTAGTTCTCAGTTAGAGGGATCAATACCACAACCATCTGTTTCAGAGCTACTCGAGAACCCAGAACTGAGGTTTCACGGTGCACAATCTTCGTGCGTTTTTCTCTGATGTGTAACTTCTCTATGTTGACCCAAATGTCAGGGCTTTTTCAGACCTCTATGTCTCCTGCCAGCTTCTGGCGGATAACAAGCCGCTGACCATACCCTTCCGCACCTCCTTCAAAGCTTTCAAGAACAACTACGTGTACGCCTTGTTTTGCCCTTATCTCGATTGATCTGACTATTTATACAGGTGGAACGAATGGATAACGTTACCCGTTCGGTATTGCGACCTCCCATTGAGTTCACAGATAACATTTACTGTATGGGATATCGGGGCCCCACGCACAGCGGTGCCCGTCGGTGGCACAACGTTTAGGATGTTTGGCAAGAAATGGTTCGCCAGGTATATCTAAATTGCATCGCAATGCTTATCATGCGGTCATTGGGTCAGGACTTTGCGCCGGGGAAAACACCGTTTGTTGCTTTGGGCAGGTCAAGAAGCAGACGGCTCCATGCAGACTAAAACTCCCAGTAAACTTGGCAACAGGGATGAAATGGGTCGTTTAGAGAAGGTAGGCAGCACGACAGCTATGTGGTACGCTGCTTCATTCCTGGCTTTTCCCTCAGCTCGTGAAGAAATACGAACGTGGCGACTTGCCAAAGTCAGATTGGTTAGACAATATGGCTTTCAGAAAAATGGAGGAGATACACGCTGTAAGTCTTTTACGATCAAATGCAAATGCAAATACTCAAAGAGGACTGAAGGTGGAGACAGAGAAGTCAGAAAACATGTATCTTTATGTCGACCTTCCACGATTCGACTTTCCCGTGATATTCAGCGAAGCTGTCAGTCGCTCTTTATTGAATGTAGTCTCCTTGACGTTTTTTTCTCTATAGGAGGCCCAGAATCAGGCAACGATACCATTTGCACCTCCAGTAGTAGCCCAAGCACCTCTTACACCTGTACTTCCCAGTTATTTTGCTACAGATCCACATCTCTGGGCCATCCTTGACCCCGAGATTGCACGTGAAAACCCCGTGGAGGACAAGCATCGTCGACTCGTGCGGAGTCACCGAAGTAGTCCATACGACAGAGAGCTCAAACCAAATGCCAAGATCAGAGATGAACTTAATGTGCGCAAAACCCCAAATCGTTATGCATTGATGAATTCCTCACACGCCATTTGTAGGAAATACTTAATTATGCGCCCTCTCAGCCTCTCAACTCCGAGGAGAAAGACCTCATCTGGAAGTTTCGTTTTTACCTCGCACGAGACAAGCGCGGGCTAACCAAATTCCTCAAGTCTGTCACTTGGCGCGATCCTTCGGAAGTCAAACAAGCAGTGGAGGAACTACTGCCAATGTGGACAGAGGTCGACACGGATGATGCTTTGGAGCTCCTCGGACCTGGAACTGTGGACTCGAGAGTAAGAGCGTTTGCAGTACGGCAGCTTAACCGCGCGGATGACGAAGTCAAATATTTCTTCTCCCTTCTTAATCGCGGCACTGATGATCTTGGCAGGAACTTCTGTTATATCTCTTGCAACTCGTACAGGCGCTCAAATTTGAAAGTGCCGCTAGCGAGCAGCGCTCGAGTCGATCGACAACAAGTGCAATATCTCATGACGATAGCGGGCTGACAGACTTTTTGATCGCACGTGGAGTACAAAACCATACACTAGGTAACCGGCTGTACTGGTATCTGATAGTAGAAGTGGAATTGGAGGATAGGGTCGTGGCGAAAATGTACGGGCGGGTGGTGTTCAAGTTTCTGAGCAAGATTTTAGAGGTAATCGACCTCCTACTCATGTTTATCTTCGCTGATGAAACTGCTCCTTAGTCCGAGAATGGCAGTGAACGCCGCGAGCTCATGCGACGCCAAGGTGTCCTCGTCGAGACCCTCGCCAAACGAGCCAAGGAGCTGCGCACTTCTAAAGACCCACGACCTAAAAAAATTGAGAAACTTCGCTCCTTCATCAACGATTCCAAGAACGGGCTCGTCAACATCCCTCCTCTACCTCTGCCACTCAACGCACGCATAGAGATTACGGGTATCATTGCTGAAAAGTCTTCGGTCTTCAAGTCGAATCTTTACCCCTTCCTGTTATATTTTCAGTGTTCTGACGGCACGGAGTATCCTGTGATTTTCAAAGATGGCGATGACATGCGCCAGGACCAGCTTGTCCTCCAGTTATTCACGCTCATGGATCAGTTGCTCAGGAAGGAGAATTTGGACCTTGAAGCTCATCCCCTACGATGTGCTGGCGACTGGGCTGTTGCAGGGTATGGTGCAGTTTATCCCCAGCAAGACTATCGCAGGCGATTATCAGTGAGAATGGGACGCTCTTGAACTATTCTGAGAGCGAACAATCCGGATGAGGGCAGCGTTGGAACGTATGGAGTCGAGCCGAGTGTTATTGATACATTTGTGCGCAGCTGCTGGTGAGTCTCGGTTCTGCAATCCTGACTGGAGGATATGCGCTAAGCCTTGGCGATAGCTGGATACTGCGTTGTGACATACCTGCTAGGCGTGGGTGATCGGCATTTGGACAACCTTTTACTGACACCGGATGGTAAGTGGAATTATGACTAGAAGGGTCCAGTTCTTAATATTGGCTTCACAGGTCACTTTTTCCATGGTCAGTGTGACCTTGTCCGTATATTTCGTGCTACTGACATTTGATGAAGTCGATTTTGGGTATATTCTCGGTCGGGACCCAAAGCCGTTTCCTCCTCCTGTCAAAGTCTGCAAAGAGATGGTCGATGGCATGGGCGGAGCCCAATCAACCCACTACGCGCGATTCAAAAATTACTGCTTCACCGCATTTACGATCCTCCGGAAAAGCGCCAACCTCATTCTCAACTTGGTAGCGCTCATGGTGGACGCGAACATTCCAGACATCAAGCACCGCGACGTGCATGAGCAGATCCAGGAGAAGTTTCGGTTGGACTTGACGGAGGAAGAGGCGATCAAGCATTTTGAGGCGTTGTTGAATGAGACGTCGTATTTCACGGTTGTGCTAGATCGGATTCATGATTTGGCCCAGTATTGGAGGAGTTGAGCGGGCGAGTGGTGTGCATGCTATTTTTGCTGGGATTGTGCTTGTGCTTTCGGCCGCTTCAATGATGAGCACTTGTTGCAGCCTTTACCGTACGTGGTCCTATGGGTACTGGATTTCGGAAGTGTTACTATACTTGTCAGCTATTTGTGTAGTTTCGGATATCGATTCGTGCAAGGACTAATCACTACCAGGCACAGACTGAGAGGAGAAACCGGTCTGCAATGTGCATTGATCGACGCCTCGAATGTTTCGATTCCGAGAAAGACTGCAAGGTCAAGTCATACACCATCACTCCGACATAAGGCAAAGTTCCTGTAGTTCCAAAACTAGTAAGTACAATCCATGTATCCTTCCCCGAGCCTCTCAGCAACACCCGAGTGGTGCCTTCGTGTGTTCTTCTTAAATCGACATCAATCAAAAGACTACCAGCATAGCGATCGAACCCTGACCGGCTTTCCAGTCTGGTGGTCAATCTGTTAACTTGAACACTGTCCAAGGAACATCATCAGCACACCCAAGAATTCTCAAAACCAAAATCAAAAATCACCACACGCGCCCATCCCCGGCTCCGTCGCAAATACACAGCTTGCAAGGTCGTCCTCGCTCATACCCTCATATGACGCATATTTCTTTTTCGCGTGCATGATAAACGCTTCAACATCGTCTCGATGTACGAGAGAAACGGTGCAACCACCCCAGCCAGCGCCTTCAAGCGTATCAAAATCAGAGGCCAATGGGATGTATGCAACAGAACGCACCGGTCATACGACTCCCATATATTCTCCCTTTCCCCCGTACCTGTCTCCACTTCTCCAAAGCTCCGCGCGACACGGACGAGGTCGTTCACTTTCGGATGGGAGCAGTCGAATTGCCTGTGGCAGCTGTCGTGCGACTCGTTCATCAGTTTACCGAGGGTCTGGAGTTTGGATTCTTCGTTGCCTGATGATTGAAGAGTTGATGAGCGATATGTCGATCAGCGGCATCGGCGAGTGTAGATAGTGTTATTTGATTGTCACAAAGCGGACCCAAGGAAACACTGCACCTCCTCCAGCTAAGCAGACCTCCCTAAATGTGAGCACTCTGAGCGCCTCTTCAAAAACGTGCCGAGCACGGAGATACAGCTCAAAGTTAGTTGTCTCCACTGATGAATTTTCAAACAGCAAAAAATGTCAGGGCGAGCATCAAGTCAGAGTGATGTATAAAATGGGCACCACAAAAAAAAGCTCACCGTCCACCCCCGAAAGATACAACTCCCTAAATTCTGCCTCACCCATCCCACTTTTGCCAATCACCTCATCTAGGGAGATATCTGTTCTATCACCAAACTCTGGCAACAAATACTCCATAGCAATTTCCAATATGTCCACCAACCCTTTCTGGAGCAGCACAAGATCTTCAAACTGTGCATCTTGCTCATCTCGATAGAAGCCGGCTCTTCCGAGCGAGGACTTCACGTAGGGTGACGAGGTGCCGCTTCGTGTTTTCGCCGTCTATAGAGTCGACTTGGAGATTAAGACGATGAGAGAGGAGGCGGGCAGCTGCGAGGGTCTCCGCAACACGGAGGTTGTATTGGTGTTTAGCGCTTTCTGCTTTGTTGGAGACGACTAGGCTGTCGCCGAGATTAGGAAGTTTTGGACGACTATGAACTGGCTATAGTACCTATTAGCACAGACAAACACGGCAGTCGCGCGGAAGTACGATTGGCTCCGCATGAAGGGAAGGCACGAAGGAAACATATAGTGCGCTGCCAGGAAGAGCGATCACGGAAGCCGATTGGTCCATCCTGCAAAGAAAGTGAGCGGTTAGTTGCGTGAATATGGAGTAAACACAAAGCCGTCAGAAAATAGCGACGCTCACCCTCCACTGTTCACCCCAACTCGTCTCTCGTTTTCCATTGCAATATTTACTAGCTCACCCTTGGTTGGGGCCTTTTCCCCGTCAAAAATACCATTGACTGCTAAAAATGCCAGCGTACTCGAGACGACCATGGCCGCACTGCTTGAAAGACCAGAACCAGGAGGAACATTTCCAGTTACGAGAATATCAACAGGGACAGGAACGGGGGATATGGACGATGGAAAGAAGAAGTGATTCAGAACACCCTATACCCGACAATTAGCATATAAAAACTCATGAAGAATTGAAGAAGTGAAGGTGAGGAACGTCAAAAGCTGGAGAAGGAACACGAATGGGGCAGAGACACATACATAATATCCCGCCTTGACATAACTTTCCCATCGTAGCTCGCTTTTATCGATGTCCAAGTGCCAGGGGGCGACGCGCACAGCGTCAAGGGGAACATCGTCGCCAAGCGTGTGACGGCGAGTCGGCCAGAAGACCTGGCGTGTGTAACGAGTGTGAAGGTTCTCAGCTACGACAGAGCCTGGCGCGTAACCCTCAGGATGCGCAGCAGCGGTAGGCGCTGGCCGCGGAGCACAAGCAATGAGAATATCATGCTCTATAGCGGCTGGAAAAACACCAAAGTCCGCATAATCTATGTGTTCACCTGCATCCCATAAATTAGCATCGCATTGTACTGTGGATATTAATTAGATTATATCATACCAATGAGGCTATGTTACACGGAGAATAATGAACATCAGTGGGAAAAGGAGAGCGTAAACGTACTTGACTCGGCCTGGGGCTCGGGCGACATAGGTAGGTTTGTGACCGAACTTGGTCTCAAACTCTCTGACAAGCTCGTCCCAGCGTTCTCTACCTAGAAGAATTAAAAAATAGTACACAATACCTAGAACCCAGACTCACGCGTGTTTGGCTGCTGTCGCGAGACTGCCATACACTTCTTTCAGGGTGGTGAAGATGGGGATTGGTGCATCAGCTGCTGGAAGAACTGTCATCCTCGCAAATAAGAAACGAAGTGCAAGGGCCACTCCACCCCTGCCGAGCCTCGGTGCAGAGCAAGGGCGGCCCGGGGCACCCGGATTTATTGATGAGTACTTGCGTTTGTTTGTCCTTGTTGTAGGCTGGCAGGGAGTCTAGCCGCTATACGTTACCGCGACGTTACTATCCAAGCTGTCTGAAATCAATTTTTGGTGTACATAAGTAGTGCACGGAGAGCAATGCGAACGTTGGTGCTCACTCACACAGCTGGTGTTCCGCCGAAATCCATTTTGATGCAGAGCGATGTTGATTAAGCTCGTGTATAGCGATGGTCGCGAACAATCCCAGACTGCGAGACGTCTCGCTGTGTATTATGTTCAGTCGAGATCCTCCCCGCTGCTCTCTTCATTCACGATATCACTTTCCCCTCATCTTTATGAATAATATGCTGTCGCCATGACTCTTTCTGCCCTGATACTTGGCAGCTCACCATTTCATTCCCTGGTTCAAGTCACAGATCTGCAAGGGACCGCTAGGCCAGAACCACATTTGGGGAATCGCAGAGGTGATGCAGGGATGTTCCAGGTGATGGGATATCATTGGTAGGCATGCTCCGGTCCGATCGATCTTAGACTCATCCGAATGCTAAGGACTGGCAAATCCCATTGAAGCAACCACCCTCGTATTGGTGCCTGCACCACTGATCATCGATCATGTACACGCGCATGCGACATCAGGAAAAGAAGTTAATTTCACCATGGCCCAGATGGATAACGAAGCCAAGAATCATCCATTCATTCCTCTTGATTTCATCCTCGTTGGTGACTTTCTACTATTTTGTCTTCATTATAATTAATTGCCTGCTCCCAACCTTCTTAGCTACCGTGCCCCTGTAACCTGAATTTATCAGCTTCTTGTCTCATGTACGGCCTCTTTTACGCCGATTTACAGTCTTCCTTGTTATCACCATCGATCAAGCCTTCGAGGTCGACCAGAGCATTTTGCTCATCTGTTCTCTTGTAGACCACTCGACGTTGTGTAAACTAATTAGCTGGATCCCGCGGGCTACTATTACACCTGATCCGCGGCTCTTCAGTGTGGTGATTATATAGTTACCCAGATCAACACCAGCTCGCGTCAATCTCGCCTGCTCACCCATCATAACTGCTCTCATCTTCTCTGCCTTCCCCATATTTCAAGTCTGCCGGCATGAACAGTTACGAACATCTAGAGATCCAGTAAGTCTAGAACGTTCAGTGCCCATACTCGTTCCCTTGACTTGGATCCGAGATGCTAACAAATCACGTTTTTTTCACTCATTACACCTCAGATACCCATGGTCTCAGTATGCCCCGCCCATATCCGCACATGCCGGATCATTGCCACGTTCCTTGTCGCCATGGTCCGACGACACTCCATTCGTTGAGCGTGAACAAACTATTGTAGGCTCATTCTCTATTTTTGATTGTGGGGACTGATGCGACCCGTGTATCGCAGTGCTCCGATTTCACATGTTGCGGTTTGTCTCTTAGAGACCTTCACTCATTGGTGGATCACTTTGAGGAAGCACATGTTGTGGTGTTCGACAGTGCTGGAAATGCTGTGTACCCGAACCCTAGCCCGATACTGCGCTTTTTAGATCACGAGAACGAGGGACCTTACATGAGTTTTGTGTTGGGTTATCCTGCACCAAAGACTCCAGTGGCGTTTCTTGACCCGGCATTTTGTTTCGATTCGGTATCAGATTGGTCTTCGCCCTCTATCAGTTCAGAGCCGATCAGTCCCATAGAGACGAGTTCAGAAGAATTTCTACCACACAACTCGTTCACCAAGGTGAAGAGCAAGCCAGTTCGCACTGGAAAACGGGTCCATCGACCTCGTCAACGAAAAAAAGACAAGACGTATAACTGTCCCGTAAGCATTATTTGATTACGCCCACATGGTCGCCCCATTAATTTCCGCTGATTAGCGTCCTGATTGCACCAAAGTAAGTCTAGGCTCGGCGTATTGAAGATGCAGAAGGGAAACCTGATGGAAAACAGACGTACTTGAACGCAAACGGGTTGAAATATCACCTCGAAAAAGGGACTTGTAAAAATGAGATGCCGATGCCGGAGTTCCTACCGCTAGTCCGAGGTGAGCCAAAGTCCACCTGATCGTTGATTGTCCCCGCATCTACGTGTATGTCAAGGGTTCCTCCGCACCGAAGCAGACCGAGTTATTACCCGCGTAGTATGTACCCCACACTTGGAATCCGCGGGAATCCAGGGTCAAAAGTATTACTACAAACGCCGGTGCTACCGACCAACACCAGAAGCAGCTCGTGTCAGCGTAGTGTACATACACATACTAATTCTGCCAATTCGTTCGCAAGCCGGATATATCGATTGGACGTCAGCCACATTTCGCATTGACGTTTGAACTTCGCAGGCCCCGTCCCTTTCGCTTTCATTTCGTGTGGTTGCATATTAGGTTCATATTGCCCCATATCAAGTGATATAGAGATGTCCTCATAATTGCGACTCCTGTCTCTCATCACGTCTTGTTCTAATATTCCATAAAATAAAAATTACTCCAAAATAATTTGTTCAAGCAGTTTTGCTAAAAAAAAAAAAAAGTTTGTTAAAGGGTGAATATAAAGCCCGCAGTGCGTCGTCACGAACGATCTGGCAAAGGTGAACTGGTGACCATGCACATGATTCAGATTTGAGTCCGAGTTGTTGTAGGGATGGAAATAAATAAAAATTAGGATAATCGGGGGTGTCAGGGCATGAGGCCGGTGTCGTTGTGCTGGCGGTCGGACCGGGAACCCACAGGGCCACAAGGTGCAAATCGGGACAAGTGGTTTCAATGAAACTCACTCTCCAAGTAGCTCTCTCTCACATCCTTCTCTTCCTACATTCAAGACCATACGCGGCCTTGCAAGGGCGTGTTAAGACCAGCGCTTGATATCTGTCAGGTCCGATATCTGGTCCGGTAAACTGAATTCCAGAAATCCCTGAATTCCTCATTCTAGAACAACTGGGATTTTTAGCAGCCAGGGTCTTCTCGCGATTTCAAACGTTGATTACAGTCCACAACGGCGCTCGTATCCTCCAACGTCCTTGACTTTGCCCCATCTCCATGATCACATCCTTCCCTGCACCTGTCCTCTCTGTCACGCCTGATGCAGTGAAAGATCTTCAAGGGCAAGATGCCCTCTCAGCTCTCTGGACTAGTACGTTTTAGCTGTATGGCATCACTCAGCTTTCTAACTCTCTTTCTAGTTTTCACGAAGTGCAAGGAGTCACTTCAGGATGGTCGGAGACTTGAGAATATCTCTTGGAGGCTATGGCACCGTGAGCTCATTCTGTCTCAGCAGTCATACCTACCTCCTACACCGGATTCCATCTCGAACCTCACAGTATCGTCCGATACCCGCAATTCGTTCTTCCCCCTTACCGACCCTGTCGAGGTAGTCCAGCCTTTAGGTATGTCCGAGGATCATTTCCTTTTTCGTCTTGGCTCATCTCGCATTCTCCTTGTGTTCCGCACATGTAGGCACACCCCCTTGCCCGCATTCGACATCTACATATCAACATCCTCCATCCCCTGCATCCACAACGAGCCCTGTTGTTCCTGAGCGCCTGTGCATACCCCAAATCTCATCAGGCACCCCCGTAGCACCGCCTCTCAGCACTTCCTTCCGCCCCAAATCTTCTTCGTTCGTTGGCCGAATAATAATAGACATGTTGCCAAATAATGTTCTTATACCCGACAAGACGCCATCGCCGTGCTCGCTTCAACAACCTCCCGTCCCCTCCGTTCAGCTTCCCTCAACGCCTACCTCTACAGAAGCTTACTTTCCGCGTGTTGTCGTCGTCAACCCCACACCCCAACCTACTCCACCGATGACGCCCTCCCTCAGTGAAGAACGGACTAGTGCCTCACAGCCACCATCAACGTTCCTTCTACCGCCGCTTCCCCCACCTACACTAATCATGAAACGTCAAGCTCAGGCGGAACAGCCGCTCCCGCAGTCAACCCCACCAGATGGACTTTTACCATCCCTGGCCCCGGTCCGAGGCGCCGAGTCCTCGAAGGTCTCTGGAAGGTTTTTCTTACAACAGAGCCCTGAAGATGCATCCCCGGAACGCGACGGCTCAACGGAGAGCGGAAAGAGCCGCGTTGACTTGTTCGATGCGTCGAGCGTGGCCTCCAGTCAGATGCACAGCACTGATATTGAGAAAGAAGTCACGAAAGAGCTGAAAGAGAAAGATCGTGCCAGTACTAGGCCAAAGAAGGGCAAGGAATTAGGGAGATCGTCTGCCCGGCCGGCTTTGGCAAAACGGACCTACTCCGCAAGGCACATCGGGCCTTCGATTCAGCGCAAGCATTCGAATCAGGATAGTAAACCGCGTGCGATGTTTAATATTGGTTCGAACTCGTCGAATGGGTCCAAGTCTGCTCAAGGGAGCTCGGTTAAGCTCACTCCTCCTCCCCCGCCTCCACCTGCCCCTGTGGTTAATGGATTGGGCGCTGCGATTAACGGTATGGCGGCTATAAATGTAAAGCCTGCGCGGCCGGTCGTGGCTCCTCCTTCTACTGCGAGTGGTAACACTGTAGTCAACGGAAATGCCAACGGCGTTGGCAATACTGCTTGCAACGGCACGGGTCCCCAACAGCGGAAGACCATCGTTGTCGCCAGCACTTCTGAGGAAGATTATGAGACCACTGATGCGGATGATTCTGGATGGGCCTCTGAGGACATGGACGCTGAGGACAAAGCCTGTGAAAGCTGAGGAAAACTGGACTACGCGGGGCTGCACTGGAGGCGCAGCGCCAACGTGACCTCTTTGCAAAGGTTCCCAAACGTTCGTACTCCAATCTCGATCGCACACAGTCGGGATTACTTTCTCAACTCATGAACCCCAACCCTACGATATTTCCGTCGAATCATCCGTATCGCTTGAGTCAATCAACCGCGGATCTTGTGCGGATGCAACGGCAAGCACAGCGTCAAGCTGAGCAGGCGCATGCTCCACAAAGGAGTGTTAGTGGGTTTGCGGGGCCTGCAAGGCTGCAGACAAGTAAAAGTTCGGCGGCGTTACCTCTGGCTGCACAAATCACTGCCGTGTCGAGCTCGAAGCCCCCATCGTCTGGAATGAAGGGGACAGAGAACGAGAAAGGGGGGTATAGGCCAAAGGGACGCCCGAAGGAGGAAGAGATGGAAGATGAGAGTGGTGAAGACGAGGACGACGATGACGAGGACGATAAGATCCAGGTATCGCGGAGTGTAGCACAGCAGAGGCTTCAAGCGCTAATGTCGCGGCGCCCACCGGAAAACGGGAATGCATCGCAAGTGACTCCACATACACATATATGTGTGGTGGAGAATCATATCGCTCCTGCTGCACAATCCACGGCACCTATACCCCTCGGTCATCCATATAACCTTCCCGCTCCCGCGCTACCCATGACGCCGCGCACAACCCGGCGAATAATGCTTCGCACTGAGCTGTCAGAGAGCATGCGGAGGCAACTATTGTGGGAGCGGCAGGTAAGCAGTACTACCAACCCAGCTGCAAACGCGAGACGTACGAACAATGGCGTACTCGGTGGGTTGCGACCGCTTGCTTCGACGACTTCGGTCGGGGAGAATCCTAGCGCTACTAAGAGTGCCGAGGCTCAGGATAGGGATGAGCGCAGGCAACGCGCAATGGCTCGAAATCGAAGTTGGGCGGATGACTACCACTACTCAGGGTGGTAATTTTCTTGCTGGACTTTGCCAACATGTGGATCTTCTATAATCTGGTGTCTCTCGCATATGTTAAGGGTCTGTTTTTCCTCATCGTCTTGTCCTCTAATCACGCGGCACGGTTGCGTTTATCTCTCTCTTTTCCATCATACTTTAGTACTCGCATGCTCCACTGGTGAACATGTCACTGATACTGCAGGGCGCGGTTTCCCTCCCTCCTCTGCCGCGCGTTTTACTCACACTCATGCTGCGCTTCCCCCCAACCTTCCTCGTATCGTTGCATCTCCCACACATAATTTGCACTTGCATGTCACACTCCGTCCGCGTCATCCTCCGTCATCCTCGCTGTCCATTTACGTTGTAATAGTAGTCACCTTAATTACCAGGTATTATTCCTATGGATTAGGGTGTTGTGTTCAATTTGTTTTCGAACCCTTGCCTCATGTACTCATAATGTGTAGGGTAGGTATACTTGGGGCGTCTCGCCAAGTTGTACATATATTAATGACAAGGGGTTCTTCCATTTAGGGACGGGTTGTATGTACGTGTTGTAGGATGTCACCGGGTGGCCAGCTGACCAGGCACCACCCAGCCATGTATGGTTTCCTGTGTTGCTCAAACCGCTAGGATCTGAGATCTGAATCATCTATCAGCGGAGTAGCCTGGAGTAGCTTACCCTATGGAGTGTCCAACCGCGGACTCGTCTACGTTCCATCAGGTGAACGCTACCTAACCCCGCCTGGTTCCATTAGTAATATTAAATTCAATAAATAACTAACCAAGTTTGGATATGTTTGTTCCTGGCGGTATCCAGCGGAATATCAAACATCAATTGCAGATAAGTTAATGATCAGCCCGACTTTAAAACCAACGATTTGAATATTTAAGTAGTAAGTATGTGTATGATCGCGGTACTCCCATGCCGTCTGGGTTACGAATACTGTCGGCTTAAGTGTGTTTCCATTAATATCATTATTTCTCTCGCGCATTCAGTACCACGTGAACCCTGATACAGCACAAGCAGTATCCGCTTGCAAGGGCTCAAACCGATTCCACCATGTCATCCGCAGAAGACGAGTACAATGAACACGACAATGCCCTAACCTTGCCCGGCTCTAAAAAACGACGAGTACAAAGGGCGTGTGATATATGTAGACGCAAGAAGAGTAAGCACTACTTGTCTTGAATTCCTCAAGGCCGCCGTTAATTTTAAACGTCTGATCCAGTTCGATGTGAGTCAGCCTCAGTACCTTTCGCCCCCCGGTGGTTACTCAGTAGTAAAATTGACCATGTCCTCTCTCGCTATACTTTTTTGGGGGCGCTTGCTTTAACTTGAAGGTGATGGAAGCCAGATGCCAGGGAACCGATGTTCCAATTGCATTGCGTATAATTTTGAATGTACGTACATAGAGGCTGCAAAGGTGCGCTCTCCCCCTCGGTCATCTCCTCGAGTAGCGCCTGATGCACCATGCCCTAGAAACGAGGTCCCCCAAAGGGGTACGTGCTGAAGCAATGGCTTTCCCGCATCCACCCGCGGTACTCACCGTCGACGATACTTTACACAGATATGTCGAGAGCCTGGAGAATCGTTTAGAGAAGATGGAGAAGCTTCTGCAAAAGGTCGGTCTGTTGTGCAGATACTCTTCATGATCGTCGCTCACTCCAATCCAGGTCTGCCCTGACGCCGACTTCTCTCAGGAGCTCGGAGGCGGTCCCTTGGACAGGGAAGCCTGGCAAAAAGGCAACATGAATGGCTCAACCAGCCATGTCATGAGTCCCTATGCTACCACTCCTCTCGAAGATCTCGTATCCAGCGATGACGACGAGATAGTTTCCGTCCGCCTCGCTGATCACATGCAGAACATGTCTATCAATCCGAACTTATCCCGTTTCTTTGGAAAATCCAGCGGTGTGATGCTAGTGCAAAAAGCTATCGACCTTAAAAAGGAGTACATTGGCGATGAAGATATTCCAACCTGATCTCAGGCAACACAAAGGCCGCCCTGAGTTTCGTGGAACCTTCCCTGTGCGTATGGTCATAACTTTCGTTTCTAAATTTGACATCTCATCAAGTGGGAGCTGGCCGCGAAGGATGATGCTGAGCCAACCTATAGCTTCCCTGAGGAAGATCTTGCTGCCTCCCTTGTCGATCTCTATTTTGCTCACTATAATGTTCTAACTCCACTGTTGCACCGACCAACCTTTGAGTGCAAGGTGGCGCAGGGGCTCCACCGCCGAAACGCGTCATTTGGGGCGGTATATTTATTGGTCCTAGCCGTAGCCTCGCGCTTCTCTGAAGATCGCCGCGTCTGTTTGGAAGGTCAGAGCGAACATTCGTCGGGATGGAAGTTTTTCGAACAGGTACAGATGGTTATGAAGACCTTGCTTGGGCCACCACGTCTGGAGGACCTTCAAGTGCATTGTGTAGGTGTCAATCCAGCGCTTCTCCATTGAATCACTAACTCGCACCCAGCTATCTGTGATTTACTTGATGGGGACTTCGGCCCCACAGGCATGCTGGACCATCGTTGGAGTCGGTATCCGTCTTGCGCAGGATGTTGGTGCACATCGCCGCAAGGCTTACAGCCATAAGCCCAGTGTCGAAGAAGAGCTTTGGAAACGTGCATTCTGGTATGGTTCGAATTACTCACTATAGCACATTAGGTCTCAATGTTTTATCTCAGGGTTCTCGTCAGCTTAGACCGATTGGTGAGCTCATCGTTGGGAAGACCATGTGCGATACAGGATGAAGAGTGGGTCTATCTACGCTACCCTGTGAAGATATGAAGCTGACCGAGATTATAGCTTCGATCTCGAAATGCCTCTCGAGTGTGATGACGAATACTGGGAGCACCCGGACCCGGACCAAATGTTCAAGCAACCTCCTGGCAAACCTTCTCTAATATCGCACTTTATCAATTTCCTGAAGCTTAACCACATACTCGCATTTGCCCTTCGCACTATTGTATGTGACTTCTCGCATAAGAACCGCCGATTAATGACGTGCTGCAGTATTCGATCAACAAGCTGAAAGTACTGCTTGGCTTCGTTGGGCAACAATGGGAGCAACAAACAGTTGCAGAGCTTGATTCTGCGCTTAATAAATGGATCGACGCTCTGCCTGACCACCGTATGTATCTTAGCTTGGACTTCGTTATTGCCGCTGCTAAATTCTACAACCTAAAGTCAGATGGGATCCAAATATGGAGATTAATGACTTTTTCCTGCAGTCATATTCCCTCTATTCAAGTTACTATCATGTCCAGATTCTCATCCACCGCCCATTCATTCCGTCACCTCGAAAACCATCTCCCTTATCTTTCCCTTCCTTGGCGATCTGTACAAATGCTGCTCGATCTTGCAGTCACGTCATGGATGTATATCGATGTCGGTCTGGCAAGCCGGTGCCTTATTCCCAGGTACGTCAGGGAATTTCGATCTTTTGATACTCAGATCGTAATGTTACTTTAGATGGCTGCGTTCACGGCAGGCATTGTCTTGCTTTTGAATATCTGGGGTGGAAAACGCTCTGGACTGTACACTGATCCTACGAAAGAGATGGCAGATGTGCATAAGTGCATGTCTATACTGAAGTCATGCGAAAAACGGTCTGTCGACTTTTTTACTGCGGAAGAATGTCTCTCATTAATTCATAGCTGGCACACTGCTGGTCGTCTGTGGTATGTACATTTCAGTCTTGATCTTTTTTCGGTGGAGGGCTCAAACTATATGGAAGGGATATCCTGTATGAACTGGCATCCGTCGGTGACCTTCCGCTGCCCCAGCCTAGTCCCTCTGGTGGAACAAAGCGTGAACGTGATTCAGGTAGTCCAATGTCTGCTCCGTCTACGACTTCACCATCAGAGGTACCCCGTGTCATCGCAGGATCGCGCCGCGTCGGGCGCGACGCAGCTGCTCACGCTCGCTCGAAGCCTTTGAGCTCATTTGATCTTCCACTCTACAGCAACTGATCTTGGGCGCCTACCGCTCCACGGACAACTGAACTTCCCTAACACGTCCGCATCGCTTGGTTCATCTAACAGTGATATGTGGTATTCTCACGGGGGTGGGAATCCGGTGCAACCACACGCTACACAGACTTCTATGCAAAACGTGACCCTGCCTCAAGATTATTCGCAGGCCGCTGTTCCTGCAGCGTACAGCGTGGATGATATGTTCTATGAGCAGATGACCCAGTATCCGGCGCAATATCAATCAGGGACCTCCACTTCTTCGCCTTATGGTGACGACCCTCAGGGGTTGCAGAGTCTGATGGGTGGCATGCATCAGCACAATGTACTTCAGCATCCTGGGGCAAGGCTGTTTTGACACGGACACGATTGCCATGTGGTCCAACGCTCCCACTGGTTTTGAGTGAGTCGCACTCATTCGGGCTAATTCAAATCCCCGCTGATGAGTGCACAGGCTTAATGACTGGGGAACATACCTCACAAATGTATCTGGGATGGTAAATCCCGACGGTTCAGCCTCACACTCGAGGCATGGACACTAAACTTCACAATGATGCCCTTTCACTTTCTTATTCTTGGCTCGCATCCATTATACATGTTGACAATGCCCTAATGTAGTGAGAAGTGCATGCAGCGCTCGTCTGTATAGCATTTATAGCTTTTGATCGACATGAGGCAGCACTTTATTATCTCATCTATAGATGCTATCATGAGGTCAATTCGCCTTATTTCTGTAGCCTTTCCATAGACTTGTACACATGACAAGAAGCCATCAGGAAAAGCGGGAGTCCATATCCCTATGCCCGATGTATGAAACTAGCAAAGTCTGGCACAAGGCTAGCACTTTGTTGAAACCATCATCGTCAACACACATTTCTCAGTTAGTTCTAACGTTTCTATTTCCAATATGTCGACTCGTATACCTCTTCTGTTTGTAAGTAATTCGAATGTTTCCTTTGAATATCGCGCTGATATGTATGAGGAAAGGGGACGATGACCATGGGGTTCGAGGGCACGAACGGAGTGCGGACGTCCAGCGAGAAGGACTGTCAGGAAATCCTAGACATCTTCTTCAGTCACGGCCACACTGAATTAGACACGGCACGCGTATATGCCGAGGGCACCACTGAACAGGTGGGCACGCTGACGCGTCGAACGTCAGGACCCTGGCGCTAACCGAATGGTTTTAACTTTCACGCCAGGTCTTGGCCAAGCTCGATTTGAACAATGCAACGATCGACACCAAGTGCGTCGTATGATTTCGTGCTGTGGTCGCGGGCATGTGCTGATTTCTGGCGTAGAGTGTACCCTGTCACTCCGGGAGATCACAGCCCGCCTGCGCTGCGGTCTATTTTCCTCAGGTCCCTCCAATCTCTGAAGCGCGACAAAGTCCGGGTCTTGTATTTGCACTGCTCCTGATCGCAGTGTTCCATTTGAGGACACTGTACGAGAGATCAACAAGCTCTATACAGAGGGTCGTTTGTGAGTGTCCACGTCCTTTCAAACGAAGAGATAGAATCTTACTGGTCCATCAGCGAGATATTTGGTTTGAGGTGAGCGTGTTCGTGGAATGCTCTCCCAAGTTCCAGGACTAAGCCATATAACAGCAACTTTGCAGCTTGGGAGGTTGCAGAAGTTGTCGGAATCTGCAAAGCGAATGGTTATGTGTTGCCAAAGATCTACCAGGTGTTCGTATAATTCCAGTTATAATAGGAGATACTCATGATGCACGTAGGATGTACAATGCGATCACCCGGGAGATGGAGCCTGAGCTCCTTCCTTGCTGCCGGAAGTATGGCTTGCGGCTGGTCAGTTACAACCCATTAGCGTGAGTGGGGTCCAAGAATGTTATTTAGATGGAAGCCTCATCACAAGATGTAGCGGCGGTCTTTTTGCAGGCAAGGTGCTTTCCACTGAAGAGGTAGCTCCCGAGGGTGGTCGCTTTGACCCGAAGTCGAAGATGGGCCAGATGTACCGAGCACGGTACCTTAGGGAAGGGTACTTCAAGGCTCTTGAACTCGTGAAAGCCGCTGCCGTATGTCCCTCTGCAACTGATAGTCTATATGACTAATGACTTGGACAGGACGGACATGGTCTTCGCCTTACAGAGGTTGCCCTGCGTTGGTGTCAACACCATTCTCTACTGACGCCGGAAGACGGTATTATCCTGGGCGCTAGCAGTGCAGCGCAACTAGAGCAAAATTGTGTTGACTCGGAGAAAGGGCCCCTCCCACAGGATGTTGTTGATGCGCTTGACGAGGCTTGCAGGCTTGTGAAGGCACACGGAAGCACCCCGTTATACTGGCGTTGAGGGCTCTTTCCGTTGAGGCATAGTCAAGAGTGTGGTAAACCTAGTGACAATTGAATATAATGAATTTCAACGAACGCTGCCACAGCGTCAACTAGTATGACAATCGAGTACTGTGTACTTTATCGACACATAATATCCTAGAACACAAAAGAAATTAGGTCGAGCGTTTACGGTTAGAGCAAGGCTGGATAGATGCGAGCTGGAAGCTCCACAGTCTCTTGGGAAGACAATATGTCGTCTCTAAACGCCGATCAATAAAATCCAGTAAACGAGAACAAAAACCCATACTACTTGGAGAAGGTGTGCCCAAATACCTTCATGAAATCCTTCGACAGAGACCCTATCGCCGTGCCAGTGCTGACTCCACGTTCTCGACTTTTCCGCTCCCACTCGACTACCTTTCTGGTGGTGTTATTCCCATATTCCGCACAGAGCTGCTTGAAGATGATGTCCCGACTCAAACCAGGAAATCCGCTCATGTGTTTGAGCATGTACTCTGCCATTGGCTCGAGACCAGAATCAGCGGTCTGCGTCATGATCGTGCGCCGGTTGATCCGGAAGACCATCTTCGCTCCCGGATCATCGATCACAAAGCGAACTGGTACATCGCTTGCAGTGAAGAGGAAATAATCGGCTTCTTTGTCGGCTTCAAGCATCCCAGCTTGACGCTCCGCAGCAGGGGAACGTTGGCCCTTACAGGGACCTACGCCAACGTTTGCAATATCCACAGTCCCATCCTGATTCGTTGGAATATTACGCATCATATCGGCAATTGGACCCATTTGACCACCACTAAATTGCCAAAGGTCGTCATCCTTCGTTCCGCTGAGACCTTTCGAAACCTCCTTCTTGCCACAAGCCTTTTTGTGAACGGGCCAGTCTTCCTTCTGACAGGATCTGGTGGATGGAACATGAGGCGTAATGAAGAAAGATTATAGTACTACGCACTGAGAACAATAATGTACTTGGAACTTGAGTTTTGTTTTGCAAGTACTACACACCATGAAGCGAACGCCTTCTCCGATGTCTTCTGATGTTTTCGTACAGTTCTCGCAGCGTACAAGGGGTTTGTCCCTGAGAGTAGTCTTTGCCTGTGCTAAAGAATGGGCAAAATGCGCTCCCGTATTGTCCACGATGTTCAGGACGTCTTTCATCCCTCCGCTGCGATGGATGATGTCGCGTAAAATCGACTCCAACGAGGCCAGCAGGAAGAAACCTAGTAATATATTTTCAGAGACGCACGATGTTTGATGAGCGAGAGAAAACCCACCGATGAACTTATTCCTGTAGATAGTTGCAACTTCAAACACCATCTTTGTACCTTCAGGTCTCTGTCTGCTAGCATCATTCGATGTTTGTTTCCACCATGAGTTTGGCAGATCCGACGCCTGTTCCCACCACGAGTTTGGCAGGAACGCTGGATCAGACGAGTCGAAGACCTCCAAGAAACGAGTAAGGAACCCGATAAAACCCTTCCCACCCTCCGATAGGAAGTTCGAAACTGTGACATCTGGACAAAGAGCACGATTGTCTTGGCCCAAGAGCGTACTAGGTGCCTCAGATGCCTTCTCAAGACCCTGAAGGATATGTCTCCTCTGTTCAGACGCACCCAACAACAACCAGATGGTGTTGAATCGTCCTCCACGAAGAATCTTGCGCAGGCTTCGAGCTGCGCCTTCTTGGATGATGCGGAGATCCAAGTGGAGGGACTTCAGGTCATCGGGAGTGAGGAAAGAATCATCCAGTAAATAGGAAATCTCCTTGTGGACGTCTGCTGCTGTCAATGATGCAATCGCCGCCTCCCAATCCTTATCCCACTTGAGGATGTCTTGTTTGATATTAGTGATGTTGAATTTCTTGGAGAAGAGAGGAGGGAATTTCACAGCTTGGTCCTCATTTGTTGATGCCATTTCTCTAGATGATAGCTGACAGGTCTGTCTGATGGGCAAGTAGCATGCGAGGATTAGACGCGTTTAAATTTTAAAACCAACACCCTCGCATCGTAATAATCGGATGCCATTACACTAAATGTTGGTGTGGATGATTGATGTGATGGTCTATAAAGAGAAGGCAATCGCCTTCAAGACGTAAAGCCTCCGGCCTCAGGCCTCATGACGTAAAGGACTTATATATCGCCAAGTAAGTATATGATCCACGAGGCCGCCTGTATATGTAACAGTAAGTCTGAGCGCATGAACGTCGATGTACTGTCGTGGACATAGAACAGATGCAGTGCTCTATCTGCGTGCTTGTGGTTGTCATAATAATACAGTGCATATGGTACATGGCGGATTCTAACTCTAAGTCACTGCTGAGTGTCCGTGGCAACATGTACCGAGTTGAATTTCTTTAGGCTGACCGCGTCAAAAACCAACTCGGAATTCCTTCTCCGATCAGTCTACGTCAAGATTAAGCGCGAGATCTTGTACGAGACGAGATGAAATCCCTTACATTTCTGCTACATTCAAGGGGAATTTGGGCAATCTGATATCCTGGTTAGCTGTTGATCATTGAAAAAAGCTCCGGCACCATGAGCCAAGTGAGGAAAAATGACGGACCCTCCTCTCAGTCTGGTCTCCGTTCACAACGGTGAAGTCGGTGTAAGCGTGGTCTCGTGGACGGGCTATCAACGTCGACATGACGGAAATCGTGTAAAATTGTGCGAGAGATTCATTGAAGACCAGATGCCTGTAGAGTATTAATTATTGTTTTAGAAAGCATACCAGAGATGTACTTACATGCCGTCGGTCTGGCAAAACCAAACCTGTAAGTTGGTCTTTAATGCAAAGCAAACGGACTCACAAGCGCTACATATACGGCCAGGTCAATGAGGGTCCATATTGCTGTCAGCAGACCGGTCTGCAGAGTGACTAAAATGCCAATTTCTCGCTCACTAACACAGGAACCGACTGAAAATCAAGTACCTCGTATTATCTTTTTTATGATATGATCAGTGTCCATGAATCCCGTTTTGTGCTCACTCTGTAGCATGTTAAAGCATGTATGCCCTTATCAAAATGAAGAATGACGGACCAGGGAGCGGACAAGTAACCCGGTAATCAGGAGGTTATCCAAAGCAGAAGAGGCAAGGCCGACGACAAATACGATTTCGAACCTATGAAACTGGGCAAACATGGGCACCATATTGATCGCAACTGTGGTTCCAATGCCACAAACTAGTAGCCATGAGACAACAACGGTGAGTTTGAACAGTCAAACTACCTACGGAATGCAGCACTCGCGAGAATAACCATGATTCCAACTGGCCAGACACTAGACGTCAAAATACGGATTCTCCAGGCGAAGAAAAACTGGACGAGGGAGGATACAACACCCTTGTGCATGGTCAGCTGGCAAGAGGCTTACGATCAGAGAACAAAATACCGCGATGCCTGGTACTAAAATGATGTGTGCGATTACTGATATGCTAACAGATGACTACTTGAAGAGAAGTACGCACGCAAGGAGAAAACTGGAAATGTTGAATGAGAACACGGTGGCACACGAATTATGAAAAATAAACAACACACCCCAGTTGGCTCTGGTCAAACTATATTGGTCACCTTTGTAACAACAAGTTTAGACTCTGCATCCAGTGTAAATAAGAATGAACACACCAAAGTGAATGATGAGAGTGTCATTCAAGAAGACAAACTGCAGGATGACATTGGCGGTGCACAACAACAGAAGGGTTGACACCTGAAAAGTAAAATCAACCTGCTGTCCACTCATTTGAAAAATGAGTCATACAAGAAGTCGTATCCATGGACCGTCACTGGGAGAGAATTGATTATAAAGTGAGTATTCATATTGGATCGCATTGCTCACTTTTTGAAGGAAGAAAAATATACGAGTCCTGATGTGACCAGCGCGCCGTACAAAATTGTGTTGACGGCAAAGCCTACGAGTAAGGGGCCAAACCTGATTGCCAGTGAGTGGGCTGGTAAGACCAGAACTTGAAGACCTACGAGATTCCAGCAGCAGTAAGCGGCATGCTGGACACAACCACTGATATGTGGTTATTGAGCTCCTTCAAGCGATGAGGGGGCTAAAAGACTGGGAAAATGGCGCAGGGTTCTCATATAAGTAGTAGTAGATAGCCCATCCGCATCTTATTCTCGTCCGATTAAAGCGTACGTTTTCAGGGTTTCAGTCAGGGTGTCGTTGATAATTCTGAGAATCTACACAGATCACGAGATTTTTTTTGTTCTGTTTTGGAAGGTCACCGCGGTCATATTAATATTAGACCCCGAGCACATTTATACCTAGACTTGGACCAGACTCCACATCGAGAGTAAAGGCCGCATCGACGGCTCTAATCAGCCAGAATCACGTTCCCGTGCTCACTCAGTCCTTCCAAATTTTGGAAGTTGCCACTATCCAGCCAGTCTATGTAGAAATCTATTTACTTGGTGGAAAGCATCGTGTGAAAAAAATAATTATGTATGTCATGCTTGTTCGGTCTCGAACATCATTTAGTCTCTTACATAATTGTGATACTGTTTTGCTACTAGCCGTTTATCGTTTACTAGAGTTTTAGATCGGCTCCTAACAGGTGGGAAACACGGGTCCCTGAACACAGTAACTGACCTCAAGGCCTTGAGGTAAGGATATTTCTTCATCCAAGTTCACCGCCCTTGCGCGTATATCTATCCTGCGCTGTTCAGCACATTCGTGTCGCTCCCTTAAGCGACCATTGTCGAGCTAGCCGCTGCGAATTATACACCCAACCCCTCCGTGCTATATAGCCTACGCACTCTTCCAACGGACACGTGCTCTCGATTGAACTCAAGTTACTCAACGCATGACGCTTAAGGTCAAGCAGTCCTTGGGCGCTTCCCCAACTTCTTGGATTCTTCATCCTCGTGTCTGCCACCCCCTCCTATACGGAACTTCTTGGGTATGAAGTGTAACATCTTCTTCACAATCTTTTACATATGAAATTTTGATCATCAACCAACCCAAATTCTCATGTCATTAATTTTCTGGGTGAGAGGAGAATGTAATATACATTTATGGCTACTGATGCGGCAGGAATACGTGTGTAGGCGTTGATATTTAGGACGGTATGTATACTACGAGGTGGAGTGGTAAGCTAGGAGAAGAAGAAATTCAGGATGCGGTGAAAACCACTGAAGAAAGAATATGAAAGCTGCGGCAATAGCGAGGATTGATGGGAAGAAGCAACGAGGGAGTGTTGACTGCGAGCATGATGGGGATCTGGCGTGCCGCCTAGTATTGATGCGCTGTCACGGTTCCAAAAAAGAAATCAACCAGCGACGACGGCACAGCTAGGCTGCAGGAGCGGGATTGGTGTCAAAGGTCACTTGGGCAGGGTGCAAAGAGATGCGGCAGCGTTCACAGGCACTAGGCTTGGGGAAAAAAGGTAGAGGATACTGTAGGACAACGAGAGCATCATGTAATTGGGACAATGAACATAGAAAAGGATCCATACCTTTCTCCGACACATCATGGTTTGCGGGGTCCAACCTTTACTAAATAACGTCAGTTCAATTGAATGGTTACAGAGCCGAAACGCTAACAGTCGCCAATCAGAATCTCAATCGCTCCTTCTTAATAAACAGAAAGATTTTTATGATGAAGATGATCAAATAACTTTTGTAACGGTAACCTCAGTAAGTGTCATACCATGAGTCGAATTACGAATACCGGACCAATTGCCAATTGGTAAGAGTACTTACACTACTTACTGCGCGCGCAACATCTCCTCGAGTCCAGCCTTCCATATCGTCAAATCGCCGTCCCACTCATTGAGGACGCCTCATTTTTCCACCTTTTGCAATCGAGGTACGAGCGAGCATTTCGCCGTACCTTTGTTTGCGATATCCATGTTGGGAAATGCAGAACCAGATGATACCATTCGTGGATAGGACGTCTCCCCAAGTTTCTTCGCACCCTTCCGCGCAGCTTGGGATTATGTTCAATAGGCGAAGAAGTGTACGCCAAAGGATTCGTGGCAAGTAGAGCCACAAAGGGGGGTCGAGCCCTAAATCAACCGGGAGGGCGCATCAGATATCATGATACGCTAAGTATCAAGGGAGATAAGTCGTCAAGTCAAAAGACGTACAAATGACATCTGTTGCATGTTCCGAGATGAACGTGTCGCGGTGGTTGCCGTCGATCACCCATCCTCTGGGATCCTGTGCCATCGCAGCAATAATTCTTTCCTTGTACTCGTCATTTGAATAGGTAGTCCACTCGGGTCCCCAGAAAAGTGCATCCAGGGAAATATTTGGCACATTGAGTTTAGTGGCAATGTACGTGCTGACGGTTGACTTGAAAGAGATGTTTTCAAGAGTTTCAATTTTTTTTATCCAAGCCTACCTTGCCAGTGCCTAACAAATACCCGTGAGTCGATGAGCAATGAGGCCATGAGCAAACGACGGACGCACCACTGTTGCCTACAACATGAACTCTATAGTTGCCCTTACCGTCACCAAGCAGCGACGGGATATTCATCATGATAATCACGGTGTGAGTCAAGAGTTAGAAGGCTCTCCATCGAGCTCCATCCTCGGAGCTGTTTTCACACGGGTGAACTGGTTCATGAGCGCGCGTTAATGGAAGGCAGCTATATACGAGGAGTAGAAAGAGGCAGTGAGACCTATCTGTGATGCAAACCTATCAACTTTAAACTTCCTTCATGTCGTCATCGTCATCTTCGTCTTCGTCTTCGCCATATTCATCCACCCCCATATCACCGGAGACTCCTTCTGGAAGAGAACTTGATGCAGATTTCATCCCTCAGTTCTGAAAAATAAATCATGACTAAAATGAGACTTCCACATACATTCTGTCGTACTCTCCGCTCCGATTCAAGCTAGCAATAGCAAGAAGTACCTCTTTGAGACATGCAGCGGGCTGGGTGTACTCGCACAGTGGCTTGATGCTCCACCGGTTGCTCGCGAAAGAGTGTGAAGAGAATATCCCAAGAGTTGGTTGATGGCATATGTGCCATACGCTCAAATGTGCCCTTGGTAAGTTTGGGTCGAAATTTCTACGAGGTTCAGTCAGTTGTCAGCGACGATCTACATAAGCAATCATGCATGATGAATTATGACTTATGAGCGCTCACATCGTTTCCCTCGATATATCTCTAGATCTGGTGCAAACATGTCCTCTCGGTCTTCAACACACCGTCGTCCGCTACCAATCAGGGCGAGCAACAGTAACAAGAAATGACAACTCCGTAGGATGTATTTTTTTGGGCGTGTTCAACAAGTTGAATGCACGTGGAACGAGACAAACCTCCTCAGAGATATGATGAAATACCCTTCTATCGACGGGAAGGAATGTCCATGGCCAATTAGGTCGGAAGTCGAGGAGAATGGGGTTACTGTCGGGCTTGTCGAATTTACCTTATCCCATGATGGCAAATTGCCTTCACTTGTGGTAGCGAACATGTGAGACGGTGATGGCAGCAATCTCTCAATCTGGCTCGTCAAACACAGACGCTTTGAGGGCCGCCAATATAATGATACCTGAGCTCGCAATCTGACTGATAGTGTGAACTGTCATATTCAATGGTCTAATAGCGACCAAAACGGACCTCAGAGGGAGAAATAAAATCATAAGCGGCAGTCCCCGACTTTTCACAAGCCTATCAAGATTCAAGTGAATCAGATCTCCTGGAAGGCTGGAACACACGATGGTCTCCACGACGTTGATCTCATCTGTCCCACAATATGTCTCCGCTGAGGAGCACAGAAATATCGTAGGATCGACTCCTACATCGTTCAACGACATCCCTCCCGTGCTGCGCCACAAGGAGGACAATGTGCGCGTTATGCTCGATCCTCCCCTCCATACATTCACCGAACAAGATTGCGCGAATGGAACGTTATTCGTGATCGAGAAGTAGTTATATTGATAAATCTCTAATCATCGCTGCATTCTGATATTTCGTCCCTCACAGCGCCCTCGTCTTCATGTCATCGACTGGGGTCGGATTTCAGGTCCCGTACCCTGCCATCACCCTGCACGCAATTGCGCGTCCAGAATCTGGACCATCAATATATTGTCAGCTAGACGAACTCACTGGAGAACCTGGAGCAGCTGAGTCACCTGAAAATGATGAAGCCTCCGACATGCGAGAGCTAAGCATCATTCCGTCAAATCCTGCGTCTCGTAGGTTTTCTGATATCGAATCGTGTCACACATACTGATAGCAGTTATCTGATCAGTGGAGCTGATATTTGAGGCAATGTCTCTCTGTGCTTCCCTTCACCCAGATCCAAACGTTTCAGATGATGACGACTTGGACGAAGCATTTATGGATGAGAGCGCCTTTGAGACTTTTACGGGCGAAGAGGGTGATGAGCTCAGTGAGGTTGGCCGGGTGCGCAGTGATTTCGTCAACAACAGTCGTTATGCACCCTACTAGACACCTCACGCAGGCGGCTCTCGACCATCTCGAGTCAATCATCGATGATCCATATCATCCAGGCGAGAATGGCCTCAACGGCGCTGGCGAAGATGATGAAAGCGAAGGCGATGGATGGCATTGATCTGGACGTCGATTTTCGATCTTAAACACACGGCACAAACAAAAGTATATATTTCACCAACGAAGGATCGACGCATAATCCAGACATCCAGTACATGACCATTCGAATCAATAAATCATATCAGTCTTTATCTACGACTTGAAACCTTTGGGCCGAACATCAGCAGACAGTGTTGTTTTTGGTGCGACAATTGGTAATGGTCCCCAGTCAAATACAGCAGCGGGGGCTTTTGGTGCGGGCGTTGGAGAAGCTTCGAGAATCTCCGACTTTAGCATAGCCGCCGATTTAGCTGAAGACCCATGTCTCGGTGTTCGCTGTGGGCGACGCGAACATGATGCTGTGTAAGACGTAGAATCGTCATAATTGATGGACGTTTCTGGCGACCACCCGCCCTGCGTGAATATAGGGGTGTTGAACGCAGGCAAGGCGCTGCTAGGAAGGGAAATGAAACTAATAGGAGTAGGTGTAGTGGGCTCTTGCTTCACCGCTGCTCTGCTTGGCGTTAGGAATGACGTAGGCGCGGGTTTGGATGCTGCCTTGTTGTTAAGTAAGGGCTCCTTCCTCACCGCCAGCAGAGCCCGCTTTAACTTCTGTGCAGAGCGTTCGGCATTCAATGCAGCAGCTGTGGTAACTGCTACATGGGGAATTACGGCCGACGGCTTCTTAACGCTTGACTCCGAGAGCTGTTTGTCTCGTGGACCGGAGACATTAGAGGATATGTCCAGCTTGCTCATTCGCTGCTGAAGTTTTGCGACATCCCCGCTTTGTTGCGTGATTGAGATATCAATGTTGCGGAAAGCGCGGTTCACGGTATCCAAAGACGGTGCCCTGGAACCAAATTATGAGATATTGACGGCGTTTTAGAATCGGACAACCAACTTTAGGCTCGGCTTGCCTGCCTTTAGCTCCGCAAGCCTCTTTTTAGAGGATTGCAGATGGTCCTCGAGCTTTTGTACTCGGTCCCCCATCGTCTGTCCACGAAATCAGCATACTATCCTGTGAATCAGAGACGACTGTACCCTTATATCCCTCCGTAGTTGCGACTGAGTCTCCAGATATTCTGGTCCAAGAGTTCTGATCTTGAGCATCTTCGCAAACTCACTGTCCGTCTGAGCTCGAGTAAATCGGATGATTTCCTCCTTTCTTGTTCCCGCTGTGTACCGTGCATTAGTTGATAATCTTGGTCTCAGCACGCATGACAGACCCTTCAACATACTACTTTCAAGTTCCTTCAGCGATTGTTTAAGAAGTTTCCGTTGCTCCTTTATCTCCTTGATGTCACCCTGGACTTCAGTCATTACACGACCATACTCCTTGATGTCTCCAGGCGCCCATTTTGTTGCATCTGGAAGATCTGCTTTCACATGAGATTGTCCTGGTGTTTTCTTTGACCCGAGTTCGGCGGCTTGCTGTGTTGCACGCGCTGCCATAGTTTTCAGCTGACCAAAGGGTAAGCGTTCAGTTTGAATATGCGTATCAAAGACTTACATTATCGAGTTCCCACGTTAGACGTGAGACCATGAACGAGCACTCAGACTGCATGCCTTGTTCGATGGGCGGAGCTGGTGGAGATATAGAAGGAAGGGGAACTGCAGATGGCAGCGGGCCTGGAGACAGAGACATGGGACCAGCAGATACAGCCCCAGGTGTCTTGAAGCTACTGAAAACGCCAGGAGGCGGAGGAGTGAGAGTAGGAGGCGCTTCCGGTGTTTTGGCTGGCGTGCCGAAGATGCTGGGAGACGCGGGGCTGGGACTCTCGCTCGGCTTCGAAAAACCAAAGAAACCTGCTGGAGGGGGCGAAAAGACTGGTGGGGTTGGAGTCTGAGACTGAGTTGGAGCTGGAGCACCGAAGATGCTAGACGCTGCGGGCGGTGTGGTAGTCAGCAGGGGCTTTGGAGGTAGTGTAAACGCTGGTGGCATAGGCAGCGCCGTGATGGCCGGCGCGCTTGCACTCTTGCCGAACAGAACTGGGGGCGTTCTGGGCCGGGAAGAATCAGATTCTGCGTCTTGCTTCACTGGGGGTACCCATGCGCCGAATTGCGGCCTCGGTGAGGCGGGATGTGGTACCATAGTCGGAGGTGCTGATTTCGCTTGGGGTAGGAAACTAGGAGCTTCCATGTCTCCGGTGAGGGGGGCATTTGCAAGAGGTGAACTTTTAACCGGTCGAGTACCGGTCGTCCTGGGAGTTATAGCGAATGGGGAGGAGGCAGGAGGCTTTGGAAGAGGCGAAACCACAGGAGGTGTGGCACATTGAGCCTCTGGTACGGGAGATCCGGGTGGTGTTGTACTCTGGTCCCTAACTGGAGATATCTTTCGAGGCGGAGAAGGCGAAGTTGACAATGTAATGGTCGGTAACTCCGCTTTTGGAGTGGTCGATCGAGACCTGGGAGCAGGCGATTGGATGGAAGAAGGAACCACTGTTGACTCAGGCTCTCCTTCTTGCGTCTGCACTTCCCGCACTTCTTGATGTGTATCCCCTTCCTTTTTCTCTTCCTTATGCTCTTCCTGTAGTTTCTCCTGTTCCTCCAGCTCCTCCAGTTCTTCTTCCAGTTCTTCTTCCCGCTCGTCCTGCCCGTCTGGCAATTCAGACTCTTCAGACTCTTCCGACTCTTCCGATTCATCATCATCATCATCATCATCATCAGAGATAAATGACTTCGTGTCGTCTTCGAGTTCCCCATCCTCATCAGATTCATCAGCAGTCGAGTCCGCATCACCCTCGGTCGCATCTTCAGCAGAAACATCAACGAAGGATGAGGCTGTTGAAGAAGAAATGGACTCCAAGGAAGGTTCGTGAGGCAAAGCCTTGTTGTCTATAACTTTCACTTCCTGCACTTTCTCCTCGACCACAGGAAGCGGTGGAGTGGTTGTTCTAGTTGGTGTTTCCTCTTGCTTAACAGCCTCCGCCTTTGCAACCGGCATAGTAGGCGTGAGCGGCTCTTCTACCTTGACATTCGTAGCCTCTTTAGCGGGTGTCTCAGGCTCGACAATGCGTACGGAAAATACATTGACAGATTCTGTCTTCAGGGGTTCCTTGGCCTTGTCACCAGTGCTCTTCAGCAACTCTCCAAACGACTTTGGTGCACCCGCAAACGCGCTGAAACCGCCACCTCCACCTGACGCAAAAGCACTAAAACCACCCGTTGAAGGTGTCGAGAAAGCTGACTGGGGTGGGCTGGGTGGGCTCTTGAACGCCCCTCCTGGCATGGATGACGCACCAAATGTAGGAGCTGGGGAACTAGGCGTCATGGTCCCAAAGACACTTTTCGTTACGGCACCAGGCATCGACGACTGGCCGAAGGCAGGAGCCCCGGTAGTAGGTTTTGTTGGTGTTGAAGGGGAACTTGATGCTAGGGCAAATGCAGAGACAGGTGGCTGTGCTGGCGCCGGCCTGTAAAACGGAGAGTCTTTCGGTGTTTCTCCCAATCCGAATCCAGAGGAGGGTTTCATCGAGAATGAAGACGAAGATGGCTTCAAATTACTGAAGGCACCTGTCGTTGGAGCTGGCGCAGAGCTCTTGAATCCAGACTCGGTCTCTTCACCCCTCTGCGCGACAGGGGAAGGAGACCGGCTTTCGTCCCGCGGCACAGACGTCTCGCGTGGAACGTTAATTGCCTGGACAGGCGTTGGTGCATCGGGTTTCACAGCATTGGTTGCACTACCCCATGCAGGCTTCTGAGAACCTGTATTGGAAGTAATAGCTCCGAAAGCATTTGGGGCACCTGTCGCAAATGCAGCGAAGCCTCCGGAAGTAGGTGCTGGTGTTTGTGCAGTAATGGTGGTTGATCCGAAGGGCGATTTTCCAAAAGCCGACGTTCCAAAGCTGGATTGTCCGAACCCAGACTGCCCAAATGAACTCTTCCCAAAGCTAGGGTCAGGTGTGACTCCAAATCCGTTCTTCCCGAATGCAGAAGTAGGTGGGATAGCAGATCCAAACGCCGAGGTAGTTGCTGGGGCACCACCTCCAAATGTCGATGTGGTCGACGCACCACCGAACGCATTGAACGGACTCTTTTGCTGGCCTCCGTTACCAAGAGCTCCAAAGCCGGTTGCAGGTTTGATGAATCCACCTCCCGCTGAATCACTTGTAGGAGAAGATTGAGATGTAGCTGTGTTCCCAAAAATGGAGGGCCTTGAATCAGCACCCTGAGGGGCAGGGTTACCGCCGCCGAGTGACAGCTGACCAAAGCCGGGTGTATCATCTGCAGCCATACTATCTTCTGCAGAAGCTGATGTTATTGCACTTTGTGTAGGCGCGATAGATTGTGCTGCTCCAAACCCAAACTCTGTTTGTCCGAACTTCGAGGGTCCAACAGTGCCAAATGCCCCAAACCCTCCCGAAGTAGGCGTGGTGTCAAAAGCAGACTTCCCAGCTTGAGCAAACGGCGAGGCTGATGGAGCGGCGGACCCAAACATGGGTGTGGGCTGTCCGAATGATGACTGGCCAAATGATGACTGACCGAAAGAGGGTTGAGCAAATGCTGAAGTTGGTGACGACTGTCCGAATGCAGATGTACTTTGCTGGCCGAAAGCATTCGTTGTTGGTGTCTGGCTAAATGGAGATCCCAGTTGCTGACCAAACGATGATTGTCCAAATGAAGGCTGTTTCCCGAACGCAGACGACTGGCCAAAATCAGGGGCTGTCTGGGCAAAAGTTGACGCACTGGCAGAGGATGAAGTGGGTTCAATAGGAGACGCATGCATGTCATTGGACGGCTCCCGCATTATCGCGGTGGGCACAGCTGACAGTGTCTGAGCGTTCTCCCTCGTCGTTCCCGAGGACTGGGTTACCATGCCCGGGTAAGGTGTTCCCTTGATGTTGAGGATATGCCAACCTGCTAATGTCCCATCTGATGCATATGCATACATGATAGGTGAAGGTGGCAACTGAACACCTTCCCCGGACGCACTCGTGTGGTGGAACGGCTCAGTGCTAGTTAGATCAAGTTCTAGGCCAACGAGGACGGTGTCGTTCATGTCCCTGTCCAACGGGAGGCTCGGCGTCGACGTTTCCTCAAGCGACAAATTCGACCAATTCTCTTCTACACATCCGACCACCCCAATGTCAGATGAAGTACTGTCTCCCATAAATAACAATATCTTTGCGGGATCCCACCCTCGCAAACACACGATAAATGCACCAGGTGGCCGCAGCCCGGGCGAAGGGTAATACGGTGAGGAGAATTTCAAGTCTTGTGCAGAATTAGTTTTGCCATCAAGGGAGACGTGGAAGTGAGTTTGTTCGACTTCTGGGTTAAGAGGCAGCTGGGCGTAGATCGCATGGAAAGACGAAGCAGATAGCCAAGTCGATGATATGACGCAGGCATTAGATGCTGAGGGTGGGCTTGGAATGCTGGACTTTGGGGTGGAGGTAGAAGTAGGTGCATATGTGACGATGGAACCGCTTCTCATACCCAGCGCAAGCTGCTTGCCCTTGGGAGACCAGGATACTGTACAACGGTCAAAATATCAACATGGCATTGAAAGAAGATACGTACTTGACGCGGGAATGGTATTTTGTAAACTCCCTGCTACCCAACCTCCCACAGATGTTAGTTTTTGGACGTCGAGAAGCTCCACTGCTAATGCGTTTGAGACACTTTGGGAGTCCCGTAAGATAGCTACAAGTTCCGGAAGATCTCCCGTATTCGGAGATATCGAAACAACGAAAGCTGAAGGCACAGCAGGAAGTGAGTAAATGGGATTGATGGGACTGTCTCCAGAGGAGAATAGGTGTTCTGTGGCGTAAACCATAATCGACCCCTCAGCAAACCCAACGACGAGTCTGGAGTCATTGAATGAAAATACAACAATATTTGGAGTGGCAGCACCCAAGGAAACCTTCCTTTGAGGTTGATATGGTCGGTCATCCGTATCGTTGGCGGTAGCGAATGCGGAGCGAAGATCGCTGAGGGGCGACAGCACAAGAACTACAAAGACGCACTTCAGCAATGATTGCGAGGCATATGATATTGATACATACTTGTCCCAGAATTGGAATCTCGGCCCACTGCTGCAAACCATCCTCGAGAGTTTGCGACCGCGAATAAGGAGGCCCTGCCTGGGATGGGCGAAAGGTTTATGGAATCTTGGGAAAGGCGAACACGAGCGCGCTTATTCAGTTGTCGAAGAACAAGAAACTAAATGATGAACAGTTGAAGAATACGATATGCCAACTTTGAAAGATGAACGCACGTCGGCATCCTTCTCCCCCGGTTCAGATGATGCTGTTTGAACGGGAGGAGGGACTGTAGGCTGAATTTGTGAGATATTTGACATAGAAATCCTTCTGCTCGCTCAGATACGTTCACCTTAAGATTCTCTTGGCCTGGATAAATGGAAACACAGAAAAGAGGAGTGCTTTGACTCTGGGCAATCCAAGAATTTGAATATATTTGACTGAGTCACGTGGCCTTATAATAACTTTTGTGACAAGTCTTTCGTCGCGTCAAACGACTAAGTGAGTAGCTGAGGCTGTGAGCTAGGTTATCATCGACGCTGCTTTACGCAAGTGATGATCCGCCAGAAGTCTAAGTAAAAATCTCTGCGATTGAATTGACCGCTGGCATGCTTTCTACTGAACTCGTGCACGTACTAGTACTAGTAGTGCCTGCATCACATGTGCACCGCTTGCACGGTGTCAAATGTACAACTAGTCACACACTCACCCTCTCGCATCAAAATTACCACTATCTCTCTTACAACGAAACATAATGGCGGTCCCACACGATGCTCAGTCCGCCGCACTGCTTGCCCACGTCGCGACACAATTGCAGCTCAATATCTCCTTCCTGGAGTCTCAGAACTATATGTCTGCTGAAGACGCCCGCAGCATGCGTGAAATCATATCACACCTGCCCGGCGGTGCAGGCCAGTCCGTTGTGACCACCGGTTTTAATTTTATCGATCCAGCAGTCATGACTAGAGCAATCCCGCCTCCAGCAGACATGCCTAAAGGGAGAGCGATTCCGCCCCCACCTGTACAAGCGCCCCCGATATCGCCTATTTCCTCCCAGAAGCCTAGACTCGTGAAAGCTATCTGGGCATACAACGAAGATGGGGGAGTAAGTTTGCCGCCCACCCAGTATCTTTACAGTATTTACTTTTGCCACCAGGAACCAAATGATCTCTCGTTCGCTACTGGTGAAGTCATCGAAGTCGTCTTGGAGAAGAACGAAGATTGGTGGCTTGGTCGCGCACGTGGTCGGGAGGCTCTATTCCCGTCTAATCACGTCGAGAGCGTAGACGCTTCTACCATCCCCCAAGCCGATGCAGTTGCAACGACTGCAAAGAAACCATATAAGCCATTTGGCGCTGCTCTGCATGGGACTGATAGACCTCCTGCCGCGGGTGTAGGTGCCAACTCTGTTGGTCTGCAGGAAGCATCTGGTCAGGCAGAAAAGAAGAATAAATACGGAAAGTATGGTAACACGGTTTGTTTTTTCGCTTTAAAATCCAGGATGTAGGCTGATACGGTTTGGTTACTCAGATGGCCCACTCAGCTGCAGGGGGCGTTGGGTTTGGTGCTGGTAAGGAGTCTATCATACAGGTCGAATGTCATTAACATACCCTTGTAGGTGCTGCCATTGGCGGTGGTTTGATCAGAGCGATTTTCTGATATGGTCGTGGCACATGGTTCGGAACTTTGGCTATCAAATGGACCTGGTATGGGCAGTATCTATTTATAATCATTCGCTCTGTGTCTTCAAGTATATTGGCAAGCAAGTTGAAATACTGATCGTCCAGTTGCGCTGTGGCGCGTCCTTCTCAATGAGGTTAAGGTCTCAAGTGGAAGGGACGTCACAGTAGACGTGCTGATCCTTAATTTATACAAACTCACTCACATACGTAGGCTTCAGGGCCTTTGACTTTGTGGCGGTTCACTATCTGGTTCTTGCCCTTACACCAGCCCGCCCGCCCTGCCCTTTCCAATACTCAAGCCATCCCGAATTTCTTTGGAGACTCAACCGTTCACCTGGGTCGATTTTCCCTCGCCTGATGTATACACCTCACTATGTCCGAACACTCGCATCTCCGCTGACAACGGGTGATCTCGATGAAATTTCACGTCATGTTTGAAACATCCTGGTGAGCTCAGCGTTCAAGCTTCAGGTTTAATAAGCAAGTGTGATCGTGGACGTACTACCACTTGTTTCGGCTAGCCTCGATATGTTTTGGGTAACGCCAGTGCGGGATTGACGTCTACCTTACTAGCGCCTAACAAGTACCCGTTAGTCGATGAGCAATAAGACCATGAGCGAACGACGAGCACACCACTATTTCCCACAACATGGACTCTATAGTTGTCCTTACCGTTAACAAGTAACGACGGGACATTCATAGTGTGAGTCAAGAGTTATAAATAAAAAACAGCCTTTGAAGTTAGAAACTCTGCCTTCAATCTTGCATTATGTATCAAGTTCTGCTGTTTTTACACAGATGAATTGGTACCTGATCAATAACTGCGCGCGTTTATGGAAGGCAGCTATATATACACGGAAGAAGCGATAAGACCTGTCTGTGATGCAAACCTATGAAACTTCCTCCATGTCGTCGTCGTCGTCTTCGTCCTCGTCATATTCATCCGCCCCCATATCACCGGAGACTCCTTCTGGAAGAGAACTTGGCCCAGGGACGTTTTCGGCTTTCATCTGTTCTCTAGACTTCAGTTCTGAAAAATAACCATAACTAAAATGGAATACCCCATCTTTGGCGAACACATCGTTCAGCTCCCACATTCCATTGTATTCTCCACTCCGATTCAAGGTAGCAATAGAAAGAAGGACCTCTTTGAGATATGCCTCGGGCTGCTGGGTGCGCTCGCGCAATGGCTTGATGCTCCACCGGGGTTGCTCGCGAAAAAGTGTGAAGAGAAGATCCAGCAGTTGGTTGCGTGGCATACGCGCCATACGCTCAAATGTGCCCTTGGCAGGTTTGGGTCGAAATTTCTATGAGGTTCAGTTAGTTGTCAGCGACGATCTAAATAAGCAGACACGGACAATCATATTGGCAAACGATCCCGAATTGACTCCACTGCTCAACCTGTTGATGCCTCCGCGGCTAACACCAGCATCTTCTATCATAAGGATCTGCCTTCGTGGGGTATTGTATTTTCGAGTTCGTTCGCGCATTTGTTGCCTGTATGACTCGTTGAAAAGAGGACGCAAATTACATTCATGTTTAATGCGACCCGTTAGAATGGTTGTTCTAGCTCGAGGGTTATACGAGGCGGAGTTTGGTCCAGAAGGTCCAGGGTCTTTGGGACGTTCTGCGACTACCAGCTGATTCTCAACGTCCTCGTTGACCATTTCAAGTTCATATCTGTCTACCTGCATGCCCCCCTCAACAGAAGGTATGAAAGCTGCATCTGGAGAGAAGACCGGCAGACTAAGATCCCGTGAAGTTGTGTCATTCGGGTCAGGCGGCAAGAACAAGAAGATGCGAGGGGATCGACCAGATGGGCTGACGGCATTTTTATATACCCGGATTGTGGCAAGATGAACATCCTCTGCGTCAATGGCCGCCCAGCGGGCCATGAGATGTTTAGGTATCTTCAATTGCAGACGATCATTAGAAAGCCCGGAAAGTAAAAGGAATGAAGAGACTCCGGCAGGGTGGAAGTAGCACTCTCTACCCTTCTTTCAACAGCCATGGGGCAGGCTCACCTTGACAAGCCATACTCTCCCGTTTCCCTTGTCCAACATTAGCTCCTCATCAGGGTCTGGTTGAGCATCTTCATCGTTGTGTTCGGCCTCGAAAGGCTTCTTCTCATCTTCGACGGTCAGATCATCCATGTGAAGTTGTCCGAGACTTCATGACAAATGACCTTCAAGTTGGTGAACTAACAAGTGCTTACTAAGCGAGCCAAAATTAGCGATACACGCATGTCATTTCTTTCCTTCACCTCTTCGCACACTTGATGTGAGAATTCGACAGTCAATTTAAACTGCTGATACGTTGAATACTGGCGCTTTGTGCATTTGAAGATGCGCTTCTATCGGGTTGATTGTTATTTTAGTCGTAGACTCCAGCAGCGAGGACTATCAAAGATATGTCTTTAACCTTACCATTTGATCACGCACCGAACCTTCGAAGAGTTGGGCGATCTAAGTTTTTCTGCGGTGTCATGCTCCGTATGGTCGTTGAGACACGTACGTACACCCTTACACCTGATGTTTTGTCCTTGCGATGTGACGACGTGGTGCTGAACTAGGTGTATTTGTTCCGAAATCATATTTTGTTGAGACTGGGCACATATACGCTCATTCACGCGACGCTGTTCCGCCGCGTCGTTGATCACCTCTCAGTACTCGCAGACCTGTGAGTGTGTATGCGACAGCGGGATACCTCATTTTTCTGAGTATGCGTTATTTTGACGATAGGGCATTGCCTGGCTTTTGTGGAGAGTGCGGTTGTAATGGTATGTGCCAAGGTGGGCCTCTTTTGCTGGGTTCTGCCTGTGTGTTACTGGCCGACGTTTTTCTTTGTGCTTCTTTTGTGTCTTTCTTAGCACCTCCTCTGCACCTTTTGACCCTTCTCTTACGTCTTTTCTCAACGTCTCTTTTTGTGCATTTCCATTTCGATACCTAATTTGCGTACAGGTTCGACGTACTTGATGCAATCGAGCTACCTGAGTTTGTCTTGACGTCAGTTGTAGATCTGGCTGATCATTCTAGTGCCATCTGGTCCACTTCCATGGGCTCACGTTCCTCCTGTTGTCGCACGTGAGGACTTGACTGGATTTATTTTGGTGAGGTAGACGGTAGTTTTGACCTGCGCGAGACATTCAGGGACAATCTTCCTCTCCAGTATTGAATGCGCTCTTGTGTTTCATTTATCACAGCATTTGGCATCCGCGGTAGAAATGGTAACGCCAGGCTGTACAATACCCACAATAAGTCTAGCAAACTCAACTTTCTGTTTCACAACATCTTAAACATGCCTCCTAATGCAGATCATGAAACCCAGTCACCCAAGCTTTTGGATACTTATGATGTGAAAATGGAAAGGACAAGATCTGACACGACACGTTGTAGATTCAATGATTCTAAATCTACTGGTCGTTTTCTCCGACAATCAGACTCATCAGCGGGTTGGATTGTGCTACAGAATGCTACAGAGCGCTCTGTAGCACTCTGTAATGAATTACGTTTCCCTGATGGATACCTCCCTTCGCTGTTATCCAGGATGCCCTGGATGAAATATCTTTCCACCATCTATCCCAAGATTATTAGTATAAAATCCGCCGGAAAAAAGAACAACCAACCTGGCGACATTAGGGCGGCTGCTGAATTGGAGTTTTGAATTGTGCGAGGGAACGAAAGTTTCCGATTCCTCACTATGAACAACTTCATCCTCTTACTTATCCAAATCCCGTGAGAGATAATTGACGTGGAGAGATGTTGTAAAAGTGAAGCATATTAATCATCAGTCAGGAGAGATTACGTCGTCCGAGGGTTACAGTGCGGGGGGAGAATGGTAATCGTCGAGACTTTCGCACATCTACAAGACAACTTGGCGTAGAGACACGTCATCAATGTCAGAGATTGCGATGTCCAACTGCTGCAGGCGGGGTGAAAATGGAAATCACAGAAACATCCGCACCTCCACACTACAGGTGAGAATATGTATCTCCCGTTATCATGAAAACGTGATATGCGGCACCCGGTAGAAATCTAGGCGCTAAATTTATGGGCAAAATACACGACCAGGACGGTACACATGTCCAGAGAAAAAGACCGCCAAGAACAGGATATATGTATATGTACCTGCTGTTTTAGCCTTTTTCATAAGGCAGCGACCTTATTCTGTGAACGGTGCGCTCGATCATCGCAATCGAGTAAAGTGACTCGGAGGTGTGAACCCGGCTCAGAAACTCGACAGTTGCTTAGCAGAAATACTGGAAAGTACGACAGCTATTGGGAACATTGCCCAATTGAACTGCAAGTGAGTCCACAAGTACATGATAACTCAATGATGCGCCCAGATAGCATTGGGCGTTGAAGTGGGCTCCAAAACTCGCCAGAAGTGTGCTTTTGTGATGATCAGTCGATGTCGTGCTGGGGGTGTGCCCCGTGTCACAGCTCGAGTCGGCATCGAATGTTCTGTTAGATTTGGTTGTCGTCTTGACGGTTAGTCAACTTAGATAAGCATGGCAAATGCCGGTCCCGCGTTCAGCCCCGCCGCGTTAGAACGGACAGTTCAATTCAGATCGCTTGTACAGTCTTATATACATCTTACACAAATGACTTTTGATACTAAGTGCCGATTCCTTTTTACAGCTGATTAAGCTTTGGCTTTGACTGCGAGCCACGAAGGCCTCGCAGTGATATCCTTCCACCACCTGTGAGGTAGGTTGGTGAGTTATCTGGCCGCAGCAATATCTGTTTAGGGACGGGCGCTCACCTTGCCACATTCGGTCTATCTTCCAACAGATCGTACCCCAATTCTTCGAATACGATCGTTCCATATGGAAGGTGGAATAAGTCGGCCAAGGTAATGCTCTAATGAAAGCTCTTGGTGAGCAAGCCATACGGTCGCACCAATCGTCGTTACTTACACCTCCTGCAAGATACTCCTGTTTTCCGAGTATAACATCGTATACATCCAGCTTTGCCTTCAGGTTGTTCACCAGGTCAGATAGCCTAGCTTCATTTGGTTCGAAGCCACGATGCCTGTTGAAAACGCTTCAGCCACGAACTCTGCAGAGCGTTAAGTCATCTACTTCTTGATGATCTTCTCCGTGGTAATACCCAACGCAAACGGGTAGAAGTTCGACGTCTCGATTGACACTGCTTGTTCAAAAATGGCCTCCGCTTTAGGGTCACGGGGCACGAGATCTGGGGTGCCTTGCGATGCATACTTATTTGCAATGTATCTGCAAATGGCTCTGGATTCATAGAGAATGAAGCCGTCGTCATCCTGATCGCTGCTATATCGGTATTTGTCGCCGTAAGTGGTACAAATGAATCACTGACTATGTAGGGGACCTGTCCGAAAGGTTGGAACTCTCTGAAGGCAGGTGTTTTGTGCTCCCCTTTGTAGACTTCCACGTTCACAAGCTCGTACGGCACTTCCTTCTCTCGGCAGACTTCTGCGACGAGTCTGACGAGGGGAGCGACAGCGTGGCCATGTATTTTAAGAACCATCGTAGTTGTGACTGTAGGTGGAGGAATGACTAGTATCGTTGGTGATCTTGTGCTGCCCCCTATATACGCCCAGCGCACTTAGCCTCTTCGATCGAGACTAAAGCTTGTATGAAGCTAGAGTCGTCATGACGCGCGATGAGGTGACAACACTAGTGAAATCTGTATGTCATGTTGTCCTCACTAATCCACTTTGGTTGGACAAGTCCAACCTATTCTTGATTGATCCAGCCTCTCAGTGATAGCCGATACTTGGGTCTACTAGTAGGTGATAGCGGAGGTACTTACGTCATACTGGCGAGGTATTCTCACGAAGTACTGCTCCAACCGTGACCAACCAATAACAAATGGGGTGGAATAGCTCAAAGCAATGCATAAACTGCGGAACTGATTAGGCAACGGCCAGGCAAAGCTGATGCTGTGAATGTAGAGACGAGAGATATTGATTAAGAGCAGAGCAGTGCACGTTGTACAGCATGACTATCATGTTGTCCACGCGCGAGAAGTATCGCTTGCAGTGACTCGTACGTACATACAGGCTTCCAGTGATATGATTGATCTATTTAGACCACATACAAACTAAACACTACATATGGCTAAAGTACATGAAACGTATGGATATATAACTAGAGATAACTCCGTGTATAGAATGGGTCCAGAAAAAAGTTCGTGTATACCACATCGATCATCAGAACGTAGATCTGTCAAGCTCCAATCAAACGTCATCTTTTTGGCGGAGCAATGGTATTGTTCTCCGCCTCTCCACTGAGTGCTGCAGGACCTAACTCCACATCCTCAACGAACCTTCCCATTTCACCGGGGCTGGGGGCGCGTTCCTTTCCTTTGCGGCTCGAACGGCTCCAAGACAAAAATTTCGGCTTCTGTTGTGGTGCAGTCACCGCTGCATCGTCCGACATGCCCGCGCCAGGCTTAACCTGTTGTGAATCCTTCTTAGACATACTCTGACCTGTTCCCTGCGCCTTCTCCGCCTGCAACTTCAAAAATTCTTCCCCTCTTATCCTCAAAAACTCTTCCAGAAGCGCGGCATTCCTTGAATTCGCCTTGAACACGGCCATGACAACGTCACCCGCTACGGGCACTAGGCCGCTCAAAGCTGCGATTGCATTGTTGAGGAGCATGCGGCGCACGAGCCAAGCTGGTAGATCAGCCTGCCTGGCTTTGCGGACGACCAGGAAATAATTGAGTGTGACATCAGCGACATCGCCGGCGCCAGGGATAATACCAATGATGAAAGTCCAGCCAAATCGGAGACCACAAATGGAGAAACCTTTGTCTAGGTAGTGGGCACGGCGCTGCACCGACTTGAGAATCTTTGCATCACGCTCTGAAAGGCCGGGAGGTACTGCGCGCTTAAAAATAGTAAGACTGAAGGTAGCAGGTTTCGAAGGAAGGGCTAGAGCACCTTTCTGCGACGCTGTTTGCCGCGCTTGTCGGTATAAAACTCATACAACGGGTCTTCGGGTCGGTATTGCTCGAGGTTCTTTTCAAAGAGCTTTGTACCTGCTTTTTGAAGGTAGGAGGTCATGACAGGGAGAAAGAAGAAGGGAATGAGCGACCGTGACGCATTTTTTGCATATATAACAAGAGCTCCATCAATACACCTGACCCGGCTAAGTACAACCTTGCTTTGTCTATTTTTGTTACAGAACTTATCCATATTTGGTAGTCATGTAATCTTGAGAATATATAATAAAATTTGTACATGAATTAGTCAGTGATATTACATTTGACGTCAAGATGTCTCCATCCACGGGCAAGCTCGACGAAGAATATATTCAAAATAGCTTTCACACTTATCTCAAGTCATCTCTCACACAAGCGAAAGTGGAGAAACTGATAGAGGACCAAGTTCTAGCATCCGCACAAGCGGATCTTATGATTACTGGTGCGCAGTAGCTGCAACAAGCAGCTCTAATGTCTTCGTCTGATCATGTCTGACGTCAATGTGACAGGTCCAGCATTGTGCTTGTACTTTGCGGCCCTTAGATGCACAACAAACCCGCCATCTGTACCACTTCCTCGTGCCACAAAGTCCGCACCGCCTCTCGAGCTCTCGCCAGACAATTGCCCACCGGCATTTCTCGGCTTTCTAGCCGTCTGGGCAGCTACGGTGCCGCGAATCCAGGGCCTCATCCCTCAAGACCAGCATGATCTTGCTCGCATCATCTGTGGTCTTGAACCTGTTGCTATCCTTCCAAACTCCGAGTGCGCCGGCATCGCTGCCGATCTACGTGCTGTGGCAATTGAAATCAGTCAGAGACGTACCTTTCAGGATAGATATGCAAGCGATCTGCAGGCTGCGTTGGATGCAGGCGCATCAAGCAGTGGTTTGAAGGTTAAGACGAGTTTTGTACCACCACCTCTATATTCAGATCAGCTTTCCCCTGAATCGTCCGGATATGAGTCCAAGAAATTCGCTTCTCCTTCGTCTTCATCCGTTCTGTCCGCATTTCCCTTGCGCACGCCTCCCCCTACGATACTCACCCAAGACACCCCTGAAATTGACTTCATCCGCGAGACACTCTACTCCGCGCTCGCAGTCGTGCTAGAGCATATCACAGCCTCCCGGGATCACAACCCGCACCCTCTTGCGCGTCTATTCAAATATGATCCCCCACGTGCCCATTTTGCTGCGGTCAGCCTTGCCATTCTCGAGGTGGCCACGATGCAGGGAATCATTCTCCCTGATCAAAACGCCATCATGTGCGTCAGTGCACGAGAGCTTGGAGGGCACAAGCTCACGCCAGATACATGTCCAGAGCCACTTCGGCCGTTCATGATGGAGCTCATTGCCATCGGGCGGGACGCGCAGGTGATGCAGGACGAAGACAACGAAGTGACGATCAAGGCTATTGAGAGAGGTAATGAGGATATCCCGGAACCTAGGTTCGAGCGCGTGCAGGCCGTCATCATCAATGGTGTACGAGTCAGTGGGGTAATTGCGGATGATAGGTGCAGGACGCGTAAAAGGAGCGTGGAGGGACGGGCTGTGGCATTTGCCAACAGGGTGAATGCCCTTGGGCTGTCGATCAGTAGAATCAAGGCATTTAGAGACAGAGAGAAGGAAGTATTCGATGTGTTAGGGCCACGCCCGTAAGGCTTTGGATGATACCTAGTTCGGTGGAAGGTAGTGCATGGATGCGAAGGTGATCACGAACTTACTTTACTAATGCCAGTGCTCTGCTGTATTTGATACCATATTGATAGAAAACTTATGCTGTTCATCTCCACACCAGCACGATCGTACCGGCCTCTTGCCCATTTGACCTCTGAGCTAAATCGAGGACACACAGCAAACATTCGTCCAACGATCGCCATCAACACGAGGCCTCACTAGCACTCTACGTATTTCGACGCAGTACTCCACCTAGTAACACCAACATTGCCTTTGAGACCACATCTGCCTCATCGATTCATTACGCACACGGACCGGAGCGAATGGACTGTGGTGATCCATTGTTCGCCGATCAAGATGGTACATCTACCAAACAAACGATGACAAGAGCGCATCAGTACCGGGCAATGCGTTGGGCAGCGAAATAGGCGATTTGGCTACGTACCCTCAGTCATTTCAAATCTTGAGATATTAATGTGGGGAAGGCATGGCAAGGGTATGGGGCACTTGTCTGCAGGGAGAAGAACTCCTATGAATTGTACGCGGTGGAGTACGAGGCACATGAAGGTGCGGATATTCGGAAAGATGCCATGCACCAGGATTCGAAGTGAGCTTGGACTCCATATTCTCCGAGTTCCGCGGCGCTTCATAAAGAAGTGCGCGGCGCGGTCTGCGGCCCACAGGTAGAAGTGCTCTTAGACTCACTCCGGTGCTGACTGCGAGGCCAGAAGTCAAACACAAAGCGCGCACTTGAGCTAGTAGCGTGCTTGACAGGAAACTCAAGGTTCACGATGCGATCTTGCCGAGGCAGAAATATCTCACTAGCAATGTAAGTGTTGGCTTGTTAACTCAGGCAGATGCTCACCTGTTGCTTCCTGTCACGTTCCTTTAACGGACTTAATCCATCTGCCCTGTGGACTTGCATTGATCGAGGCAGATAAACCGAGAAGCAGTGAATGTGAGATGTGGGAAGGTATATTTCATCTTCTGAGTCATGGCTAGCGGTGCCGGTGAAGGACGGCGTTGTGTTAGTGTTTGTGGCAGGAAGAAGCGGACATCACTGGGCTAATGTAATACACTTGATGATACAAGCTGTCACCGACGGTCGATCGACGAACAATATTATTATTGCGTGTGTCCAAGAGTCGAAGCCCTGAAATTTCCCTCGCCTGACAAATGGCCAAACGCCGTAAGGCTGAGCGGTCCATGTGAAAACCGGTTTTTTTTGGGACTAGGGTCACAAGGGATATAAGTCATCGGTGCTCATAGCTACTAGTGTCTGAAGGGATAGAAGCGTCTCAAACCACCAGGTATACATATGTCACATTGATAAAATCTTCATGATGCACTAATGTATCCTTGTAACGCCATTCGTCAGTAATGAGATACTCAAAAGGCGATAGTAGTCAGAACATATCAGATAAAATAATGAGTCTGAAGGCAAACTCAGCCGGACGTAAATCAAACAACTTTCGAAAGGTGATAAACACGCATTCAAAGAGTCATATGGCCCCGGCAAACCTCATCATCGATTACAAGATAAATTTGGACTCACCGATGAATATATCGCGACTACAAACCACAAGCCTATGTGTTATCGTCGTCGTCGTCATCATCTGTCAATTCCTCTCCCTCTTGAATTCCTTGGTGTCTCTGAAATCCTTCACGCCGGGCCCACGAATGGCCATCGGTGTAGGGCATTATTCGTAGGGGTAAAATGAGGGTATACCACGGGCTGTGAAGAGGAGGTTAGAAGAGTAAATTAAGTGAAAGCCACAATTTACTATCCGTCCGGACCAATGTTAAAGAAAAGGCGCAGGTTAGCGCTCCTTCTAAAACAAAATCAGAATATTACGCCTATGCCCGACGTTCTAGCATCCTGCTTACCCAAGGTCAAAAGAATTCACAAAATTCTGCACAGCGTATCAGCATGTAAAGGATCGTGCCTATAACCACATACATCGCCTCTGTCCTTTGCAATGCGCTTGTAGATTTCATGATCTTGGGCCTCGACGGTAGTCTCTCCACGAGCAATACCCCACAAATGCCAACAGAGCATTATGAACACTGCAATGCAAATGACAACAGAGAGCATATAGGTGAGGACATAAGCTAGCTCTGGCACCATATAGGGCCAGTCGTTCTGTCATATGTAATGAGCATTGGCTGAATGTTATTGATGGAGCGACGCACAGAATACGTGAGGCCGACTGCCTCTAGCGCTTGAGAGTAACCCAGAATACTCAAGAAAAAGGTCGATAATACTAGGTAAGCCCTGGTGGAACGCATGAGCTGGGAATTGGGAGGAGGCGGAACTTACATAAAAAGGACGAAATGCCTCTCATTGTTTAGTCCGACGCATTGGTTTATCCCTGCAGGGAGCTAAAAGGGACGAGCACGCTAAAGTGATAAAGACTTACACTAGAATAATCAACCAACGAGTAAGCAATATCCCACGAACATAGTGCTCAAACATTTACAGGACAATGATGATCATATTTCATCACACACCGGCCACATATCCGACAATGGTGGGCCCTCTCCGTGAAGTATAGGTCAGTCTCCTGTGCTGCGTCAGAGTAGGCGTACTCACTTCGGGGCGCATCAATCCACACCTCCTACACATAGTGGTACTCGCTGCCAATAGCGGGATACCATGGTTGGACCATCGAGCTCCCGTGCTCGGCCGTTGAGAAGGTGAGGCCCAGAGTCGACCACTCCCTGGTTGCAAGACTTCACCTTGGACGAATCCAGGTGGCACTGTACACACATAGTAGTAGTGCGTGAAGAGGTTGAGTGCAATGAGTACACAAGGGGGTGTAGTAAGCCAACGAAGGGGAAGGCTGGGTTGAATCACGGTGACTAGGATTGAAAGTTGGGTGAGTGTTACAGTGTATACAATTAGACAGCAAACCACACACAAAAGCTGGCCGCTCCAATTGCCTGCAATATTACTGCAAGCCCAACGAAATATGGGCCTGCTGCGCCTGTGACGCGGTCTCCAGCCCGCTCAAGCCATTTGAAGCACCGGAAAACGTGACGAGCACAAAACATGAAGAAGAAGTATAAATGAGAAACCCTGGCCAAGCGAGTCTATGATGGCCTTGTATTCGAAGTTTTATTGATGAGCGTCTGGACAGAATTAGTGCGAGAATCTGGAGACCCACATCCGAAGCGGAAACAATTTCTGACGTATCACTGGCAGTGTCGGGGACAGAAAGGAATTGGCCTCTTGGCAGATGGCAGAATGGCAGAAGTCGGCAAAATGTATTGTGAGCGTTTTTAGCTCTTTTTAACTGTTTCTACTATGGCAGAAATGGTTCTGACTACTACTAGTACACCTTCTGATGAGGCTCAAAAGTGCATCAATATTCCGCTCTGACCCTCGATTGAGTACATCAATCTCTTCGACGAAGCCAATTGGCATGATACCTTTGCCAGCCCTCTCTCTAGCTCACTCCAGTCGATGATGCCACCGTCCAGAACATCCGGTACATCACCTGCCCACTCATTTTCTCGCAGTTGGTCAGCCCCCGTGTCTCGTGCTCGACCCAGACTACACTTGGCCGCAGACTGGCCAAATCTCTGCCATTCACAATTCCGGACCCGCGAGACAACCCTGGACCCTAGTCATTCTGCCAAATTCTGCCAACAACACTAGGACTCCCAGTATGCAGGAGCAGGGAGACCAAGTTAATGCAGAGACAAACTAATTGTACTACACTTCGAAATGATAGCCAGTCAGCTGCTGGTAACTTACAAACCAAGTGGTAGGTACGAAGGACTGGACGATCGAATACAACACCTCAGCACTGCATGCAAGCCCCACCGAATACTTTGAATAAGATACGCGCAGATAAGTAATGTTGCATCTGATACACCTTCCTGAGAATCACAATATTCGCATCCTGCAGATACAAGGAATAGATAATCCAAACACCAACACGCATATATGCCGCAGGGGAAGGTAAAACGTGATCGTCATCGCTCCTTCCGCCGAGGCGTCCCTGGAACCTTGCGTGGTGTTGCACCAATTCCGGATGGTAGCCCTGTCAGCCGCCGCTCGCCCGCAAAACCGCCGCCTTCCTGTACCCGCTGCACTTCTCGGACAGCACGCCGGGCAGCGTCCCCAACTTTGGCTGGCGGGCGGTCCATATCTACTCGTGATAGCGCACGGAAAAGATCTTGTTGGTCTTCAGGTGGATGTTGGCTCGAGCCTCTCTGGATCGGTAAATGTGACGAAAGGGAAGAAATTTGTGATGAGGGAGGAAGAGAACGCGATCGCGTCGAGAGCGCCAGTGACAGCAGAGAGAACCGATAGTCGAGTTCTGACTCAGCTACGTTTGTTGCCTGAACTGCAGAGTGAACAAATGAGAACAGACTGTCCACCTTAAAGTGGACACCCGCTATTCGTTCGTCGAGGGTATTCCTCGACCCTGATCTCACATCAGACATTATGTGTTTGATGAGATCCGGATTAATTTTCTCTCGAAAAGCGTCCGAAAGTTCATCCTCTCGAGGTAGCAGCCACCCCCAGTCATCAGGTGGCTCTTGTGAAGCGGCCCGTTGTTTGCCTTTCGCCTTAACAGACGAAGGGGGCTGCAGAGCTTGGCGTCGTCTCTCCAGATCCGCCTTGGAGTTGGTGATATAAGAGTTGTAAAAGTAGTCGACTTGAGTCCACGCATCAGCCTCTGCTGATGCACTGTGCAGCGGACAAATTGTTAGTTGCTCATGCTCATGATGGATGTAGTCTAACAACGAACCGCTCGATATGCTCGCGAAACTTGATTTCTCGCTCTCTATTTTTCACATTCTGTTCATTTGGCTTCAGATTTTGTTCGCCACCAACCTGCCCATCCAGACCATGGCCATATACGGGCGTATCGATCTTCTTCTCCGCAAGCATGCGAATGAAGTCATCCTGTACAGTCTTCAGAATTTGCTTTCTGTGCTCATCAAGCGGAGGTGGGTCTTTGCCACTTCCGCTACTTGATGCTTTGGATTTTGACTGGGACTTCGAACTTGAAGATGCTTCAGATATTCTCGTCATAGCTCGGGCAGCCGACCAGACGAGTAGTTGACGTGCTCGTTGCGGATCAGGGAGGTCGCAGTCAATGTGTTTATAGAAGCTCGAATCAGACACAGTAGCATGTGGTTGAGCTAAGAAAAATGATGAGAACCCGCGCATGAACATGTAGGAGAAAAACAAAGATAATTTATTATAGGGGAGAGACGTACTGATCACACCGGTGTTTTCAAAACTTGTGCTTATGCGCTTGCCACGCGCGCTCATCGACGTTCGTCGAGAGTGTTGAGGTGTCCTTTGGGGGGTACGCGGGGGAAGGGACACCCCTTCACGGAGTAACTTATTGCGCTCTATTTGTGGAGTTTCGCTGTCGGGCAGTGGATGAAGCGCGTCAGAGGGGTATCGCTGAGAAGTGTGTTTAGGTGTAGAGGGAGGGAATTTGAATGAAGAATCGATTGCATCTTTGGCGCGCGACCGCTGACGAAGGTGAACAGTCTCTGATTCCATCTGTCTAATATCCTCATCCAACTCTGGTTCCTCACGTGTCGAAGACGGTACATCGCGTGGCTTGGCACTAGTAGGTGCGCGTGACGAGTCAGCTTTGAATCTCTTAGCTGGCGGCTTGGAAGGCCCGGCTATGGAGCTGGAGGGAATGGGTTGCGAAAGAGATGAGGGAAGATGGGATGGTGCTTGGGTAGTTGTGGTGGATGGCTGGGATGATGAATGATTGTTCTGCGGAGTTGTAGGACGCGATATCGGCGCGCGTACAATGACAAGCCCACCTGGCTGTTCCTCGCCAATGTCTAGATGCGATTTATGAGTATTTCACGCGACTTGCCTTCAAACTCTTACTTACACTTTCGTTTGAACGCACCGTTCGGCTGTGATGCAGTATTAAATAAGCAAATTGCGTGCACGGATTGAGGGACATACCTTTGGCCTCTTTGCTGCCTGTACAAGAGGATTAGTATCATCAACTGCTTTCCGCTTTCCTGGTGGTTTTGGATCTGCGGGTGTCATTGGGTTTTCGAGTCCTCCAACAGCATGTGTGAGGGTCCTGTTCATGAATGTTCGTCAAAACACAGGAGTTCAAGGTCGTAGGACGTATATTTGTTTGTCGTTGCCGTTGATCCCGGCGTCGGCGTCGGCGACGATGATCAACGGAGGAGGGAAGCTACGGTGAGCGGAGTTTGAATGAAGAATTCCCACGTGAGACTTTTGATCAACAAACGAAGTACTAGTGTTACGTGTATAATGTCACGTCACACCAGGTATAATACAAAGACTAGTAATTATGGCTTCTCACTTCATGCGTCTGGCTCCGAATATACCAGTTCCTACTCTGACAATGTGACTACCAGCTCGTAAGCCTGCCTCAAAATCACCCGTCATACCCATACTGAGAAGCAGTTTTCCATTGTCTCCCCATCTCCCATCGAACGTTGGATTGCTTCGAAGCATCCCTTCTAATACATCTCTGGTCTTCTTGAGCGTTTCGAAGTCTTGATTTGGACGCTCCGATGACGCCAGAGATTCCGTTTGTGAGCCAATAGTCATCAACCCCTGGAAATGTAGCTTGGGACAATGTTCAATGATATGGCAAGCAAGCTTGAATAGCGGGGAGTCGGCGGCTTCCGTTTCGGTGTCCACATATTGCAGTCCCGACTTTTGGACTTCCCCAGAAGTGTTGACTTGCAAGAGCATGTTGAGAGGCGCCTTGCGGTCAGCAGGTATAGCATTGTTATAGATATCAGCATCTTCGGTGCTAGTCAAACTCTGGATGGCATGAAGATTCGACACCGCTGGTTTTCAGAATAACCGTCACAGTACGAATCGGGACAACCTCAAATGCACATACTTGTGAGTTCTCTCATCCTTGCTTGCCTCCGAAGGTCGTCTCCTTCTGTCTTCTTCATCACACCTATGAAGTGCCATCGAAGGCTGTCAAGGTCTGCCAGCTATCAATTGCGAGTCGGTCCCTTCTCGTTAACCACGTAAAGGCAAGTACTAACCTTTTTCGCCTTGTTCACTAGATCGATATCAGAATTCTCTCCGAAATCCCTTTGGCCCTCCTCATAGCAAGCACGAGTCATCCATGCCGGCTTGGTCTTTGATACAGCTACCAGTGTCGGAGCGTGAGATAAAGATTTCGAAGCTTCCGCAAAACAAATTTTGGTTTCAGCGAGATTCTGCAAAAGCTCAGCCTGTCGCTGTGGAGTTGCTTTATCTGACGTTGTCGAAGCCATCCTAGACTTATAAAGAATTGACGGTGCTCGGAAGATGACCCTAGGGTGGGGCATGTCGGACTCGGAAGTAACGTCACGGTGCAAAAGGCAACTCACGTAATCATCGGTGGTAATACCGCACCGGGCCCAGGCTGGGCAAGTACTGCAGTGCCTCATGATCCAAGCTTCATCTTATTCCAGTACAAAATTTACAAGTAGTACCCCCAACCATGCTAAAACTTCAGGAGTACACCGCATGGATTTCGGTTGATGGTCAACCATTGGATACTTACACTGTGGAGACATCTCTGGCGACCAACGAAGTGACATGCTGGATCCCATCTGAAGCTGGCAAGGTGAACGCCACCTTCGCGTTGTTAACTCATTTTGTTGTCTGACAATATACGTGCTCAGGAGTTTTCTGTGCATTGTCAAAACACTTCTGCCCCTGGCCTCGATACCATCGGTGCATTCGTCTACATTGATGGACAGGGGTGCCACGGTAGCTTGTTCGAGCGCTGGAATGTGAATCACGCTATCAAGTTCAGTCACGCTTTTGTTTCGGATAGGATCACCAAATCTTTCGTATTTTCAAATGTTCGGCTGACAGGTATTTCGGCACATTGATTGTTCATTGATTCAATGCTTCACTATTGTTCAGATGAAGATGAATTCGTGGATGCGTCATCAGCCGATTTGGGACAAATCCAAGTCAGAGTTTGCAAAGTAGCACTCGGCGAATACTACAATCCTGCCCAAAACCAACTTCAGACTGAACACAAGGTACACGAGCGGTCGAAGAAAGCAGTGACACACTGTGTTGGGTAAGCTGTGTGGGTTGCGCAGGTCGTCCAACTGAACACTGACCACTTGACACATACCTCGTTTAGGCTTGGTGAAGAAACCATGATTCCACAAACAATGTTGCGCAAGTCACAGTGCATTGGTCAGCCTCTCGCAAAATTCACATTCAAATACAGAGACCGAAGTTTGTGTTATGTGTTTTACTCCTTATCGTGTTCACAGAGTCTTCTGGTAGATCTTTTGAAGGCGAATGGAATCATACCAGTTCCAGCACCCTTGAAGCGCAAGGCATCGCAGGAAATCATTGACCTCACTGTTAATGACGTTCAGGCGGAGGGCAGCAGATTCAATGATCCAGTACGAGGAGAACAAAACCCGCAGGGAACAAAAGAGACAGAACGCAGGAGCAAGAAGGTGAAGCAAGAACCGAAGCCCGGTGTGTTCGTAGAAGTCATTGATTTGACGTAGCTCGTGTGTTACACGAGTAAAACCAATGACGATTGACGGCTATCTGGATAGTAAGTGTGCCATCACTGTGAATCACGTCGTTGCTTCTCTAGCCGTTTTTTCCGTGCTCTTTCTGCACAGCGCTTTTGATCATGTATACGTGATTCTCGCAGTTATCAAGGGTCACCGCTCATTTGATCGAGACTTGTCATGCACGTTCCATATTATTAAAGATCCGGCTGGGGAATGCTCAGCACAGAAACTTTTACAGTTTGTGAGGTGAAGCTGAACATCTTTTGTCAGCATTGGTCTGGTGCATGATGACGTAGGAGGTGTCTATCCCATTTCATCGTCATGTAGCGAGGCATTTGTGATGCACAAAATCCCTGGAACAATGAATTCAGTCCCACTCTCAGGGGGATTCGACGTGTCCTTCGCCGAGGAGATCCGATGAGGTAAGAGGCTTTTGTTGATTCGTTTTTTTTGTGTGCCCCAGATCCCATTACTGCATAGTCTATATCCCGCACAAGCAGTCAAGTATGACCGAATCACATGCAGTTCGAAGTTGCTTCTTGTCATCCACAGCATTGTAGCAATGCTATTGTGAGTTTTTGTTTCAGTTCTAGAACTCAAGTGCTGGCCATTAATTCTGCTCTCTGCGTAAATCGCGCAACCTGACACCAGATCAAATATCAACTACCTTCCACATGCACATGCGGTGTGGGTTCCTGGGTAAAGGTCGCTTAACTGCGAAAACCTTGTCTGAGTGCGCCAACACTCCGCCTCGCCGAACGATGAAACTGTACAATGCGAGCTAAATCGTGAAGAAGTATGAATATGAGTTGGTTAGGTAGGCTTCTGGCAGTGCGAATGATGTACTTATACCTTCTCATACAATTGGCTGACTGATACAGTGACTGATCAGACAAAATCTCGATTTACCAGGAGGGCTTCTCGTGCGATCAGATCTTGTCATGTCTAACATGTGTACGGTGACTTCGAAGTTGCGTCATTCGTTTTGTCAGGGTTTGCCTGCTCCACTGCCTCCGCTTGATAGATGATTTTCTATTAAATAACAACCACAAACACGAGGTAAAAATACCGGACACCCCCCTGACTGTGGTTGATGCGATTGATTTAGAATCGAACTAGTAGTATTTCCCGAGCGAATGACTGACATGGTCAGATGGTTTCACATACCACTACTTCAATAGGCTGGGAGGTTGCTATCACCCTCCTACTATTCTCTTCTATCTTGATCTTAACCCTAACTCCGCTTCATCTTCATGTCGTTGTACGCTAATACAAATATGAACACCAGCTTCCTCCGTAGAATCAGCCTTTCTTTGGCAGATAGTAAGCCTTCTTCCGTTGGACGAAAACCATCAGCCGTACCCCTTCGCAAACAGGCACCTCATGGCTCCAGCGAGGCCGAAAAGTTTACATCACTTACTAACATCGGGATTGCTTCTCCTCTCCGACACGCTCACGGGCTATCGGATCATGTTGTCCCTGGTTAGTATCATGCGCTACTTGATCGTGTATGAGCTAAAGATTCATTCTCGCTTCTGCTCCCGGCTGCGGTTTCTTTACTTTTGGTCGTGTCTGCAATTTGTCCAGATATCTACCGCGGTCGCAGCATCAGCCTGTTCGTGTCCCGTGGCGCAGCAAGAAGTTTTCCCACTGGCAACGAATCTACCCTACCCTACAATGCGGACAATCTGGCCGCCCTGACATGTAGCTTGTCTTTTCGGGGAACACACGACATCTCCTCTATGACTGCCATGCCCGAGATCACTAGCCCGACTTCATCCCTGTCCTACAGCGCACTTGACACGCTACTTAAGGGGAAAGCCCCCACTCCAGACACAGGCGCTCCATTCGTCCCTTATTCTAAAGACGCTAGAGACGAAACTTCAAGAGCAGCCGAAATTTCCCATTCTTATCCCCTCGTTATGACAAACACCAGCACAAATAGGCACTCTTTGAAATCCCTCACGAACCCTGTGGGATCAAAAGGGGCTGACCAAACAACAATTGAAAAGCCACGCTTCCCATCTATCTCACCATGCCCATCCATCGAGGCGAGCAGCTCGTCCTCTAGCGACTCGAGCTCATCGTCACCGACAGCGCGGTGGCGGCGTTCCCCATCTCCAGAATCCCGACCAACAATGGTCATCCAGAGCACTCTTTCAACGCACTCTCTGTCCGTTGTGCTTCCACGTGCCATACAATCAGAAATGGTGACTGTCTCTGTCAAAAAGGGAGATAAGTTGAATATCGTGGCTGATGCATGGCACATGGAGAATGATTGTAAGTATACACTATGCATTAAATGGTGGAGTCTCAACTTATTCTCGTGGATGTTAGGTCACTACGAGTGGCAAGTACACTTCGCACCTGGTGACGCAGATATGCCTAGTGTCCGTGCACGGTTCGCTCCTGACGGGAAACTTACTATCACTGTTCAACGACGTATCCCAGGGCAAACCTCAGGCTATAGTCGGGGACCACTGGGAACCAGGTTCTGAGATATGCAGTCCTAATACAGTATTAGCCATACGTTATTTACTTTTTTCCAAAGCAATTCCAGTGTAGCATGACCACGCCTACTACTATACGTTCTCTTAGTACTAAGTCATCCTGTATTCAAGATCCATAGGGGTATTTCCCCATTTACGAATCAAAGACATGTTCCCATAAAAGGTTCTTCTAATTCGTTTCGCGACAAGCCCGACTTGCTCCGAGTCCCCAGGTTGATGATTCAAGAGCTCCACTAGTGTAGTACAGTTCAGGACCTCCTTTAGACGTGGGCGATGTTCACCAGGACCTCTTCAAGCGCGGTGGTATTCGGATACTAGCCAGCATCTGATTCGGATGCGTCACTGACTCGGAGATGCCAGCCAAGGTGACTCGGGACTTCGAAAGTGACTGTCACCGCGAAAAGATGAAAGGGAAAACTCGAGAGTTACTAGCACCCATGAACATGGTTATGTTATGCCAGGTGAGCAAGAGGCAGTAATAGTTATCCTATATCCGAGTCAAGTCACCATGCAGGTACTACGCATCAGAGAACCTGTGAACAAATGAGAATGATATTTAAAGTAATATATTGTTAAGCATCGCAACAATCAGCGTAAATTTGCCAACCGCTTTCACATGGGAATGTTTGGCATTGTCGAGGAAAGACTAATTTGCAAGTACACGGGCCTGGTAGCCCTATTTGCCTCGAGGACTTTGTCACTGGCACGGGTCTAGGAGACAATGTGCTCGCACAGGTTCATGCATTGGAATATGAGCCTGGTTTGAGAAGGACAAGGAAGGAGGTTGCAGCATGCAGAACTACGAGACACTCGGGCGATGCTCATCAGTGAAGAGAACGGTGTCATTTGGTCTTTGCACAATATATTTTTGCTCGCTGCGGATGACTACCGAATGGGCGAGTAACTTGCTCTGGTAAAAAGTGTGAGTAATAGTAGACATTAATTCTCAACGAATAGTTTGTCCGTATTGACCGAATGTTCGACGAGTGTCGCTTTGAGTGGTATATTGCATAGAATAGTGACAATGTTCTGAGTTGTGTTAAAGTAGGTATCACTGCTCGATGGACGCCGAGTTGCAATGACATAGAAGAACCGGAGTCGCGCACGCAAAATGTTTGTTGGTAAACTGTTGCACAGAACCATGCATTATACGGAGCACAAATACAGTTCCGAGGTATGTGAGAGTACACACGATTTCTCAATGCATAGATTTCCCAGTCTGTCGCTGAAAAGCAATATTATTGTGCAATGGAAACTTACTGGAACACAAGTCCCACAGGGAAAGCAACGTTCAAGGTGTTGGATTCTTGTCTGCTAGATATAGATTGGGAATCCGTGCGAAAAAGCGTTACCTTTGCGGAGCAGCGGATGCTTGAGAGATAAATCAAACTTTTGTCCCGTTTGACTTCACGACATCTGTTTGGAATCTTCAATGTTCGTCACTAATTGGATAATTTTCAAAGTGTAATTGTGCCTCTATGACTCAGTACCTGGGCTCGCGCATCGATAACAGTGAGTCATGTTTCGCATCTGTACTTCCTTTATCTTTCAACAAGCATCTCATGTATTTCGTCCTGTACCAGATCCATTGCTTCACTTGCGACGGACGTTGTGCCTTCATGGCTCAGTACCTGGGCTCGCGCATCGATAACAGTGAGTCATGTTTCGCATCTGTACTTCCCTTATCTTTCAACGAGCATCTCATGTATTTCGTCCTGTACCAGATCCATTGCTTCACTTGCGACGGACGTTGTGCCTCCAAGGCTCAGTACCTGGGCTCGCGCATCGACAACAGTGAGTCATGCTTCGCATCTGTACTTCCCTTATCTTTCAACGAGCATCTCATGTATTTCACCCCGTACCAGATCCATTGCTTCACTTGCGACGGACGTTGTGCCTTCATGGCTCAGTACCTGGGCTCGCGCATCGACAACAGTGAGTCATGCTTCGCATCTGTACTTCCCTTATCTTTCAACGAGCATCTCATGTATTTCACCCCGTACCAGATCCATTGCTTCACTTGCGACGGACGTTGTGCCTCTATGGCTCAGTACCTGGGCTCGCGCATCGACAACAGTGAGTCATGCTTCGCATCTGTACTTCCCTTATCTTTCAACGAGCATCTCATGTATTTCACCCCGTACCAGATCCATTGCTTCACTTGCGACGGACGTTGTGCCTCTATGGCTCAGTACCTGGGCTCGCGCATCGACAACAGTGAGTCATGCTTCGCATCTGTACTTCCCTTATCTTTCAACGAGCATCTCATGTATTTCACCCCGTACCAGATCCATTGCTTCACTTGCGACGGACGTTGTGCCTTCATGGCTCAGTACCTGGGCTCGCGCATCGACAACAGTGAGTCATGCTTCGCATCTGTACTTCCCTTATCTTTCAACGAGCATCTCATGTATTTCACCCCGTACCAGATCCATTGCTTCACTTGCGACGGACGTTGTGCCTCCAAGGCTCAGTACCTGGGCTCGCGCATCGACAACAGTGAGTCATGCTTCGCATCTGTACTTCCCTTATCTTTCAACGAGCATCTCATGTATTTCGCCCCGTACCAGATCCATTGCTTCACTTGCAACATACGTTGTGCCTCTATGATTCAGTACCTGGGCTCGCGAGTCGACAACAGTGAGTCATGCTTCGCATCTATATTTCCCTTATCTTTCAACGAGCATTATGTCCTGCTGGAAATTTTCGAGCTTTAACAGTGCTATGGAGATCGGCGGAACCATTTTGCTCCATTGCCACTTGACTGTTCATTCGCAATTCTTACCATACATATACAAAATTATCGAAAAGGCCGTTGTAATAATTTAATCGTCCGCAGCATAAATAGAATTTATAAATTTGCTTTCATCGAGAGATCGCACATTCGCAATATAGAGAATCGTATTTGTCATTCATGATAACATTAGCGACAGGGGAATGATATAGGGCCGGGCTGAATGCGCCGAGTAACGTCATAGTAAGGAGAGGGCAAGAAGCAAGCAAAAGTATAAAATAACTAGTCAGAGTCTAATTCGGCGTCCTCCATCTGCTGTCTCTGAGTAGCTAGCGTACTGACAGACATGTGGGATACAATGTCCGCCGTCAGGTCCTGCCGATGGTTTCGTCCAAAAACTTTTCTGCATAGGGAGTTACTAGCTATCAGGCCGAGTCGTTGACATGGATGACTTACCGTGTCCACCACTCAAGAAGTTTGTTCACTCTGGCTCGCGCAGCTGGACCTGGGGCATCCTCGAAGAAGTCCACTACATTGTTCCAGAAAATATGGTAATCGAAATCTCCATCTACTGTGCGCCAGGACGTGAGGTTCGAAAGTGCAAATCGAATCTATGGATTTCATTCAGCTTCACACTTAGTAGAGACATAGATGAATCTTACCTGGCAAGCTGCATATGCTATTGCGCGAGGAGTCACTTTCCTCATACCTATTATAGAGGCAACGCATGTCTTTACTTTAGCTTGATCGGATCGTTTTCGGGCGTGCCGATTGTTCTCGATAATGTCGGCGCCATCACCTTCACCATCCACTTCATGAGCAGAGGAAGGAGAAGTAAAGATTGCCTTTAACCCCTGCAATGTGATGAGCTATGTTTCAGTTAGAGAACCCATGTCACTCACCATAACTAACAGCTTCGACTTGAAAAGCCCGCGCTCCAGGTTCTTGGTGTCAGCTTCATAGTTCTCATACATAAATGACGGCCATGAATTCTCAGAAACGATGAATGCTGTCGTACGGTCACGAATGCCAGCCTTGACGCTGGATTCAAAATATTAACAACATGCAAGTGACAGCTCGGATCATGACATACACTGGGTCCTCCCAGCGCCATTCCGCTGGGCAGAGGAGTTTACCACACGCATCGCTCACGAATCCTCGATGGTGCTTGTCATCGGTCCTGATGAGAGGAGTCGGACAACATTCGATGTTCACCCACGAAGCCACGAGTTCTTTCAGAGTCCCCGTGTCGTCGCCCCGAGCCGAGTCCGCGCCTTGCTTAAGCTAGATTGAAATGACCGAATGAGTGAGATGTGTGACAATATTCTTTGAAAACCTTTTTCAGCATGTCGTCGGACTCTTCGTGATCGAGACCTGCCAGTTTATCGTGAAGCCACGACAGTGCCTTGGCGAGTTCGATGTAGCCACGTTGAAGTCGGTCTTGCCTGTTCACTTCGGTAAGCAAGTACATCAATTTGCATGAACATCGTTAGATGCTTACTCCGGAGTGGCATCCTTGTCACTTTCTTCACAACGCCGGTCATTTTCAGCAATAAGGTCCTCTATTGGAGCATAAAGGTCAACCATACGACGGATTGCCCGTCCCTGGGAAACATAGAAAGTCGTCTTTCTATTAAGGAGGCATCGAATCTGCTTCAGTTACAAGCTAAGATTGAAAACACGCATACCTTTTCTTCGTCGCCTTGTCCTGCTTCAACACTTCTACCTCCTCCATGAGGGTGGCAATTTGTCGCTTCGCCCTAGCACTAGGAGAGGTCGGGACACGCATAGAGACATGCCGAGACTGGGGGCTGCCCAAGGCGTGCACAGATTCCGACATACCAGATAAGCCTTGGAGAAGAGCAAAGATTTTTGGAAGTTGGGAAGTGCAGAAAGGATATGAAAAAGTGAAGGAGGGTGAAGGCAAGAGCCTATGAGAACCTGAACGTCTTAAATGATGGCCTGCGTCATTGACTGATCCGAAAGCAGCCTAGCATCTACATCGATGACTCGTCTGAAAGTGGCCTAGCGTCTACATCGATTACTTGTCTGAAAGTGGCCTAGCGTCTACATCGATTACTCGTCTGAAAGCGGCCTAGCATCTAGATCAATGACTCATCTGAAAGCGGCCTAGGAATAACCTTGGTGGCCAGCCATAAGCATGTTTCTTTTCTGGCAGTCCAGGAACCTGCCGTTTGAGATGCCTCTAACGAACGAGCTTCGGCAATGATCAATAATCGGGTGCGACTCAGAGGCTCAGTCACGCACAGACTCAGACACGGCGAAACAATAAGCTGGAGCGTTCCAAGTTAGATGATGCCCCAGGATACCAAGCAAAATTGACGACCGCTGAGGACTGCGAGGATGTACGCTCATGCTGAGTGGAGAACTGTGTGAGGGCTTCAGAACTTTGCTTGGGGCACGGTTGCTGCAGCAGGTTCGAGGACCTGAAAAACGGGGTGAGTTGTCATCACCCGGCGAGTGAACAATGGGGAGGACATGCCTCCCATAAGTCGTTGATGCCCATCACGACGAGCACGCTAGAAATGTAATTATAGATCAGTAAGGGCTGACGAGCACAGCTGCTAGATAGGTGGAGGCGATGGGGAGCCGAACGAGAACAGGGGACTCACTTACCTATAGCGAAATGCGTACATAAGCGCCGGTGGCAGTACCAGCCAAGTCCTAGACGGTAAATCCGAGAACCGTCAATCTGCAGTATAGCAGCATGCAGCGCGGTTTTTTGGCGGGAGGAGAGGTCGGGGTACCACCCAAACCGAAGGTGGGTGCAAACGGAAGATTGACGGTCCTATTAATGTGCGAAATTCGCAGTCCCTCGGTTAGCGTGTCGGCATTTTCCCTTAGGCATGTTACATTGTGCTCACCCAGGCACCCCTCTGACCGGTCCAGCAGCTTTTGGAGCTAGCTCAAAACCGTCGATTTTCGCCGCCCACGGCGTCCGCTGATCCGTCCCGCACCTATTCCGTGCCAATTTCAAACTCTGATGGGCTGGACTTAGAACTTTAATCGGTGAACGTTGAACGCGTGAGCCAAATAGCTCAAACCTTTGTATTAACGCGTGACTCGGGTGAAGATGAGAGAACTAACATTGAAAGAGTCGATGCGTGATAGTAAGGCGAGAACAAGAGACTCGCGAATAAATATTAACAGTGAGAGAATTAATATTGAGGAGAAGGAAGAGTAGAGGATAGCAAGACTACTAGTACAGGAGAGATGTGAAGGTTCTTGTAAAACGAATCAGACGAGACTCCGGCAACACTACAGCGCGAGGAGTCGCGGAATGCAAAGCAGGCTACATTAGACGAATTCTGGAATACCAAGTAAACAACAGCACAAAGTCAAATGGAAACGCGAGGCGAGGCACACCGTTCGATCAAATGCTACTTTGACTACCATTAGAAACGGGAGTATTTTCTTCATTCTCATCGCCATCATGGGCTCGTGCTTTCTTCTTTCCTTTAGCCTTCCTTCTCTCCTTTGCAAGTTCGGCCTTCATGTGAAATTTGGAAACACAGCTCTGGAAGGTATATGCGGAGCCCTCCGACATCCCGACTTTATCTTCATAGAATCCAACACTGAAATGAGCCGCTGTAGGCAAATAAAATATGCCGTGATCCATCAGTTTCTCGACATATTGGGGAAAATTCATGGCAGGATAATGAGAATGGACGGTCCCAAGGACGTCCTCAATATGTTGCGGCGGTTCGTCGTCGTCGGACTCCTCATCGCTCTCCATATAGAGCGCAAAAGTCCTCTTGAGCGGTTGGAGAGCCATACGAGCTTCTCCTCGTTCTCTCGCAAGCATTCCCGAGTTACCAGAGGTCATCTCATCGGTGGTGGGCGAAAGGTGAATATGATTATGTATGACGGGTGATATGATTTCAGTGGACACCCTCTGGAGCGACAACGGAGTTCGCTCCTTACGTGTCTTTCGAACTTCATTAAAATGGGGTGTCCTGGGTAGAGTGACGAAGTCTGGAACTCCAGTTTCATACTAAAATCCACAAGAACATAAATTATGCCGTATCCTCGCAGGCAAATAAACGTGCACGCACCAAATATTTAGCCCACTCCTGCAGGTCCCGTGTGCACAACGGATAGTGTGGAGCGTCGGGATGAGATGCATCGACCCAGCAGAATGTGTCCTCTCCAAGCTGATGGTCGGAGCAGCGTAACTTACTTGTGACTGTTGCCAACTCTTTTTTGTACTCGCCCGCAGGAGATGTACCTGCCTGCTGTCGTATTTGCTTCTCTTTTCGAGCCTGCAAGTTAATGTCACGTTGTGCCACAGACTGCTTGAAACCATCCAAACACGTACAGTATTGAGAATTTCGATAAAAACTTGCTTTGTTTTCCTGCCAGATCCCTGTTCCGTCCTCGCAGCCTTGAAAGCGCTATCAAGATCATGTGATGTTAAAAGTCGATGAGGTGGGTCTAAGCGGCGGGCGGTAGACAAACGCCACCCCAAGTGTTGATATGTCTTTGAGACATCCATCGTGGCCTTAATTGAGTCGAGTATGTCTATGCGGCAATCTGATTCGGAGTGAGAGCGGTCCACATAAGTAGTTGATTGGTTTCTATCCAGAGTGTGTAAAGGAATTCTAAACTCGACTAATGCAACACGACATGATCAGCATCTCATCAGACCTGAAATACACACGCTTAACGTACTTTTGTTGAGTTGAACCTGGCAAGGCTGTTGTACGGTGAGTTCTTCTAATGATGGGGTTTGAGTCATCCGCTCATAAAAGTGCCGGACCGCGCGCATGCGAGTGATCTCACTGGCCCCGACACTGGGCAGGTCCGGACGAGTTCCAAGGAGGAAAGCTGCGGTTTGTGCACGAGTACGCTGACGAGCGGAAGTAATTGATTTGACCATAGAGTTAATAGAAGACTGCAACCTGAGAGCGTCACTGGATATAGCGAGAAAACAAAATATTTGAACTCACCGCAGCTTTATAAACGCGACGAAGGATGTCATCATACATTCAAATCATCTCGACTAGTATGCCGTCAATCTCAGAGAGAAAGGCTGGGCAAATAATGATCGTAAGCATCTTTCCCGGGGCTAACTACTTACGACTCGATACAGAACTGATCTGAGCCATCGACCGTGGCCTAAAATGGATCCTGCCAGGTTTAGCTTCGGGACCAATGAATTTGAAGTCGGAAGTTTAAAATGATGAAACTCACACTACAATTTAACCATAAGTAGTGCCTCCGAGTTACGCTGAAAACGTCATGGAATGTTTGCTATAACAGCGGATTGCAGCAGATAAGTGGTGAAGTCCTGCGGCGGATGCTGGGAAGGCGAACGTAGGGTGCTTGTACCCTCCCGTGGATGCGGAGGCTTATGTGGAATGTTGGTGCTGTGGGTAGGCTTGTTCCTTGAAAAAGCGGCTGAGATACGACTTGTTAAAAAAGTCAGGCTGTAATATCGACTATAATAGATCGTCCTCTGATCGGATACATTGCTGTATCTTCTACTCCGATCAAAGACCGTGAACCTTCGGATCCGGACCGTCAATAACCATCGGTAGCTGGCATAGCTATCATGTGCTCACCGAGAGACGTGGCGTTGACCAACAACCCGGTTTTCCCCACAAGAGGCTGGACTTCGTCCAAGCTCCTTATGTATTGCCGATGGAACACGACGCCACGAGACTCGAGCTCCGATCGAAGCCATAATAAATATTCAAAAGGGTTGACACAGACCGTGGTGAAAGCAGCGCCCACTTTGCACGGTGCACGGATTTCGGACTCTGAGAGTAATTTGAACTATCACTCTTGTACTTAGAATCTGAGGACAACAGGATACCGGAATCGAGCTTACTACATCACGCACGAGGTCTTGCCACCAGATAGTAGAAAGAAGGCCATCCGTCTCCCCGAGGACCTTGGCGGGTGCTCTCTGGAATGTTTATCAGTCATGCCCATTGACGAGCGTTCGAAAAAACGCTGGTTAATTCTCTTTACTGCAGAGAGTTTTCAACTGATGCAACATACAAGAGACAAGCAAACTTACATCTCCTCGTTGGTGCGCTTATCAACAGCAGTCCGCTCGATCGTCGCGGAATCCATCAGACAATCTACGAGGATACTCCCAACGCGCACCCTAAGTACCTGCGTCCACTCTGATGTCCACTCCTCGCTGTCCTCCATGTACTTTGCAGCCATCATCCGGCGCGCATGCAAGTCCTTGTACCCGAGGCCCGTGAAATAACCAGTGAACTCGCCTGGGCGTGCATGGGAAGGGATGGCGATATGGTTGTGCTTGCACATCTCAGCTTTGTACTCATTCTCGACAGCGCGCCCGACGGTGAGGAGCGCCCAGGCAGTTTTCATCCCATCTGAGACACCGCCGCTGCCTTGGAGGCGCATGATCTCAAGGATAGTGATAAGGGGAAGTTTCTCGGGCTTAACAAGGGAGAGGAAGGGGCCCATTCGTTGGACTTGATTGCTTGTAGCTAGCTGGCGGTTAATACAAATGTCTGACAAGCGCGTATATGCTTACATATTTTTGCCTCCGCAACGATGATCTCTTTTATTTCTGCCTCGAGACGCGTTTTGAGCTTTTGATGCCAGTCCCACATCCACTTTTGTAAATCTGCATGATGAAGTTCGCGGTTGCCTAAACCTAGCTCGTCAAAAAGTTTGGCTTCGTGACGGAGGCGCTCTACTGCAACGTCGTAAACTGATTCTTCTAGCAGTTTCTGTCGGGAAGCGAGGTCTTCTGGGAGGACGCGTCGTGCAAGGGTAACCTGAGCCAAGTGTTTGCGGAGGTTATCGAGGTTGAAGGGAACTTCTTCCTCAGACTGCGCAGGTATTACATTCCCGTTTTCATCCAAGGTTTCTTCGAAGGTGTCTAAGGAGATGTGAGCGAGATGAAAACGAAAGCACGCAATACATACAGCGAGTCGTAGGACAGGCTTGACCTCCGGGACGCCCTCCAATGGGTCTGGGACATGACTCCCAAGGAATTCTGCCTGACCAAGTTCAGCCAATATACGAGGATGATTGAGATCTACTGCAGAATTGGAGAGGAGTTTTATGATCTCTGAGGCTTCTTCTGACGATGCCAAAACGCGATCGGCGACGACAGCAGTGGGTGAAATGTCTCGCTCTATGAGGTTGCTAAGGAGGGTTGTCGGGTTGGGCAGGTCGGAGAGGTGGACGGGCGTGTCAGACTCGGGATTAAATCTAGAAAAAGTGGTTAGAGTAATAAGGCAAGGAGACTAATGAAGCGTACCGTCTCCATGCTAACAACATTATAGCATATGTAGACGCGGTCGGGTGGACTCTATCTGTACCCTTTTCCATGAGGTCGTAAAGGTGACACGCATCCTCGACCCACAAAGTTCTATCTTCGGGCTCCTTGACAAATGCCATGTGGATATAGGCCTCCAAGAAAGAATTGTATATGCGAGACTCGAGCAAGGGTTCGTGGGACTTGGTGGTTCTAAGCTGCTCGAAGATCTGCTTTGCACGGGGAACGTCATACAGGTTATGCAAACATGCATCCATGACAGCAAGCTGGTCCTGAGTTGGAGAATCAGTGAAGTAGAAGCTGTTCAAAGCTGAAGCACGGTCATCTGGAAGGGGGGTTGGCAGGATTGTGTACAGGGTCCTGCGCTTCAGAAAGCCGTTCATAGCTACAAGGTGGTTTGCTGGAATTTCCTTCTGAGCTAACAGGGAAGTATAATCTGGATGGGGGAGAGGGACTTGGGCGAATGTGGTAGCAGGCGCATTTGCTGTCTTTGTGGGAGTTGAATAAAGACGAGCAGGACAAGAAAGACGTTGCCTAGAATACGACAACTGACGAGCAAAAGATGACGAACAGATGGACTTGGATGACGACCGAATTGGTGAGTCCGAGTCCGAAGACGAATGTGATGAAATAGGGGAGGAGGAACTTGGAGATGACGAAGATCCTGACGGCTTTGAGTTTGACGGGGAAATTGAGGAAATGTTTGATGACCTCTCGTTTTGATATCCAAGTCATTTCACTATAGCTGCTAGGTATCCGGCGCTGGGACAACGATTGGCTGACGGACCAGACGTGTAGCCGCATCGGTGAATGCATGACTTTCTTCAGTATATCTTAGAATTCATCAATCACATTTGGTTTTCAAACGAGAGAATGCTGTAAACGTCCAGGCACCTGTGTGCGTGAATTATTTACCTTTTTTGTCAAAGACCAGGCCTAGATTCAGCCCACAGCCCGGGCTCAGCGCTCAGGCTCATTTCGTCCCACCTCACGTGTGTACTGTCATCTCTCTTTGTTCTTCTGCCGTCCTTGGTCGCTGTATTCAATTTCAGGTGCGATCTCGCATTAGAGATGTCACGGTAGACTCGAGCAGCAAGTCCTTAGTTTGCTGGAGAAGCACTATACGGTGAGATCACTATGCTTCTCCCCAGATGGCAAGAGACTCACAAGCGGGTCATTGGCTGGCAGTCTTCGGTGTTTTCAAGTTATGTCAACGGTTGTCTTCAGCCCAACTAACATTTGCAGAACGTGAGGCTTGGAGCCATATGGCTACGTCAAGGTGCGTTGTAACAAGTTCGTCGGAGCTTCTCGTGCTGAGGTGAAACATTAGGTTGGGATCGATCTTCCGACATCTTTCGTGTTGAGGTGAGCATATGAAGTACCACGTTTCCATACTTGTTTACACTATTCCTGCCTACATCAGCAAAACCGCCACCACCTGCCAAGAAGGCCGCTGTAGCGCCTACTACTTCCGCGTCAAAGCCAACAGCCATGAAGAAAGAGACGAAACCCGTTCTCGCCATCAAAGATGTTCGTTCCGATTCCTCATTCTTTTCTGCGCCGAAACCGAAAGCCAAATTACCAAGCTTCAAGAAAGCCCTGGCGCCTGTCAAGAAGGAGCCTGATCTCAATGTTGCGCAACCGTCATCGATCGTTCCGTTCCAGGAGGCACTGAAGTCAATGGGTAAAGGGCGTAGGGACTCTCCAGTAACGGCCACACCGCCACCAGCTTCAATTATGCCGCCCCTGGTGACTTCTGGAAGAACAAAGAGAAAATCCGTGACTTAGGCTCCTGATGGTCAGCTAGAATTGATCCGGCTGATAGAACGAGCTGTGTACGTTGATGACCCTGTTGATGTCAGCATTCTACTCGTTTTTTATGTTGGTGTACAGTACTTATATTGATGTCACGAATACCTTTGTGTATTTTGTTCACATAGGGTGTCCATACTGCTCACAGTTTGCGCGATCTGGATCGGGGAGATGGTGCTGCTCTACATGCTCCCCTATTCGAAGAAGTTATCGATTGGACGGATCCAATAAGTGAGCAAATTATCATTGTTATCACGAGTCGCTACCAATTAATAAACGCAATCTATAGATCTTGAATTCGATCTCGAAGCGTCCCAACGCGGACAGAATAATACAGAAAAGACGACTCAGGAGGAGCGTGAGCAAACAGCTTTGGGTGCACTATACATATCGTCAGCGCAGATACCTGACAGTCCTGGCGAGCCCACGACGATAATCAGTGATGACGAGATAGATGTGGACGTGAAGACCATGACGGTGGGGTCAGAGTGCGATAATTTCTTCTGGAGAGAAGCCAATCTACCTCAGCCCAACGCCGCATCTGTCGCCGATCTCGTAGGTCAATTATCGGGAGGTTTTGATTCGATGAGTGCGCCCAGTAGTGCGGGTATCCAATCATTTGGCTTTGATCCCGCAATGCTTTCAGGTCTATGTCAGACAGCATTGATACGCCCGGAATTCAAAAATCAAAAGAAGCCAAACACGCCGTTTTGTGATGTCGGATGCTTTTCCAATTCATGCTATTCTGGTACACGTGGGAGGTCAGGTTACATGGTATGTGGCGCACAAACGTTCCTCTGTTTCTAACCATCAAACGCGAACGGACAGGTCCGATTTTGGTACCTTTCTTTTGACGAGGCCACCCCGCGGAATTGGCAAGGTTTGGACAGGATGGATGCGGTAGTACGTCCCAATGTCCACTGCGTGGAGGACTTGAATGCATTCTCGGTGAATTATGGTGAACCGTCAAAACGCGCCATTAGGAATATACTTCACGTCGAATCGAACGACGGCCCAGTTCTTGACTCGGATGACGTTGAGGTCGAGTACCTTGTTGGACATACGCATCGCCACGAGGAGGGTATCCCTCTTCTCGTGGAGAAGTTCAACGGGCGCATCTACGCACATTTCAATGAGGCCAACCAACGAGCCCAAATGGAGTAGTAATATCAATGATATCCGTTTCACTCAAAGAATGAGGAAAATTGGAAGAAGCGCCCCTCGATTGATTCGTGCTTTGAAGTTGGTTTCACTGGACCTCTTAGTTTGATGAGGACATATATGGCCTCGATATTAGCACACATTGTCCGAAGAGCTGTCCAAAGACCATTTGAACAAGTTCGGCGAATTGATTCCAGTTGTTAACTTACTAATTCGGGTGTCTGCATAGCACAGGGTGCCCGCTGCGCCTCAAGACACCTACAGTTTGAGAAAGATTAACAATATTAATTAATGGTAGTGAGCTTTCATCCCTTACTGACTACAATGGCGGTTGTCGCAACTCTGCCATGAATCGCCAGGCTAAACTATATTTTTTGACTGGTGCTAAAGCCATTATCCCTCAGAAAGTCACGGATAACATTTAAATCGAGGTAATATTTGATGGGAACTGAGAACGACTAACAGCATCAACGCTAGTGAGCTTTCATCCCTCGGTGGCCGCACCGGTGGTATGTCGCAACTCTGCCATGAACCACCAGGCCAAACTATATTTGCTGTCAAAGGTTAAAGCCATTGTCCTGCGGAAAGTCTTGGATAACATTAGAATCAAGGTAATATTTGGTGGGAACTGAGAACGACTAACAGCATCAACGCTAGTGAGCTTTCATCCCTCGGTGGCCGCACCGGTGGTATGTCGCAACTCTGCCATGAACCACCAGGCCAAACTATATTTGCTGTCAAAGGTTAAAGCCATTGTCCTGCGGAAAGTCTTGGATAACATTAGAATCAAGGTAATATTTGGTGGGAACTGAGAACGACTAACAGCATCAACGCTAGTGAGCTTTCATCCCTCGGTGGCCGCACCGGTGGTATGTCGCAACTCTGCCATGAACCACCAGGCCAAACTATATTTGCTGTCAAAGGTTAAAGCCATTGTCCTGCGGAAAGTCTTGGATAACATTAGAATCAAGGTAATATTTGGTGGGAACTGAGAACGACTAACAGCATCAACGCTAGTGAGCTTTCATCCCTCGGTGGCCGCACCGGTGGTATGTCGCAACTCTGCCATGAACCACCAGGCCAAACTATATTTGCTGTCAAAGGTTAGAGCCATTGTCCTGCGGAAAGCCTTGGATAACATTAGAATCAAGGTAACATTTGATAGGAACTGAGAATGATCAACGTCACCAACGCTAGTGAGCTTCCGTCCGTTGCTGGCTGCGAAGGTAGCTTGTTATGATTTTGTTAAGGTCTCATCTAGCGAGTCTATGTCGGTGACCATCCATGGCTAAGTATGATCAAGTCAAATTTCTCGTGGTATACATAGTCATATTCGGTAGGAGCAGAATTACATCATCCTACAGCTGCGACGGCTACAATTTCAAGGACTCATGAATTCACTGATGCACCGTCCTCGATGTTACTCACGTGAACTATAGTAGCTATAGTGCTTATTCCTGGGTCCAATGGACCTTCTGAATCTCTCACGCATCACCAAGGCCTGTCGAAGTTCACTCGTGCAAAGGTCCTCTGCATTCATCTGGTGGGAAGCTCGTCGAAGTGACCGATTGCAAACTTCCTTGATATTGCCCAACTGATTCGAGCAAACCTCAATACGCAAATCTGGCGTTTCACCCTCATTGCCATGTATGTGCTTCGTGAATAGCACTCCATACACTTGGGCTAACCGACTTTTGAGGGGTGCGGAAAGGAGTCTGTCTGTTATCTAGCCGCTTAGGGTTAGGTACATGCCATTTTCTCTGGTATGCGTCTAGAGACCCCCATTCTCAATCAATCAGTTATTATGCTCACATTAGATGGACTCTCAGGACGATGACTTTGTCAGAAATTCACAATTCAGGTATAAAAATGATTGCAAGTGGTTCGCCATACCAGCAGCAGATGTCAAAATGGGCACTCGTGCGGCGCGCCAAGTTTGATTCGTATATGTTGCTGTGGATTAATTGGGTTTCAGGTAAACTGGTGCTACTATGCTTGAGATCATAGTTTGGGGCGCCCAAACACGATCTTTCCGGCAAGAACAAAAAGGATCGACAGCTTACACCCTTCAGCAAGCTAAAGCGGCAAGTCAAGCGATTGAAGAGGTGCATATCTTGTTATCGTTGTATGAGGCCGTAATTCAGCTGATATCTAACGCATGCGAAATTGTGTGTCATATGGGAGATAGAAGCTGCGCATGACCGCAAGGAAAGACTTGAGGATATCAAGTTTACACGTGAACGGGGGTCAGTTCTATTCTCCCTGCTTTCATTTCGGCATTCATCACCCCTTCAGACAGGATCATGATCATATCATAGGTGAATTCCAATTTCATCAGGTGTATAACGATCTCGGAAAAAAGTTTGTTGAGCATCCTGGTGTAAAAGAAACCAAACTGCTGACGCCAAAGTGTAAGTTGCTCATTGTGTATGTTAGCCTTGCTGATAGCCAGTCTGGCAGCATGGATTCGTGTCTAGGGATTACTCACGTTACATCCATGAGATGAGAAGGAATAAAATGGCTTCCTTCGTCTATCTAACGCATTGCGATATATTGGAAACTGCTTACCGGCAATCTTTGGACGACAGAACTTGGCAACGCGACCCGGATGAGCCAATGCTGGACTGGCACTGTCTCACTGCATCAAGAGGATTCGATGACATCATCGAGGTTCCTCCGTAGGTTCTTTTTAGGTATGATGGTGTGTTCTTCGCTCTCGCCAAGCTTTGAAATCCTGGCTCCGTTACAAAAGAAAGCGGAGCTGAAGCTCTCCGCATTACTACGTCTATTTCCCACATCCTCAAAGATCAGCGGGCCCGGGGGTGACCACGACTGTACTTTCCTTAGACTCGGGTTGGCCAGCTCATTCTTCCTTTACAGACGAGGATTGGTCGCGTATCCAAAGGTTTTCGCCATGTGTTTTTTAACCTGGAAGCGCTGTCAGTGCTGGATGACGCCTATGTTCTCGAAATGGAATTTTGGCACATTGCATGGGGATATTTCTCAATGCCAGAGCGCTACTACTAGCCATCTTTTGTATGGAGTGACGGTATCCACTTGTTCATTATGGCAGGTTAATTCCTTTGTGCTTTGAGTCTATTGATTCCATGCGCTCTGCCTCATCAGCATGCAACGTGAAGAACGTCCAGTTATACTCTGGTCCAACACTTGTCTAATGGTGCCCAGATTAGTGGCAGCGCTAGTCGTTAAAGCCATTGGCTGCTCTGTCCACCTTCTAAGCGTTGCTGCGTGGGATTCTACCATAGAGGGTTCATGCAGTAGTACACCACCCGCTGACGCTTCATACTACAGGACTCTCGCTGTCAGAACATTTATCTGTGGAGCAGTAACAGATTTCGGGCAGTCGGCACTCAGTGCGATGAGGTGTCGCCGTGGCTAGGATGCGCATGCATCATTAGTCTACTACATTTCATTTAAAAAATGTGACGAAAACCAGAAAGAAGTCAATAATGATGTTATACAGCTGTTCGCCATGGATGGTGTCAGAATACGTTGAATGGCATCGAGAGTAGCGAATGAGGACATTTTAGGCTTCCACAACATCAGGGATAGCAATGGTAGGGTCTAATCCGCAGAGGTTAACTATATCTTCCTTCCATTCGCCCTTTGTTGCGGGGACAATGGTAACAATCAGCATTCTGATCGATGGTGACCCCAAATAGCGCCTAGCAGAGTAAATTTGGACTCGGCGAGTCGCGGTCGCGGTCAGCAACACTTAGCCAACCGGCGAGTCTGAGAATAATCACAGATACATTTAGATCCTTCCATGGAGTTCTGGAGCCAGAAAGAGCTTGGCCGGGTAAGAGTCATGATGACACTTTGGACAAAGCGGCAAAGGCTGCGGAGAGATTATTGTGATGCCTATAGACAATGGAAAGACTCGGAAGGCCGCTTAAACTTGAAGGGCTGGGAACCCTTGGGAACCACAGGGACTGCTCGGAAATTCTAGCTGGAGTCAGGACTCAACAAGCGCCCACCTAGTCACAGTAAGGCTTCGGGCCCGGATCCTCATTCAGACCTTGAAATAGAGTTGCACTCATCGTTAGACATTGCCACTCACCACCATCATCCACCATGCCCACAGCAACAAGACTGCTCTATCAACATCTTATGGAAGTCGACAGTGGACAGCTGTCGGCCCATATTATATCTGAATCCAACTTAATCGAAGAGCAACATCAGTTGCGCAGTCTGTTAGAAAGGAACGAGGGACGTGCCCTTGGCCTTGCTGGCGGATTTGCGCCCACTGGAGAGCTCGCGATGCTTGCAATCGCCGACACGTCCACTATTATCATTATCGAGTTCGAGTTGAAGAAGAAAAAGAGGAACGCACGCGATAAACGCCCTGTCACACTCGCCAGTGAGAGCGGCAACACTGCCGCTCGGGAGTTTTTGACACAGAACCTCCTTCGTCGCACAACCGGATTCTTATACGCTTTCGATGTCGCTTCGATCGCTCTGGCTCTATTTCAAACGCTTGATCTTCGAATCGCAAATGCGATTGATATACAGAGCGTATCAAAAACACGTGTCCCGCTCACCATTGTTAAACAGGCCGTTGGTGATCTTCATTGTGTACACGATGTAAACATCAACAAGATATTCTGCGATGATACTATCAATCATCTGCCTGTGGCCCCTGCCGCTAATAATGGCATTACTCCACTAGCACTACGTGCATGGATCGCGCACTGTCTATCGCAACTTTCAAGCATGGAAGATCGCCTCGCGCAAGTGCCCCCGGTAGACACCTTCCGGCTCTCTGACGAGGTAGATCATTGCTTTCTGGACGATCGATGGCGCTGATCGTAATCACAGGCCTTGAAGTTTCTCGCGAAGAGCTCGAAGGATTCGTTCCAGCTCGAGCAGAAGAAACCGATCGAGGTCACGCGCCAGTTTGCTACGTCTGTCGATCATAAGAACAACCACATACATGCCCAAGTTGACAGATACAAGAACAGAATTCGCAACAACCACCATCAGGCATGTACTAGTCCGCATGTCCACACTGCCTTGCTTGACAAGTGATTACCTCAGCATGCATTCATTGATATTGGCGGGCGCGATGGGCGGGGCTTCACTGTCAACGGGAAGGTTGGTATTCCTCAGGGTCGCACCGCCAAACTTGCTACCACCAACAGTCTCAGTTTAGCTAGCAAGAGCATCGGCTCGATCAAGATTGTCGGTCGTGAAGACCCTACTCAGGCTGAGAGCCAGCGTGCTCAAAAGGTTCTAGAGATCCTCCAAGGTCTCATCAACCTCGAGCACGACAACCCATGGGTTCAGCTCATATTCTTTTCCTCTCCCAGGGACGACTTCCAATGGCCCCCTGCCTGGACGGAGGAGGCGAATGATGCGGATATTGTCAGATACCGTGCCAACCGTGTCAGTCGCCCCCTCAATCCATCTCAGACGAAAGCTGTGGAGCAAATGCTCCAGCAGTCAAATGACAAGCGTCTTACTGTCATCCAGGGGCCCCCTGGAACCGGTAAGACCACTGTCATCGCTTCGTTTGTTCAGACTGCCCTTGCCGGTGGACTCTCTGGTATCTGGCTCATTGCTCAGTCCAATGTTGCTGTCAAGAACATTGCCGAGAAACTTGCTGACTTTGGCCTGACCAATTGGAAGCTTCTCGTCTCAAAGGACTTTTTTGAATACTGGTCAGTCCCTTCACTAGCGGACTTTTCTCCCTTTAGGCAGACTGACATAATCTAGGCACGAGCACCTCTATGCCAACATTCGGGCCAATATCATCATATCGGAGGACTTCAAGGCGCCAAATTTTGGCCAGGAGCTCCGGAACAGCCCGGTTATTCTCTGTACCCTCTCTATGCTTTCGTCTTTTGCTCTTCGCATGCATGGAGGTTTTAAAGCCGCACCACTTAGGACCCTCGTCATCGACGAAGCATCCCAAATTGAGATCGGTGACTACATACCTCTCTTCACCTCTCACACCTCCATCCGAAAGGTTTGCTTCATTGGTGATGACAAACAATGTAAGTATTTCTTCTGCATACTATCACATGTTCTGATATCTTCAGTGCCACCCTATGGTCAGGATGATATCCAGGACCTCAAGAGCATCTTCGAGGTCAAGCATATCAAGGACCGTGCCATTTTCCTAGATACCCAATGTAAGTCCTTTACCTAATGTTCCCGTGTCCCAAATTTTATCATTTTATTGTAGACAGGATGCCGCCTCGAATTGGACAGTTCATATCTACATTTGTGTATGATGGCCTACTCGAGTCAAATCCGCAACATTCCGTCACGAACGAGAGGATGGCTTGTCATTTTATTAACATTCCCAGCCAGGAACAGTCACATAGGACTAGTTGGAAGGTAAGCCACTTGAATTCAGTCACTCGCAGTTGGCTAATGTCATGCGCAGAACGTTGAAGAGTGCCAAACCATTCTCCACATCGCTACCATGCTGCAAGCAAAGAACAAGCAATTCCGCATCATTACCCCCTACGACGCTCAGCGAAGTTTGATCGAGGAGTGTTTAAAGCTCAATGAGCTTGATTGGGAGGACAAATGTTTCAATGTTGACTCGTTTCAAGGTTCGTTCTCGCAACATATATTTGTAACATCATATTTATATGGTTCGTTCGTGTCAGGTAACGAGGAAGATTACATTGTGATCTCACTTGTGCGATCGACGGCGCTCGGGTTCCTCGCCGACCGACGCCGGACTAATGTCATGCTTACTCGATGCAAGAAAGGCATGATCATCTGCACGAGTCAGAAATTTATGAAGCGGGCAGGGTGTAAGTCACTCGTGGGCGGGTTGTTAGAACATTATGAACACACGTGGATCGACAAGGACGACTTGGAGAAAATTGCGCTGTAGGTGGGCCTGCGAAGATGCTAGTTGTTGACGACCTCGACCACGGTTTACTTTCGTAATGATGGTTAGTTGTATGATACGTAGTTGGTTTGCACGACAGCTCGCGCGGTCATGAGACTCCTTATAAGGGGCATAATTTTCTTTTTCTTGGAATAAAGAATGAGTTTCTCATTTCAATTGCATCTGAGTGATGTATTGCATGGTGAGCGATAAGCAGGTATAGTTTCGTTTTGTGCAAACAAGAGTAGGCTATTTTGGTGGAGTTTGGACCTCAACACAAACTGGGCAGGTATTGTGCAGCGACAAGCGAGGACGGTCGTTGGTGGCCGTTTCATGCATGCAGAAATCTTAATCCAGCAAGCTTCTACTGAATCTGTATGGTGTCCGATGATCTCTCCATCAGTGTCGGATCCTCGTGTTCAACGAGTCAAGGCACAAACCTTGGTCGACGCCACCAGGCCTATAACCGCGCCTGTACTCGCGCGTCTGCCCTATCCACTGATTTCTTCTTTTTGTCTTTTAACTCGAGCTCTCCAGCCTCGCAAATCGCGCACATATCCCGGAGCGCATCTGCGATATGTTGCTTAGACTTGTTCGTGGAGGTGAGCGGGGAAGAGAATTTGGACTCGACACAGAATTTGATGCGATTGAGTGCTATGAGATCTGTGAGAGAACAGAGTGTGAGCTTGGTTTTGTGGCAAGGGTGAGCGTGAGCGGAATTGCCAATTAAATTCGGAAACGAAACACCTTCAGTCGACCTGGTCAACCGATGGTGATGTCGGCGACAATAACAAATGCAGATGAGAAATTATTACAGACGAAGAATCACTCGCTGAGGTTCGACGATCTAGAAAAACAATTGTAAAATCAACGAATCAAACTTACAATTAATTCCATAACCATCCTCCCAACCAACTCCAAAGCCAGTGCCTCTGAATTGGTCATCGGTGCTCAAGCCACTAGTACTGAGTTTCCACTCCTGAGAGTCGGCGAAGAGAGGGTGCGTACGCTTTTGCGGGGGGTCAGTGGGGCCTGATTTCGAGGGAGAGTCCGAGGAGGAAGTGGATGTAGTCGCATCTACAGGGAGTTCTTCTAGCATCAACTTCAGGCCTAATAAGTGCCTGTCGATTCCACGACCTACAGCGGCTTCCCTCGTGCGCCCTGCATGCGTCTGGATAGCCTGTTGGAGGAGGGAAATGAGTGCACGGGGCTGATCAGATTAGTGTATCAAAAACCACAAGTTCCCGTTGTCATCACTATGAGGGTATAAAACAAATTCACCTCCACTTCGTGTTGGCCCTCCTTTGCCACACACTCAGTTCCACGTCCCCGTCCCTTTCCGTGTGCTGTATCTTGTAGCCAACCAGGTTCAGGGTAGAGTTGATCTTGACCAGGAGCTGCCCGGTATTGGGGCTAGGGATGCTGCGAGAGCCGACTTTGAAGTTGCTCCGCTTTTTGGGAATATAAGAGCTTTCTGTTGCGGAGACACGGAATGTGGGGATACAGTGACTTGAGGTCTTCTGACTCTTCACCGCACTTGCTACCTATATGATAATCTGAAAAGTCTGGATGAGCAAGGAATGATCATATGGATAATGGAAGTAAACGACATCCGTCATCATTTGAAGAGATGATAACAGGCGTTGTCTCGTTATTGATCACAAGCACCACGACCTGTACATTACATAGATGCGGCTGGAGCAAGGCTAGTCTCCCCGACAGTCGGACCAAAGACGAAAGCCCCTTCTAGGCTGGGACTCGCCAGAAATGGAAAGAGTTTCGCGTAGTAGGTGTTCCGCAGTGTGTTGGCTGGCAACAGCACTGCGTGCACCGCTGCTACCTACTGCAAGGAGAGTAGGATGCGGACAACATTAACGCGAACGATCATGCATAAACGATTTCCAATATCTGTACTTGGCTTCGTGTTGATACCTTTGGTCTCTGGACGGATAGACAACTCGTCGTGGCCAACAAGCGGAATGTCCCACTACGAGATATCCGTACGTACCAGTCATTCATAACGTCGTGTCTTGAGGTGCTCAGATATCACTTCTTTCTTAGTCGCTCGCGTCTTCTCCCTCAATAAGTATGTCTTTTGCATCTATTTGGATCGCTCGTTGACCACTTCGTGCTCTCTAACCTAGACAAGTGTCCACCTTGTTTCAATTGTCTTCTTCCAGCGTTCACCTGCGGACAATTTGGTCACTGCGACGAATACGATGGACAATGTAAATGTCCTCCAGGCTGGGGTGGGATAGATTGTTTGCTTCCCCGTAAGTCACCAGCTCAGCGCCGTTTGGATGCTTACATATATTCCTTTCTAGAGTGCGGTTCCCTAGCAGATGGCGTAGAGAGGCCACTCCGAGAAAATGATCCATGTCAATGCAAGGATGGCTGGGGAGGTATAAATTGCAATGGTACGAACCATTCTATGTCATTGCCATTCGACCTAATCAACTCCCGTCAGTTTGCAAGACCAACGATGCCTGCGTTGGTTTCCCATTAGCTGGCGGCATCCATACCGATATGGTAGATGAAAATGTCGCAAACATGACTTGTTACACTGGCGGCGAGACTGTTTTTAGCAATCACCAAATGTGTGACATTACTAGTACGCCCTCGGAATCCATCGACATGCCTTATACTAATCTTGGTAGACCGCAAGATCTTGGACATGCTCCCCGACCGCCCCCCGCAAGTCACATTCAGTTGCGATAACTCCACTGCGACATGCAGCTTTCAGTTCTGGACCGCACAAGAAGAATCCTTTTATTGTGCGCTGGACACGTGCTCTTCTGAGGCCCAACCGGGATACGACACGAACACTACAATCTATGCATGTGAACATATCAGATGCAAATGCATTCCTGACAAGTTCCTTTGTGGAGAGGACGGAAGTGTTGGTAAGGTTGCGCCATAACTCACTTTGAACTTTTTATGATATTCCGCCATAGATATTAGCGACTTCCTGACAGAAGAAATTCGTGGACCAGCGACTTTCAGCTGTAAGACTTCTGCTGGATGTAGGTTTGAGGAGCCCGCTATGAATAATCTAATCAACGATATCTTCGGCGATGCATACATCACCCTCCAGTGTGCAAGTGGAGAATGCTTGCATTACTCTCAAGTTCCAGGATTCCATGTACGTAGAGTGATTGAATTGACGCGTTCGTGTCCTCACAATCTCATAGCCCATACCAAAACCCGACAACACCAAATGGATTGCCCTGAGCTCTGCCGGTGCAGGTTTGATTGTTGTCCTGACTGTTGCAATTCTTTGGTACGTCGGTCGATCGCGCAACGGTGGTGACTTCGGAAAAATCAGGCTGCCGGAAAACGAAGCTTCGAAGCTCATGACAGACCATGTCCCTGCATCCCTCCATTTTTCGAATATATCTTACTCTCTTGGCAACCGCATAATCCTCGACAAGATTTCTGGGGCCATCAAGCCGGGTCAAGTCATGGCAATCATGGGTGCATCCGGCGCGGGTAAATCTACCTTCCTTGATATCCTCGCTCGCAAGCGCAAGATGGGCCAAGTCAGCGGCACGACACTCGTCAATGGGCGAGAGGTCGCGGATGCGGAGTTCAAAAAGGTGGTGGGTTTTGTGGATCAGGAGGATACATTAATGAGCACATTGACGGTGTATGAGACCGTGCTGTATTCTGCGCTATTGCGACTCCCGCGAGAGATGAGCTTAGAGGCGAAGAAGTACAGGACACTTGAGACGATGAACGAACTTGGTATCCTGGGTATCAAGGACTCGAGAATCGGTGACTCTGGTACGCTTGATGTCTGCTTGGGTTATGGGCGCATACTAATTGTTGCGTAGGACGCCGGTCAATATCTGGAGGGGAAAAAAGACGCGTCTCGATAGCCTGTGAATTGGTCACTAGCCCTTCGATATTGTTTTTAGATGAGCCTACAAGTGGTCAGATTGTGCTTTGACGAATGCCAATAACACGCTGACATTGTACAGGATTGGACTCTTATAATGCCTTCAATGTTGTCGAGAGCCTGGTGACCCTTGCACGCGATTACAATCGGACCGTTATCTTCACCATTCACCAGCCTCGCAGTAACATTGTCGCCTTGTTTGATCATCTTGTCCTCCTCGCTCATGGGAAAATGGTGTATGCTGGAGAATTCGCCAAATGCCAAGAATACTTCGCTAGCATCGACCAGCCATGTCCACCAGGCTTTAATATCGCGGATTATCTCAGTGAGTAGTGTTTTGATTCTACGTCACTGCGCGACTGACCTTTGTCATAGTCGACCTAACAGTGCATGCTGGACTTGAACCACGAAGCCCGGATTCCCCTTCTAATGATGCGGTATCATCGACATCTGGTGACAACCTTTTAGATGAGGAGCGTGCCTTTGGTGCGTCGTCTGTACGATCACAAGGTCGCTCTTCCACTGCGGTGGAGGAAGAAACTGAGCTCCGAACCCGTGGCATCTCTTTCACATCCTCAATCAAACGCAAGACCTCGCAGCTTCTGGAAGCTGTCCGAAGCTCACCATCTGGTAACAGCACGCTTGCTCCCAAACTTGCGCAACTTATCGAGGCGTACTCTACGAGTGAAGTTGCACAGTCGATCAAGGCCGAGACAGAGGAGGTTGCTACTGCACAGCGTGGAGCTGATGCATCACATGCGGATGGTGAACTGCGAGACGTTGTGGTTGAAAACTCTTTACTGCGGGGTCGGAGAAGAGCCAGTTGGGGAACTCAGTTTAAGATTTTGAGTGGTCGGGCGTTCAAGAACCTCTACCGTGATCCGGCATTACTAGCAGCTCACTATCTATCCTCCGTCGTGCTGGCTTGTGAGCCTCGCCTTTTCTTGTGATTTCATATATTCATATGCCTTTTCTCAGTGATCTGTGGCCTCTTTTTCCATAACGTCAGCAATGACATTGGAGGCTTCCAGAACCGGCTTGGTGAGCAGTATTGTGATAGTTTATTCTATTTGACTGATAGAATTCAGGCATTTTCTTCTTCACATTGTCGCTCTTCGGCTTCTCGTGCTTATCTAGCCTTGGATTATTCGCGAACGAGCGAGTCCTTTTCATGCGTGAAAGGTAGGGAGATTCTTACAAAACATGTTTCCCGCACTCATTCTATTTATATCAGAGCAAACGGCTACTATTCGACCTTCACTTACTTCTCTTCAAAGGTAACATAAATTTAATCATACTATATTTGTTTTCTAATTTGGCCCTTGGTCAGGTTTTGTTTGATATCCTGCCACTCCGCTTGGTGCCTCCAATTGTCTTTGGTGGCATTGTTTACGGCCTAGTTGGTCTCGTGCCCACAGTTCCGGCTTTTTGGAAATTTATATTGACGCTCGTCCTATTCAATTTGACAACAGCAAGCGTGATCCTTCTATTGTCGATAGCATTTGCCAGTACCAGCGTGGCGAGCTTAGTTGGCACCTTGGTCATGCTTTTCAAGTGAGCCATCCTACATATCTAAATGCCGGCAGTGTTGATTGATAATCACCACAGCCTCCTCTTCACAGGCCTCCTGATCAACAGGGACACTGTCACACCCGCTTTGCAGTGGTTGCATACCGTCTCATTCTTCCACGCTGCTTTCGAGGCGCTTGCCGTGAATGAACTGAGATATCTACAATTGAAGGAGATTAAGGTAATGTCGGTGACCATTTTTTTTTGTCGTCTAACGTGTTCGCTTCAGTATGGTGTTGAATTGGACGTTCCCGCGGCCACCATTCTTTCGATATTTGGTCTTAGAGCTCAGGTGGGTGGCAGATGCTTACACTGTCGCAAATTGTGTGCTGATGTTCTGATCCGGTAGTCATTTTGGTGGCCGAATATATCCCTGCTTGGTATCTTCTTCGTGGTATTTACGACTACGAGCTTCCTCATGCTGCATTTCTTCGTAAAGGAAAGACGGTAAACGTCCTTTCTTGTATGCACGTTCGTGAAAGACGATATAATAAGATATCTCTACTCATATCGTATTGTATGAATACTACAATAACAATACATTTTTTCAGCGTCCCAGGACAAAGAGGCTTGTGTGACGTGTTTGGTGTGTCACCTGCCTTGGTATCCGTGTTCATAAATGATTTTGACTAGTCCACCCAAGCTCCATGTAGGTGGTTCCTCGAGGAGGAATTAAATTTTTTGACCTGTAGACGCAACTAGGCCATTGTTGCCGACGTTCCTTGAGCGAACTGTATGACGGTGAGTCACGATTCACACTAGATGGTCCTGTGGTCGGGAGATCAGTACGTATCTCGATTCTTTTTTTTTGTAACAATAGCTCATTATCCCCCGTGCACATAAATAGCGCTATCCAGGCCTTGTGCTCCTGAGGACATCGATCACGATTGATCCGGACATATCACGGAAAAACCACTCTTGCCTACCTGGGCCAGCTGCATGCAGTCAGGTCCATAGCGCAATTGAAACCTTCAAACCACGGCGTGTGTATTTTAAACGAACGCCGTCAAGCACTGGGAACGGATGCATATGCCGCTGAGATTGAGCACCTCACACTTGGGTGTACTAATCGGCGGCGGAAAACGTTCATACTAGTTGCTGAATGGTAGCGAACTAGGACCTATTATGACCGCTCCAGACGTCGTTCCTTGTGTCCCCGGTACAGCCCCCCTTCTGATCGATTTGGCTAGGGTCCAGGAAGTCCTACTACGACCCTGGCAATACCAGAGTGGTGATCGGAATTCCGAGCTGATTGATAAGAGAATGGAGTGCTAGCAAGTTGACCAACCTGACTCGGACGGTAACTAAGTTAGTTATAAGCGCGTGCTAAGACACACCAGCGCAAAAGATCCGGCTGTGTATTGTTACTTAATAACACTAGTACAATGCTGCTGCTAGCAGGCGGGTACGTACGAGCAAAGCGATCGCTTAGATGATTCGTGTGCAGTTCATATCTGCGGTTCCAGGCCCAGCCGATAAGTACGACCCTGAGTGGGATTAATATATTGACCTATATGGGGCACCTAACACTGGGCAGTAATCTGCAGTAATGCGGAAATCAAGAGCTGCCAGTGTCAATAACAAACCCCCGCGAAAGCGACGCGTTTAATTTTACGTCCCGCGTTATGTTGTTTTCCCTTGAGTTTACTAGATCATTGCAGTTTAGTGAAGGAGGATGTCAATTTGGCATGGGGAGCACGCCTAATGGCTGAACTGTGCTCAGACAGGTATCTTTGCCTATCTTTGCTCATGTGAGCGTAGATTTGGCCCAGATGGCCAAATATGTCAGGATCCGAGCTCAGCTTCAACAAGTATAAAGATGAAGACCGATAAGAGTCGCAAGACGCTCCCGCGAATCACTCTCACACTTCTGCCACTGCTTCGCCGCACCGCGTGTGGTATCTTCTGCTGTCAAATCAAAGGTAAGAAGGGATTGACCGACATCATGATGTAACTCACGCCAATGTCACTTGTCTATCACACGTCTAGCAGTGACTTTATTACCTTAACTTACCTCTTCAGTATAACAATGGGTCACGAAGAAGCATCCGCCCTCGTCGATATGTGTTATGCAGTCAAATGTGACAAATGCGGAAAAACTACCTGGAATGTAAGTAATTGTCTCCTTGACGATGTTGTGTAATCCATTGTATCCCGGTTGGAGGCGGCAGCGCATGCACGCACGATGTACCGATGTGCATGGTGATTGGCTGACAGAGAGAGGGTTTACGGTACTTCCGCGGACGCTGAGGGCGGAAGTATCATGGGATTAAGAGAACGCTGGCCCGACCCGCGAACTTTGCCTATTTACACATACCCTCTCTTTCAATGATAGGCTGAAATCTAACTGACGTGTCTCTTCAAACAGGGGTGCGGACGTCATGTCGAACAGGTGAGAGGCTGTTCTTAATTATATAGACTGCCTCGGTATAGAGTTCGGGCGTTGGATATTGATATGACAAGGGATAATATCATGATCTGTAGAAGAGGGTCATTTCCACGTTATCGTTTGATGTGGTCCCTTTTCGAAGACACCTCATCACGGCCTCCTCGCATCTCTGCTTGAACTTTGAGGGTTCGTTTGGGAGTGCAGGGAGAGTCGAATTTGAAACTTCTGCTACCCGTGGCACCCTGTACTGACATATTTTTATGGTACAGGTTATGAAAGACGTCAAAGAGGAAAATAAATGTGTTTGTCCTCGTTGAAGACACGATAAGCGGTCGGCAAAAAGACGCCAGCATCGAGGGCTGTACCTTGATGGCAGGGCTGTGGAGTTCTGCATTAATGTAATTGAAACGTTCACCATCCAAATTTGTGATAGACGTATTCGTGAAATCTGTAATCTGTGAAGGCTGTTGCATTACGGAGTGTCCGGGGTCAGCCGCATCTCAAATTGGTCGTTATACGCTGCTTTAGATTGCAGTTTCTTTGAAGCGTCGCTGTTTGATCTCCTTTCCCTTTCCTCCTCTTCCAGGGTCTTCCAGTATATTCAACAACCATTTCCCTTCCATTGATTCGCAGTTTATTTCCTTGCAAAGGACTTCATGAGTCCTCAAACAACATGTCTTCCGACATAGACTCAGCAAGCAGTGCGCATGCTGCAGGAGACCCCTCAGGACTCCCATTCGATCCGCCTGGCAGCGTTCGGATGACAGCTGAACTACACTACAGATATAGTGATGACCGCAGACCTATAGTGAACCAGTATCTGCGCGGTCACCGAGTCGGAAAGGGTCAGCATGGCGAAGTATGGGTGTGTTGGGACTTGTCGGATGATCGTCGTGAGCTGGTCAGTTGTCAATTCTTTGCCCATATATTTGAAACGATCTTGTTAACATCGCGTCTATCAGGCCATAAAGGCTGTCAAACGTAATAACCCACGCGCTGAGAAGATGAACATGCTCCGCAGGCGAAACATCCCTGCGTCCTCTCACACACCACTCACAGAAAAACTCGGAAGCCTTGAGCATAAAATACGGAAAGAAATAGCGATAATGAAAAAATGTCGTCATGGGCATGTAGTTCGCTTGTTGGAAGTTATCGACGACAAGCTGAATGATCGGATATACATGGGTAAGCATTTAGTCTCGCTATTTTCCGTGGAGTCGGAGAATTTTGCTGCCTATCTATTTCCTGACTACAGGCCATGAGTGAGTGTCTCAGCTGAGAAATTATGACCTTGTGGCTGCAGTCTAGGAAACAGTATGATAGGAAGGTTTGTTTGTGTTAGGAAGCCATGTGCTCACAGCCTCACTTCTAGTCATGGAGTATCTAAGCGGTGGAGAAATTAAATGGCGCAACGAGCAGAATGAGCCTGTGCTGCAGGTGGACCAATGTCGACGAATTTGCCGTGATGTTATCCTTGGCCTCGAATATCGTAAGTTTAATAACATCCTCATTACCACAGGCTAATCTGGATACTCCCTTGCCTTCTCAACACGCAGTTCATTACCAGGGAATTATTCACCGTGACATAAAGCCCGCTAACCTTCTCTGGACTGCGGATCGCCAAATGGTCAAGATCAGTGATTTTGGGGTCTCGCATTTCTCATATGCGCAACGCCTTGCGGCTGCAGGGCGTGGAAATGCTCTAGATGACGCTAACGACCCAATTTTGCTGGATGATTCGGACCTTTCCAAGCGCGCTGGAACCCCACCGTTTCTTGCCCCTGAAGTCATCGCTGAGTATAATGGCGATCCTTCACCATCCATATCAGCTTCTGCTACCTCAACCACGCTGCCGTCCTTGAGGTCCGCGCCACATATAGGTTCCTCTTCTACTGTCCGCCCGAATACATCCCAGCGACTGCAGATCACGAAGGCCATTGATGTGTGGGCTCTTGGTGTCACACTATACTGCCTTCTTTTCGGTAGAATTCCATTCAGACCCCCAGATTCGAGCGAATACATGCTCTACAATATCATATGCAAAAATGACTGGGAGCCAGAAGACACCATGGGTTATGATCGTCTTCCAACTTGCGGGCGGAAACCCAAGGATAAAAAGTCTGAGGGATTTGTTGTCATGAATCTTCTCGACAAGCTGCTCGAAAAAGATCCCAACAAACGCATGACTCTTGATCAAGCCAAGGTTCGTCAATTTTCATTCTGCGCGTATTTGCCCCCATATCTCCCATTTTACGTGTAGCGGTACGTGTGGTTCCTGCGGGATATTCCACATCACCAAGAATGGCTTCGCCAAACATCACCCTCCAGGATTGACATGGTGGAGGTTTCGGAGTCTGACACCCGCACTGCGATGACCACTGTCCGCTTCAGCTGGGGCTGGCCAAAGCGCCTCACACGTCGCCTATCCTCATTATTCAAGGGCGTCCGTCCTTCGCGTGCCACGTCATCACGTCCTGATGAAGACGACTTCGGTGTGTGTTCTTCGCCTACCATTGCGGTAGAGCGGCACAAAAGCGTTAGTGGGCGAATGTCAAGTTCAGAATTCGACGAGGAGGGGAAGCGCCGTGGTATCGCGCGCTCTGTCATTGTGCGTAACGACTCAACGCCAAACATGGGAAGGAGAGAAGAATCAATCGAGAGGTGGGCGCGGAATGCATCCATGAGCAGGGCGCGTGACTCCAGTCGCCCTCCTTCACGACAGAGAGAATCCAAGACCCTTCTTCCACTTGATCAGAGCCAACCCGGTGCATCATACTCTCAAGGCTCTACCAGTCGTGGTAGAGACAATGCCAATACTCCCCTTCGAGATGATGCGATGTTCTTGGGCGCCGGTGGCGTGTGCAATGACCCGAGCAGCCTCATTTCGTCAAACTTGCCTTTAGGCCTCAATCAATCAATCTGTCACTCTCCCGCTGTGTTACGACACCCACAACCTGAACGCATCCACATCGCTCCCCCGACTTCAGTTGTTCCTGAACCGTCCTTACACGACTCTGGGCACAGCCGGCATCTCACTGTCCGGTCTGCTACTCAAAGCCCCAGTCCCTTACAGCAAGTCGCATACGAATCGGAATCCAGCACGACGAGCGAGGACGACTACGACGACCTCGACGACGACTCTAGCTTCTTTCGTGATACTCACAGAGATCGCCAAG